ATCCCGAAATTAAATGATATAGCTTGTTTTGGTTGTACCGATTCCCGCCACTTGCACTTCTTTGGTGGTCTTCGCGTTGAGCAGGGCTGTTCTGATGTGTGTGTTCGCTGCTTCGGTAGGTAGAAATCTTGTGAACTGTTCGTTATCGATGTCTTCATCTAACGTGGCCGCGGTGTTGATGCGGACGCAGTTTGGCTCTTTTCGGGTCGCGGAAGTATCGCGTTTGGGGGTTGTTCGGGTGTGTTCCCTGCCGCTGCTGCTGCGACTGCAGTCCATGATTTAGGGGTGGACAGGGCCTGTGCTTCGACCTGAGATCGAAGGAAGTGTATCTCCTGTAGCTTGGCATTTTCCTTCTGTAGGTTCTCACTGTCTAGCTTTAATCTCTTGGATTTCTGCTCTGGCTGACTCGATCGCAATGTTTTGGTGAGTGATGGTTTTCTTCAGGCTGAGAATCAGCGCCCGGACCATCTGGTTAGTGATGCGGTTACTGGTATCATCCGGCGCATTGGAGTCCAGAGGTGGGATCGTAATGGTTTTGTGTTCTCCTTGTCCTGCCCCTATGGGCTGGTGCCAGTGTCTGTTCGCCATCGTCCCCTGCAGAGTTTGCAGGTGTCCTTGGGATGATTTCAGGATCACCTGTGGGGTAGATTAACCGCCAGCAAGGAGCCGTATATCGTCCCAAAAGTGATCGCTCTCTTGCTATACAGGCCGTCCTGCTATAGTTCGGCTTGGACCTAGATTTACCTCCTGCTTATAACAGGTCTTCACATACAGTGTTTCCGGGAAACGGTCTCACCTCCTACACTCTTTCTTTACCCCCCCAAGCCTGATACCGACAAACGCTGAACTATTTCGAGATCATAAAGTTATTTAACCAGGTTGCAAGCCATGTACCATAGATTACCAAAGTATGATTATTTCGCGACTTTATTATTACCTGTCACAAAACTGCTACCAATGCCAGACGTTAGCTTTACCAGGCCACACTCGTCCCTTTGTTTAGCAGTTTACACTGGTGGTCCGACTTATCATGGCCCTCAATCAGACGAGATATACGCTCAGTTCTGCATTATACAACAGGTTGTAGTGACTAACTATTTTCAAGCGGGGATAGCTACAGTTGCGAGGAGCCTGCAATCGTCCAAATCCGGCCGAACTTGCAGGTGTTCGTTAGCGTCAGATCTCTCGGAACCAGCTGGACGTGCAAGGAGCATTACACGGACGTATTGACTACATCTCTGAAGACCAAGCCGTAGAAGCTGAATTGGAATAGACTGTAAGAGATCCGAAAACAGCGGAAGAGTCGACTGCCATTGGACAAAGATAGAACGACATACAACAGCTGCCATGAACTCGACATTTAAAGGGCGCGAGTATTCATTGGCAGCGCACCAGGATGACGCTTTGGTGAGTCAGCGTGATACAATGAATTGGATTACCAGAGTCACTCCAGAGCTAACTACTTTCGCCACTAAGTTGGTCATACAGTATCCTCCAGATCCGACTCTTGATGATTTGGCATGATCTCTTTCTGTCGTCGTTGACCCATCCAGATCGTGGCAAGTAAGCTGTCTATCCCGCGACTACCGCGCGAAAGATAGGTTAGTAGCGGGTGACGCATTAGTGGTGCTTCTGCCGCGTGCCGAGGACCTAAAACGAAGTGCGACGGTAATCGGCCGCGCTGTACACAGTATACTGCCCAGGGTTTTGATAATTGCATTTACTTCGAAGGAAGGTTGCCAGGCTTCAAAGGGAGCTTGGATCTGAACAGAAGAAGACAGGAGCCTACAAGAAAATCATCCAGGATCTATCTGTGCAGTTCGAGGGTCCTACCGCAGAGCGAATCAGAAGACCCCTAAAGGTCCGTTTCTTCGCCAGAATGAGTCTCAAGACATAGTCTGAATTTTTGGATTGCAGCTGAACCCACCAGTCTGGGACTACGAAGCACAAAAATGGCTCCAATGCCTCAAATCCATCGTGTCTGGGTTCCCTTGAAGATGTTGATGCTGCCAGCGAAGAACATAATCGGGACAAGAAGAGTCAGCAACTCGTTATTTGGGCAAGAATTTCGAGGTTGTATGGATGCAACGACTGAATATTGAAGAGACGAGGCAAAGCGATGACGGAGTCCTAGAGCCTACGTCCGCACAATGAGTGCCGGATAACTCGCTGTCGTCAATGAATTATCATCTCAATGAAAGAAATATGAAGAGTCCAACAGTGTCTAATGCATTTGTTCTACCGCGAAAAAATCTTTCTGATAGGCTATTTCAGCTTGATCTTGACGGACGCGAAATCTCCCCACCGTTTCTTCGATCTATTTTGTGCGCAATACCGCCGTTGCTTTCTAGGCGGAGTGAATCCAGTGGAGAATGGCTTGCCATTCTAAACCTCATCCTTGCGATCGACTCTGCTTTCTCCCGTTTGTCTGAAGAACACTTTCCAGGCGCCGACGAGGACATTCTTCTGCATGGGCTAAATCGCATCCCTGAGTGCTTCGGATTATATCCTCTACAAGCGACTTTTTTTGCAGCAAGTGCAAGTCGAGTCGTTAATGGCCTTCTTTTTCCTTATCGTATTTCAGATAAAGAAGTAAGTCTATCAGATAGAGTGAATCCCTGTACGAGTCTTAACACTCACTTCCTAGACCCTGGAAAATAATTGGAATTGCACGGTCGGGAATCTCTCAAGGGATTAATCTTCATACAGAACACAACGGGCTTGACGCCGAGTCCGACGAAGCCCGTTAGCAGCTTCGTGGTCAATATCCGTTTGGAACAACTCCTCTCGGTAATGACCGGAAGAGTCTCTTGCATCGGATCGGCTTCTAGTTCTCTGCCTCCGCCATCATCACTTCCTAGCTTGGCCCATACAGGGCTTGCTGGCCGACAGACAGGCGATACCACAATATCGCAACTCAGTCAGTTGCATTGGACGATGCAATCAAACTTACAGAGCAAAGATATCGAAAGCGAATTGCTAAAGTCATATACCCTAGTCCATCCCTCTATCGCTTTTACATGGTTGATTTGTCTCTTATCGCCCTCGTGACGGGAGCGGCGTCTATGCTACCGAAAGTCATCGAACCAATCGGGGCAGAATTGAGAGCCGGATAACACTATGTAACATAAGGATGCATAACTGGGAGTCGCGTTTAAACACTGATTATCGTTACCAAGACAGCCATGGCAATCCTCTTTCCACGATTGAGTCACCCTTACGAATATCTCTCGCATTGGGTTACTACAGCACTCAATCTGTTCTGAACCTGCTCTGCTTGATTCGACCCGCTTTTGGAAAGACGACTTGTGCACGGTTGAGATTTGGTAATCTCTCAGCTCTAGTGTACACTAAAGCTTCCCTGGTCATTATTACCTTGCTACCGGATCGAGCATTATGGAATTGGCCATACCAGCTTCCACAGCGGTGGGATTTTGTTCATATCCTCACACAAGCTATCATATTTTACTGCTTGACACATCAATTGGCCGGGTGCCAACGAATCCTGGAGAAACCTATGTTGCCTCTGAACCAGTCGGAGACATCTTGAAAGCGGCAAAGGAAGGCATCCGTTGGTTGCAGTGCTTGGGAAACACTTCAGGCTCGGCTCAACGATCTTTCGAATTCTTCAATAGGTGTATCCATAATCTCACGACAGCAAAAGAGTTTGGTCTGAGCGATATCCCACCAGTAGCTCGTCAGCCCAGTACAAGTCGAAGCGCACGGGGAAGGGCGAGTACATGAATTTGGGGTTGAGAAACAAACGTCAGAGGTTATCGCCTCACCCGACGAATTCAACGACGAGAGCATCGCTGGAGATCGACAGCGGAGTCCTGCTGCAATGCAGCAAAGTGTAGTTTCTCTACGATTGCGATGCAGATATGCCAGATTTACCCACGCAATGCGAAGAGTCAGAGTTTGAAGGATTACTGCTGCCTATGATTGCCTCATAGAATACAAAGGACGAATCGCGTGCACAGAACGACCGCAGCGATTATCACGCTGAATTTTCTTGGTGGCAGGCACCAACCAGCCAAAGTATGGCGGACTGGGCTTTTCAGGTACCAAAGAAGGCTTGTCTTTAACACATCAGTCCTCTCCTCAAGACGTCTCGATATGATGTATGTAGATGCACTTTTCCAGTCAGTCATTCAATACCACGATCGCTTATTAATTTAATCAGACATCCTAGAGAATGCTTGCATGAAAATCAGGTATCTGTTGTTCTTATGTGACATTTCCCTAGCTCACATACGGGATTGGTCGACTCCTGCGACTGTCTCTACGAGAACTTGAGTAGTACTTAATAGCTATTATGTTATAGTGAACCCTCGCCTCGCAGAGGCGCCTGATTGTCGTGATTATGCTGTGGTCGGATTCGGCTCGAGGCGATGGACCTCTGGCTCGAATTGGGGTGCGGATCGAAGCCCCAAAAGTCACTCGTTATCCCGGTATTGTCCTTGTCAGGAAGGTTATAAGAGTTGTCGGAAGTGTTTCCTCTGTAACTGTTCGACTTTGAGACATTGTGGGGCTCAACTTCTTCGACAGACAGCTGCGTAGCCACTGCGTAACTGAGATTCCGAACTTCGCGGGTGCCGGGATCGTAGATACTGCTATTGTTTTCTTTCTTTTGGTCTTTCGTAGTCGGCGGGGCAGGATCGAAACCAAAGTAGTCAAATTCGTGCACATGTTCTTGCAGTTGCTCCATCATATGTCAGGGTGGTAGTAGTTGGCACATTGGTTGCGTATGATTCAGCGTCCCGAACAATCTTTCTAATGGAAGACACGTTGCTTTTTCTGCTCGAAAGCTCGAATAGCCGTGGCAAAGTACATGACAATGAGATGATGTCATCGAGCGCGTACAGCAGGAAATTATAATCACGTGCCGTATTATTGTGCGGTAAGTACGGTAAATGACTGGGTATATGTTATATGGTATACGGGATATACAACAGTCAGGCCAGGAGCCCGTCTGCCAGACGTACGAGCTGATGAACAGAATGCGGAGAAAAGGAAACCATATCAAAATTCTTTGGGTCCCCGCCAGCGAAGACAACAAACTGCTGGGCCTGGCTAAGGAGCAGACCAAGGCCGCGACCCACGAGGACGCTATCCCACAAGCACAGGTCTCGAGAATGAAGTCAACAACCTTGAGTCTCGAACAATCCCAAGCAGTCACCACGAAAGCCTTGCCAGAGGACGTAGAAAGACACATCAAACGAGTAGATGCAGCATTTCCAGGAAAGCACACCCGACAGCTGTATGATGGATTGTCCGTGGAAAGAAGCAACCGTGCTGGCTCAACTCCGGACCAGCATGGCAAGATTAAATAGGTATCTCTACCAGGTCAATGTCGCGTAGACAGACCAGTGTGCATGCAGACAAGCAAGAGCAACCGTGGAGCATTTCCTCTTCCGATACCGGAAGTAGACCACGCAACAGATAGCACTGCTACAAGGTACTTTTACTCACCGGGGCAATCTCTCCCTCTGCCTGGGCGGGAAATCGCCTTCCGATGATCAGCAATGGACGCCGAATTTGGAGGCAGTACGAGCCTCAATACGATTTACAATCGCCACGGGTCGTCTCGACGCCGTCTAACCAGGTCGACCAAGACAATGACACCACCCCCTAACTAACCTACACCAGCCACCTTGTGCCACTGCCGAGGATAGGTCAATCAGCAAAATTACTTACCCCCACAGGGATTCCTACGATACTGACAGCTGAGAGGACATATACTGGAAGGATCTATGTATGGGCTTGAAGGAGATACCGCAGATGTACATTAGAACCTGTGTTGATAGATCAGTGATAGTTGCCCTTTCGGCTGAGCCGCCGGGCGTTAATGAATTGTGTGTGTATCAATCCTTATTTAATCCGTCAGGTCCAGCCCACCGGCTCATAACTCCGGCCAATCAGGCCGCAAGGAGCTATACTCCTTCCCCTGTCGACTGTCGTCCCATCGTTCCTTGAACTACCCTCACTGCAAAAGTCTCGCGCCCTCTGCTGTGGGAGCCGATCCCCTACGAAGATGACCCCCCCCCTTTCCGTGGTGGAAAATTCCTCTATCTGTCCTGAATGCCTTAGATTAATCTCTTTGCTAACTGGCTCGCATGCATCACCATTGCCAGGCTGTGGGTTGGGGAAGCCTGCGTGGTTCCTGATAAAAAGTATGGTGTTTCCTCACTGCACACCTTGGCCTTTCTATTCCATACCTTTCCCACTGTCCCACCTGGCAATGGACTTCCTGCATACTGGCGATTGGTGACCTCAGAAGCAGCCTCCTGTAACAATCTTATTATCTATATAGTTACACAAGTCCTGTCTTTTCAGTCTGACATCTTGCTGCGGCAATTGTCCTATCGATATATCTAAGCCCATTGAATTGAAACCACTTTATACATACCTCCCACAAGCATTACCTCTGGCAGACTCTCAAGAGAGCCAAATCAAGCCAACCCACCATGTCCGTGCATATGGACCACTCCTCCATGCCGAGAGCCCCGTCCAAAGCTGACATCACCTGGACAGGCCCGATGCCATTCCTCATGGAAAGCCCGGTCTCCCCCGACTTCCTGACGATGCCATTATTCGACGGGATGCAAGAATAATCAATGAGCGGCAGCACCCCGGGGGTACCGGCCCCATCCGCAGAGGGACTTGATAGCTTCTAGCAGCAACAGCACCAACACCAACAGCACAACCACCAACAGCACAACCACCAACAGCACAACCACCACTACCAACAAACCTTCTTGGACGCCCTCATCGAGCCCAACCTCTTCTCCCCGGACCAACCAAACCCCCCGTACATGCGCCAGCACCCTCACTAGCACCTCGCACCAAAAGACCCCCCTCCTCGACGGTAGCACTATCCCCCCCGCCTCCCACCACCCCTTCGCCGCAAGCCCTCCTTCCTACCCCGTGCCCATGCACGAGCTCACCTCGCGCGGCACCATCAGCGACTACTCACAGCGCAGCTACGGCAGCATCAGCAGCGCCAGCTCCGCCGACAGTGCGGGAAGCTACAGCCACGCGACCCGGCGGCCGAGCGACTTGTTGGCCCAGCATCCGTGCAGTTATCCTCCCGACCGCGAAACAGTCGAACAGCAGAAGCGCGAGCGGTTCCTGGAGCGCAGCCGGGTCGCGGCTAACAAGTGCCGGCGCAAGAAGAAGAAGCATATGCGCCAACTCAAAAGCAAATGTATGGATGTGACGCAGGCCAACACGCGGCTGGAGAGCGAGGTCAGCCAGCTGCGCAGCCAGATTCTGGAGCTGAAGAACGAGCTCCTGCAGCATTCTGGGTGCGATGACCCGGGCATTTAGGCGCATTTGGCACAGATGGTGGCTAGTCTGTCGACGCCCAGTGCGTCTGTGGTGTCTACGGGGGCTAGCGAGTCGGATATGGTGCTTTCGGGCGGGGTGTCGCGGCGGGCGGAGTCGGTGGCGTCGCTGTGGGAGGCAAACAGTGAAAAAGTGGAGGAGGCTGCGTTTGGGTTTAAGGATATGGTTGTGCTGCCTGCTGCTGCTGCGGGTGGCTCGAAGGTGGGAGAGGGGAAGCAGGAGGATGCAGATGCAGATGCAGATGCAGAGCCGGTGAAGATGACGGAGGGTCCGTGATGGTGTGCGGTATTCCACACATTATGCACGGCTTGTATACGATGTTTTGACGATACTTGTTTACTTCTGTCTGGTTTATTCTTATTATCGGATTGCGCATTACTTTCGTCTACTTTGAATGTTCTCTGGGCAGTATGGGGCCTTTCCTCGGTGTTATGACTAGGACAGCGACGGGAGGATTTTGATTCTACATCTGGCGTTGTTATCCCACCCATGCAAGCGAACGGAAGATTCTGATTGTGATTTTGATTTGGCGTGTATATTCCAAAGAACAGCATTGTTGCGTTGCTCCTAAATATACAAAATAAGACTTAAATACGAATCCAATTGGACTTATTCAGTATTCAGTGTCAAACTCCACCACCATTACAGAGCACTTCCTACGGTGTAACGTGAAAAAGGGATGGGCTGATGAGGGCAAGCCAGGTACATATCAATGACGTACGTTGTAGGAAGAAATTCTCCATCAGGAAGTTAGAAATTTCAAGCAAGCTTTGACTTAGTTCATGCTGTTCTTCGGAAGTCCATCCCTGAAAGCTGTATAGGGTTACTAAGGTCTCAGCTATAGTAGTTTCCGAGACTCCGACTCATTTGAATCAAATAGAAAGAATAAAATGTTCCAGAAATTTATCTTCAGCAGACACTCCCTCTTTCGCGAGGCTTAAAAGTATTAATAGTTTATAACCCTTCTTAAATACCTGCAGTGCCTCAAAATGCTCGATAAACTTGTTGAAAAGATTAATACCTTTATTATGCTCTTCTAGCAACATGCGTCGAGGTAAAGAAAAAATGACACATTCCAACGATGATAGGGTGCAGCCTTTATCTTTCAAAATGATTATAAGCTCAGTATATTTTTACGGTTCTCTCCAGTATATTCAAATTAATATTATACTGGACTCTAAGGCATGTAGGGTAATTAGCAGCTCTAATTACAACTACAAGATGCTTATCTAGCCTAGCATTTGATACCTACTGATTTGGGCTTTACTATCTTCCGATGCACAAAACCCGTTCTCCGTCGAGTAAAGACATCTACGATGCGCAAGGACATGGACGCGAAACTTTCGAAAGCTAGAGAACAGCTGCTCTCATTTGGCTGCGACCTAAGATTCAACCTCACGATCTTTCCGCTCGATGTCCCGTCCGGCGTTGATTCTCAGCCCACCGGTGACACGGACGGGGTATATGGTGCCGCTGGTGAACGTGGACGAATCGGAAACTGCGTCAAAGCAGCACTAAAGAGCATACATGGGAATTCAACAACTCCGGGTCTTTCGGAAGCGGCTTTGGAGGCTGACATGCATATATTTGGAGGCAACGAAGCCTCGCCCGACACGATGTCGCCGGTGCCGTACGAGCCAAATTACAACCGATGTCGGTGGATAACTCATTCAAGACCACAAGCTGACGGAGTAAGAGATCTATTACTGGTCCAAGGTATTGCGACTTGAAGGTCCAAGGCTCGTGGGGTAGACGAACAGTAATTACCCGCCGTTCAGTGACAGCTCACACAGTCTGTCCACCAAGAACGACGAACGATGCCGTGAGAACATGTCCTGATATTCCTGTGGGGACGACGGAGGGAGACACCGCTCCGGAACCGAGATGTGGACTGTGTGCGGCGGGACGACCAGCATAGGAAAGCACATTGTCTTTGGTTGGATCGGACCCCGATGATTGTGATAGGCGGGATCAACCGCTGCACTGGAGAACACAACCGGTAGGTTGAAATAGTCTTTGCCCGAGACCAGGGAACGAGGTATAGGCGGAGGAGAGGAGGGTAAATTGGAAAGGCTAAACTGTTCAGGAACCACATGAGTGATGTTGATGTATGGAGAATGCTCACAGCGAAGACGATCATGCATCAAGGCGTTATACACGCTATCATATGTGGAGGTCCGGGCAGACTTATCAGCCGGTCGAGGTTATGGAAGCATTTGAGAGACTATCTTCACAGTTTCTCCGCAACCGTCTGAGAAGGGAAGCAACGATACTGCCACGAGATACGTTAGCTTTCCGCAGCTCTTACATGAGATTCGTGACAGGGAGGATTTACGATCCAAATTCACTTGATGCTTCAATACTATTCTCCAGCCATGGGTTGCGATCACAATCCATGCCACCGGAAGACCTGGGGCTTCCACCGGAGCTCGACGGCGATCGATTCGAAAATTGATCGGACGGGCTGCCGAGGTCGTCCGAAGTCCTGCCATTGCAATCTTGGAAGTCAGCCATGAGTAATAGTTTTCCGTCTAGGATGTTCCCAAGGCGGGTCTTGTCAATTTCCTGCCCGTCCTTCCGTATCTGTGACATGAACACCTTGAGAACCCTGGGGGGTTTTTTGGTGAACTGGGCCCCTGCTTGTTGATTCTCCACGATGAACCCATCCGCGGCGACAGCCAAGCCCTCTGGTGCGGCAGTAGACGCCACTCCCAGGAAACGGCGTATTTCACGATACTCGTTGTACGACGAAATATAGAGCTGCCCCGCAAAGAGGTTCAGTTGAATGCGTAGGCTCTCAGGGAATCGCAGGGGCCTTGGGCTTAGATTTGTCGGAATCGTGTACAGATTGAGATTATCGATAGGATACGAGCTCTGGTTTTGCCGAAGTGCATATAGATGCATCGTTACTGCACCAGACCCACGAATGTCAGCATGAAGTTTATTCACTTCATACGGGCTGATGATCACCATGTGCCTTACGTGCGTTCCGTTCTCGGAGGGATGGCCGGTGCTTATTAGGACCCATTCAACCGCACGCTGATAACTATCCCGGGCAGATAATCATCCGGCAGTCGGAATGTTATAGCAAAACCTGATCTTTGCTACCGATCGGCATAGAGCCCCATCCGTCTCCGAGCTGCTGAGTGATTTCCGTCTCGTCAGTTACCGGCCTTTGCACCAAACGTCGCCATTCGGATTTCCGGTCTTTAGGAAGTTTCCCAGTATGCATTCATCGTGGCAGCGATCTGGTAGTTTGCGCTCGTCCAGGGCTTGTCCGTTCCGTACAGGTTATTGAGAACGTAGTTGATTTCAGATTCACGGTAAGCACCCCGATAGTGCCCCTGTTACGGTTCTTGTGTTCGACTATTGCTGATCTAAAATGAGATTTTCCGGCGATATTTTGGGAAGCATTCCATTAGCTGGCATGTAACTTCCTCTGGTCCAGAATCGCGATGGGAAAATTGGAAGCTCATATAAAAGGATTGGCTACTGGCTAAGATGACTATATCCACCATGGTTTGCGCATGGCCGCAGCGTAACCCAATTGGGTCCAAATCCTGATGCCAGAGATCAGGTCCGGGAGACACCAAGTTGAGCTAAGCCGAACTATTTAATTCTAAACTCTTAATATTTCCATAAAGCTCCCCAGTACGACTGCTGGGATACGCGAGGGCACATAATTCCTCTACTGCATAGAGCAGTTACTGAGGCAAATTACTTTTCTTCTGGTTCAGTGAGATAAGTGTGTCAAATCTTGATATTAGTATAGAATACCACCCAATATTTCCATCAGTCTCTATCTATCTTAGACCGCGACGATGACAAGTGGTATAATCTAATCTGGCCCTTTTACTGGCTATATTTCAGTCTGTCGCCATCCAGTGCGGGCCTGATGATCATCAATTTAGTTGCTATCAGGGGCGGGAACCCCCGCTGCTTTGAGAAGTTTCATGGCCCGTCTTCAGGCCAGTCCATCAGCATACTATTTATTTTAAACTATTACCGAAGTTATTCCATAATCATATTCTCCTAAATTATTCAACAGCATTAGTCTGTGTATATAATAAAATTAGACTGTAATAGCTAGGCTGTGATAACAAAGAAGAGGATATACTAGGATTTTCTTTATAAATATTTATTTATTTCTTCTACTGGCCATTAACTCCTATTCACAATTATAGACGGTGCGATTGTCGAACTGTATATAACTAGAGACTATAAAAATAATAAATAAAAACAAGCATCAATTATCTAGTAATAGTCTATAGCTTGATTAGAGATATAATTATCTCTTCTTAGTTTTATAGTATAACTCTTTTAAGTGAAAAAAAGCCTGCAAGGAGAATCCTATTATTTAAGTATTATATTATTATTTTTTTATCTTTAGAATAAATAAAGCGACCAGAAAAAACTTCTATTAATTTCCAGTTTTCTTGGAATATTTATAGTACTACTGTGATTTTGTCTTTTGAGAGCCTTAGACTATATACCCTGGTTAATACTACACACATCTAGCAAATCAGTACACCAGTACATGGATATATATTAACAGAGTTTAAGCATAATGAACTGCAATGGAATATTCTGAGATATTTAATATTATTATATATCTGTTCAAGTGGTGTAAAGGCATGAGTGGGTAAGAGAATCTCAAATAAATAATTAAAAGATTACTTAAATAAAAATAATTCAGGTATTATAAGTATACTACCAATCTTAGTACTCGCAGGCTAAGAAGACTTGACTAGGAGATAATATCTAAAAATATTATCTTAATAAAACTGCTGTGGCGCTGCTAGCTATTACTGATAGTAATTAGATAATTGAAACTAATAATATTATGTAATAGTGATAAAATTAGGCCTGGCCTCTAGTCAGAGCGTGCCTGTGCAGAGTCAAGATAATAGAATACAGCTATATATAGATTTAAGATTATTATCTAGCTCTTATAAAGTCTGAGTGATTGTGTTGTGATGACTTACAGATATACTAATATTTAATTAGTATATTAAGAATCTGAGTATCTTCAAGCTGTTAAGCCTGTAATAAAATATTAATAGTAATTTAATCCTAGCTACATATGGCAGATAGAGAGATTACTGTATTAATTATTATTTTAGTAAAGATTAGGTGGCTGTCTACTGCTTAGTTAATTACCTCGCTTCCATGAAAGATCAGACACCAATCCAAATCCGGACATAATTGCATACCGCGCACAGTGGACAACTCCAATTGATATCTAGGCCTGAATCTATTAATAGCCATTCTTAGCTTTGGTTACCCGGCTGCTGCCAGAAACAGCAGGGAGATACTTTTAACATAATCCTGGCCTGATTAATCTGCGCAACCACAATATTATAGCAGGTTGATGACTGTTTTACATGCCGGCAGGCCTTATAGATATTACTGAACTTCTTAATAATTATCATAGATCATAATAAGTAAGTATATACTGTCATGCTTCTCCAAGCCCTGGCCGGGTAAAATACAAATATTTATTGATTAGTAGATTCCTTATTCTTAGTATTCTCCTGTGGCCCAAGTAACACTTGGTAAAACAGGACAGCAGCCAGTATTCTCCAAAAACTTTAATTTAAATATTAAATATTCCCAGCTGACAGCTCCAGCACATTTATAAAATTAATAATTATATACAGCATGATAGCTTGCTGTAGGTGCTGGTAAATATCTATTCTTATTAGTTAGTAGAAGTTGCCATTATATAATTACCTTCAGGAGATATCCAGGGGCTCTCGCACAGTTCTACTGTAGTAGCTAGCAGTAGTATAGTTATCCTGCTGAAATAACATCTATAAATATTATTCTTATTATCAAGTCATGTATTCTCAGCCTGCCAGTATATATTTAATAATATATAGGATTTCTTAGCTGTTCTTTTCCTAAAGTATTTATTAATATTTTATTAAAATACTATCGCCCACTCGTGTATGGTACACTGTTTTGGCAGAAATATATTAAACAAATTATAGGGTCTTCCTTTGCAGTCCGCTATGTCTAGACTTTGTTAATATATATATGGATGTACTGCGTACTAACTTGCTTGGTTTATTTAATGTCAAGATTAACATGTGCTTTTGATAAATTCAAAATGATAAATCCAGGAAATTAGAGTAACAAAGTACCTGAGAGAACTAGGAAATAATTAAAATTTCTTTTATATACTAGATTAAATCCCAGACAGCAAATTAATAAGATAATATTTAAGCAGGTTTTTCTTACAGGGTCCCCTTAGTCAAAAGGATATTATAAAAATAAAGGAAAATAGATTAGTTATTAATCCAATTATAAAGAATTAATTATAGTGGCTAATAACTGTTTTAGCTTTGATTTTCTATCTCTTATTATATAGGATTCAACAATTACACTGTTTCTTGATAAGAATAGACTATTTTAATGCTTTAGTTAGTAGAATGATAATAGAACTATTTACAAAGAGAATTCTGTAATAGTTTTATAGTAATTTATATAAACTTACTTTTATCTATGCCATGAGTCATTCCAGGATACTATATATATCTTTACCGGCATTTACTTTTAGTAATCACATCACAATGCCTGGTTTATTTAACATAATAAATCTGGCGTATCTTGATAACCATGAAATCCAGCAAGAATGCCTAAGCAGCCTTTCAGTAAATGGCTAAAATAGGGAAATGAGTATTTTTTATCTGATTAAAGAGGTAGAATCAGGCTTATCTCTAGATAATATTAACTTCTAATAATTATCAGGTCAAGGATCAGAGCTCTCAGATGCTTTAATTTTTAAGTATATACTGAGTTTCTACTTATTAAGAGGTCTTATTACTGTTTTATAAAAAATTATAATATATTCTCTTACTTCAAAGAAACTTGTTAGCTGTCTTCCAGCAGTTGAGAACCATCCTTATACTGGAAGAGAGCAGGCCAGATATTTATCTGGAATATCTTGTCTGTATGATTGTTATTTTATACAAGTGTAACATAGGCTAAGCTTATAGAACTATTAAGCTTATGCTGAGTGGTCCTTACACAGGCATGGAAGTTTATTATAAAAGAAAAGATTATTTGTGAATAAAAAGTCTTATATTAACAGTTTTCTCTTCTTGCTAGATTATTAATTTTAATATATATATTCTCTTACTGAATTCCAAAATATATGCTCCCTTCTGTAGTATTTATTATATGAATTAGGAATCCCTGGATCCTCTGATTGTTTTAATTGGTATCAAGAACAGGCATAGATGTGTATAGTATGCCGGTCGGTATATGATATAGGCTGAAAGTAGGTTTAAAAAGATTACTGAAAAGATTTTATATAATTCTCTTAGTATAAGAGTATTAAGCTTTTCCACTTGCCAAAGTGTAGAACTAGTCAAAATTCTATATAAAAACTGCGTAATTGTTGATATTCTTATATAGCGCGATAAAAAGAATCTAAGCCACTAAGTATAGTATTTATTAAATCAGAATTTATTTATTTTATTTAGTCCTGCAGTATCTGTTTAACTGTTAAAATACTCGCAAGAGAAATTTTATATTTAAATAGTCTTTTATTATTCCTACCTGGTGATTTAGCTAAGTGTTTAGAATAATTATTTATTATTTCTCAGTTCTCTTGAATATCTCCTAATGCTAATTTCTAAAACTGATCATCATTTGTATTACAAAACAAGTATTAAAATGAATTTATATAGGTCTAGTAACTTATGCACTCGATATATTATAGATTAGTAAATTTGGGCATAGCTGAAGGTAAAAGAATGTCCTAGGATTTTTTTATATGCCTGTTAAAGTAGTGTGATATACAGGAGTAGGTATTAGAATCTTAAGTAAAATATCAGTTACTATATAAAAAGAGCTAGGAAAGGGATTGTAATATATTACCAGAGATATGCTGGCGGGCATGACTTGGTAAGAGAGATTATATTTATAGATAATATCTTGGCAGGGCTGCCGGTGCTACTGCTATTTGTTATAAAGAATTTGTGTAAGGCCCCTTGCATGTTTGCTATATATAACTGCACGACGGCAACTTCTACCAGTTAATGAGGGTAGATGTCTGAATACCAGTACCTGTAGTAAGGTATTATGCTGTATATTGATTACCTATTTTGTAGATCTTCTGGAGCTGCTAATAAAGAATACTTGATGTCTAATTCCAGATTCTTGAAGAAGCCTGATTGCTTTTTTACCCGCGGGTAATGGTGGGAGTATAGTCTAGATTATTTTATGTTTTTTAATATGTTTAATCCATGATTCTTCTATCTCTAATGTTTCATGGTGATATATGATTTATAATGGTATACTTTGAATACTTAATTCTCAAACCAGCATGGGTTTCCAGGAGTATAAGAGTAGTAAACCTTTTTTAGAATCTGCGGTAATTATTATGGGACTTTAGTAAAATTTATGAGCCTTGTTATATACCAAGCAGTAATATTTTTGCCACTGCATCCCTGATTGCACTGATTAATCTAGCTAGACTAATATTAAAAGTATCTTATAGCCGTTCCTGACAGCCTGCTTAGTAACAGAAGCCAAGGATGTCCATTACTAGCTTTGGCCTAGACCTCAACGTGAACCGTCCGCCGTGCGGGGTCAAGGCCGCGGAATGCAGTGGCGTCTGGATTTAATTGGTGTCCGGTGGTAAGGCAACCAACTGAGCAGTAGGCAGCTATCTGATCATCACTGGCCCAGTGACCAACCCGGTAATTTCCCTGTCCGTCATGGGCAATGGATTGGATGGTTACCAATATTTATACAATAATTATTCTCTTGTACGTACATCTGTAGCGCCCTTTAGATGTTTTATGGTATTCTTCTTGCCCTAAAACCATTTAGAGTACATCAGATCATATCTTAAAACAACTCTTGATCGGGAATTAGTGGCAGGTGATATGGAAAACTACCACCTAATCTTTCATTCAGCACTTCGAAAGTAGAGTGACCGATATACGCAGTATTAGTATATATAACATAGATATTAAGATTTTTCTTTTAACAGCTTTTCCCCATCTTAAATTATATTAGTACTAGAGGAAATTAGTGCTTCTTTATTAGATAGATATAAAATCATGAACACTGTGTATATAGAACATGCCACGCATAATAATAATTGCTTTGAAGACGAGTCAGCTATTAGAGACATTTATAATTTTAAATATTTCTAGTCAAGGCTTCCTATCATCTAGAAAGCTCCAGGATAACTATTTATAGTAGTTAATATGATTTTCTGTGTAAAATTGCATTCAGTTCATAAAGCAGTTTATTCTAATATAAATTCATGGCTGTCAGAGCTCCTCGCCTCTCTTATCTATATTAATTAGATAATGTAATAAATCTTTAGACTTTATTCACTGCTACTTGCGCAGAGACTGCTCGGAATAGTACTCTATATTTCACTATATAGATAGTTGTTCTATGAGACATTAGGCCTAGAAAGTTCTACTAATAATTAATCTTTTCTGTAGCAAACGAATAACAGTACTCGAAGGTATATACCGGTTATTTAAAGCAAGTTATAAGTCTAGAGAGAAGCTAGAAGGCTGGCAGCTTATATATAAATCTATTAAATAAGATAATTTATATTATTAGATAGTTTATTGAGTATTTTTAATTATAGGTAGCTAACTCCTTACAGTCCTTATCTACTGGCAGGGAATCTTATATCTTGGGTGGCTATATATACAGACTAATATCTTACTGTAAGTAATAGTAATTATCTGCTGTTATTGGCCGGTAAATTATGCTTTATATATTGGTAGCGTTTCTGGTGGACTTGCAAGGGGTGTTACATGAATTAGCTATAATTTAGCAGGGACAGTCTGCCTGTTGCACGGTAACTTGGACAAGCATATATTATATAATAAATACAAAGCTCTACACCCATATTATTTAGTTATTGATTTTGCGTGTATTGAGAAGGACACATTCACGCTGGTCTGAAATATATCTAGGAGATATAATCTTTGATGATTTTATTTAAGTCTTGACTGTCCTTCCCGGTCTATATATTGGTGGCCATGATGGAAAATGTCTGACTTTGACCATTACGCCCGGCAACTGAGGCCCCATGTACTGAACTGATTCATCGCGGATTAACTCTAAAGCGGCGAAATATTATATGTATAATATATTATAGAAAGAGAAGGAAGATTTATTTATTTTATATAACTTAGCTTAGACTTAGCTAAAGACCAACAGTATACTGGGACATTAATTTATTAATTTTATATGTTCTTGAGGTCAGAGTGTATCTTCAAACTGCACAAAGATAAGTATAGGAAGATGGTATTATATTATACTAAAAAAAATAGATAAAAACTTGTGATTCTTCTTGAGCGTCTCCTTATATTTTTCAAGATTAAAAAGAATAAGACAGTTCTTTAATAGAAAAGAAACTTAAATAATATTCTGTTATCTGATATGATAATTGCAAAGCTAGAAAGAGATATTAAGCTAGGTCTGGATTCATATTAGTAGAGATTATATTATATAGTTGATAGCTAGTGGTTTTATCTCTACTAAACCTGTCATGAATTATGCGGGATATTAATAATATTTTATAAGGCTAAAATCTTTTACTTCGGCATGAATTACTAGATAATAGTAGTTTCCAATAATTACATCCAGTACATAGTTAGTGGGGGGAGAGTTGGTTTGGGAGGCAGGGGTTATTATATGTTTAAGGAAGCAGCAATCTTTATACTTATTAAAAAATACATCACGCGACAGCCATACAAGCCGCACAAGCAATGGTTAGTTGTTCAATGTATAACTGTATCCCGACTGTTTCTTCCGCTCGGGAATGTGCGCTATTTCGAAATCCCATACTTTCTTGGTACTCGAGGAACTTCTTACGTAGGTAAGACCCTCCACGTATTCAACCGCATTTCCCAGTTGCTGATGTCGTGGCTTAGGCAAATGGCAAGCCACAAGTGGCTTGTCCCGAGCCGAGTAAGCGAAAGGCTTGTAACGTAAACCACGATCGCGCGGCCCATCTTGTAATACCATACAAAACATATACTCTTTGAGAAGTGTTATATCTCACTAATCACGTCTCTTGGGAGGATATAACTCTGCATATTGATTACTGATTAAAGATAAACTTCTGAAACTTACTCAAAAAGTTTCTAAAAAATATATATGACCAGCCATTATTAATGGTTATAAATATACTAGAAAAATATTAAGATAAAATTTGTTATGTTTATAGTCTATGTTCTCAGAATAAAGTGCTTTACTCTCTAAGTGGCTGAGATATTTTGAATCAAATAAGTAGCTTTTGTATGGCATTATTAGATGGGCCGCTCGACCGTATGGGCCGCGCGATCGTGGTTTACGTTGAGTTAGTTGTTAGCCTGGCCGGCTGTGAAGACAAGATTGCCTCTCCGTACAGAACATCATAGTTTGTTGAATAGACTCGCGCTACTCGAGCTACACACACCATGTGTGATCGGCTCTTGGCCCACGAAAGTGCCCATTCACTAGCAATGCATAGATCTGGAAAGTATAATATTGATTACTAGTCAGAAGGCAGACAACTCTGTTAGTTATAGAAGTTAGTAATAATACTACTAGGCTGAGGCTTTAAGATATAGAACTTGCAAGGATTAGACCTATTATATAAGTAAGACTGATAAAGATAAGGAAGTATTTCAGTGCTGCTATATAATAGTTATAAAGAGGAGCTATCAGAGGATTATTATAAGAAATACTGCTTCTAGCTATAACTTCATGATAAATAGGTAATATTTATATTTAGAGGAATGAACTAGACTGTCTGCTTTAAGAATAGCATTGTGGCGCAGCACAATGAGTATAAGTATACTATACACAGTATTCAGCAAGTAGAATTCATGTATTAATATAATATAATCAAGGCCTGGCTAGGCCTACGGCCCTTCTATATAGAGAAGCTCCTTAATTGGAATCTGGTATATTAGTCTATCTCCCTGCTCTGGAATGTACTGGTCATCTCTCTTTGCCGGTACAGGTGTTTATACCTGCCGGATAATTTACTTCATGTAAGGCATTCTTAGTGATTTGTTGCTGCTGATAGTCTGCTTCGTCTACGTGCTGTTCTTGATCAGCCTCTTCCTGGCCGGTCCGGTCGCTTGGTACCCCATGCGGGATGGTGTATAAGTAATGGACATGCCTGGCTGCTACTTGCAGGCCCTTCTTTCTAACTATAAGGATGTTCTAACTCTCCTGGAAGACTCTGAGCATGTAGAGGACGTGGTCCTCACCAAGGCAGTAATCAGCGTGATTGTAATTCTTGGGACAGGGCAGACTGAGCTGTTCCGACAAGTCATCTCCCCATCGCAGATACAGCATGTTAGAGTGGTTCCATACAAGGGGAAGAAGAAGTCGTGGAATAGAAGGCGCCGTATCGGGACAACGAGGCGCATGCTACGAGATGAACATGGATTATTAATTAGGGATTGCTCAGTATAGCTGAGTTTTGTTTAAAGCAGTCTATATCCGCGACCCATCTGATGATTTCTTCTGCATCCAGCGGACCCTGTGTGTACAGTACCTAAGGATCTCAAGAAACAGCTAATATTAGGTATCTCCGTATTTGTTTGCCTTCTGTTGGAGCACTGACTCCTTAGTAGGCAAGGGTACACCTCGCCAAAACACGGGTTGGGTTGAGTTTCCATCTTTTGAGCCCGCCCACGATTTACCCAGGCTGGGTTTCGGGGGTCCCCAACCCGCCCAAAAATCACGGTGGCTGTGATGAGTATCATGGTGGCTGAAACTTATGGCAGGGATGGGACCAGCATATATATGTGCTATCCCGCCTTTGTAAAAAAAAAAAAAAAAAAACAAAACTCCTTAAGTAACCGACAACCAATCAATCTATTCTGACTTCAGCAGTTTAAAAAGATGGAAACCCAGCCGAACCCGCGTTTTGGCGAGGTTTAGCGACAACCTGCATTGCTGCGGATCCAAGCGGCGTGTGGTATTTTCTCACTCAACGCGGTCATTCGTCCAATTTAGCCTTATTCACTCTGATATATACCACAATTTATTAGTCTGTAGTCTCTGAAACTGGTCTGCCTAGCCTGTAGCTCAAGGCTTCCTCCCTCATTAACACCCATCTCACAAAGTAGTATTGACCTATGGAACTTGAACAACCCTGGGCAACGGGACATGCCGAATGGTGGGCGACGTAGGTAAGTTACAGGGAATTATTGAATCAACAGGATGTCAATCAACAGGGAACATCCCCAGGACAATGAATACTCCGCATATAAGTGTTTCCTGGCCTCCCCTCCTTGGTCTTCCGCATAGTGTGCAATACACCTACCTGAATCTTGCAATTTACGCCGGTCTCTGCAAGCGCGGTCCTCCCACTTAGATCATGTTGTTATTCACTCTCGCTCCCCCTGTCCGCGAGACACTACTGGGCCCAGATTTTTAGAAAGAAACGTGAATATCCGTCATGGGTAGCTCGTCATCTTCGTTTAACGTGCCCGGAGAAAGTTTAGATATATTCAACCCAGCGCAAACCCAGAGCGAAAGAACTTCTACGGGCCATATTTCGGCGGCTGGAGAGGAACATAAAATGGCACCGCCGTCCAACAGCAACTCCCATCACTGCCCAGCCCTCAGATCCCCTGAAGGCAAATTCGTGGCCGACGAAAAGCTTGGCCCAGTCCTATCCCGATCAGCACCCCCAGCCCTTCCGAGCATCATTCGGACGACCAAAGCCCTCTACTGACGCAGGTGGTGAGGCGGCCGGCCCCTACACGCGTCTCCAGTCCACCGATCTGCCATAAGAGAGCACAGTCAACTCAAGATCAGAAATTAACTGTCTAAGCCCCAGCCGAACGTGAGAGCCGCAGCAGGTATATGGTCATGGTGCATTGCTTCATTGAAAGTTCACAGGACTACCCTAGTAAAAGCATGCTTCGTGTGACGATCAAAGTAGTCTTATGTGTTGACGACCTTTAATGCAGGGACGAGCAGGATGAGACGCAGTAGCTCGCAGTACCGCATGTCAGATACTGGGATGCCGTCTCAGTCCTTATATGCACCCTCCACGCTCAATCTGCTGTGGCGGTTATTATAACACATCTCCGGTCGCGCGAGGCAGTAAGTATAAATCGAGACCGAGACGTATGCGGCCGCAAAGGAACTCTTCACAATGACTTTCCCGAATGGCGGGGCATACCGTCGCGCTTGGTGTCTTTTCAATTGACTGGTGGGCAATCGAAGCAATCTGTATCCGTCTGCGGCAAGGTTCCTATGATCATTTATCTACCTACTGTAAATTTCCTTGGCACTACCCTGCACTGCAAGCTGCCACGTTGACTGAGGCGATATCGACTCGACAACTCACTACGTGTGGCTGGTACAAGGGTGGTCTGAGCACAGAGAGCAGCAGAAGTCGGCGTTAGGCCTAACTGGATACGTTGCACTGCGCCTCTGCTCCTTTATGTCTTCATGGTGCAACCAATTTGTCCCGTCCATGTCAGTGCCGGGTCTGAGAAACCGTCACGGAGCTATTTATTATGTTCAAGGTTGGCGCCGCTATTGAATTTGTACGCGTCTCGTGGAGTGGGTGGGAAGAGGTCTGCGCCTGGGCAACCTTGCATCCTCTGAACAGATTAACGTCCCAACTGATTGCCACGCACCCGTTCCCGGAGCAGATGATATAACGGATTATTAACCATGTCCACTCCGTGTCCTGTCACCATCTTTCCACCATCTTTTGAACATATTCTCACTATTCTTTGCCTCTTTACCTTATTTCCCCCCACCCCATGACCAGACGGGCAATCTCCGGGGGTCCATCGTGCATTGCCCGTCACAAAGGTTGGAATATGTCGAGCAGGCCATAAACCGAACGCATCTGAGCGGGAAGTATTGAACGAGCAACTAGTTCGAATCAGATATACCTCGATGTGCAGACTCCTTGTCCAAAGCGAACTGGAATGGGTTACCACAGGACTCGCGACGTCATGTACGTCATTGTTCAGGCGCAGGATATGCCACGGATGGAATCTATTGTGACTGGGCATACATCGTATGTCTCAGGGCTGATAATAGGGCCTTTTGCTAGCGCCTGCTTTCATTGACTGGGATTATTTGACAGTGCCGAGAAATTTCTGGGTGCTGGTGGCTAAACATTTCATGATTACACAAGGAGGCCATAGGGAGATTAAGAAGCAGCTACGAGCGGCTAGAGCTGAAAATTTTTTCGTTGAAGCAGGCTTTAAGATACTATTATGTTGACTTTTCCGTCGTAGCACATACTCGAATTATATCAAAGTCGCTTAGATCAAGTAGGCTATATTTTACTCAATAGTGATGCTAACAAGGCTCGCAGGCTCTTGATCATGGCCTCGGATCCTTCAACCCATATGCACAACATTTGACGAATCTGACTGCGTCTTATTATTCTAGCAGGCCGATCAATAAAGGGCGTTGATATACAGCGATCAGCACTTGCTATGTTACATGACACGTCTGGGTGACATGCTAACAGCGAAGTAGGATCCAGACGACTCGCGCTTTGGCGAATATTGTACAGGATATTGCGCACTGCAGAAGAAGTGGTGGCAAAGTCAGAAAATGTCAACTTCCACACGACTAACGTTGTCTGGTAAGTTGTTCGATAAATCCCCGTCTAGTGTTCCAGGATGCTGCTCCTACTGCGGCCGTTGCGTTTTTTGCAAAATGTGATGGTATGGTGCGACTCCATTATAACAGTCTTACGAACATCTACACGCCTGTTCCTTGCATTGCAGAATGGTACTGGTTAGTCCAGAGATCTGTAATGTAGGGGCACGTCTTAGGGCGGGGCGCGGGGCCACTCTGGACAACTTTCGTGGCCGCGTGCACGACAGCATCCCCAGTCGCTTACGACCACCTATTTCTTCTTGCACACCCAACAGGATCGTCTCAAAGTCATATGTGCATATCCCTTAGTCCAGTCGTTTTGAGTATTCCCTACAGCCTTCTTGAACGTTAGAGAAAGAGAATCCTCTTTTGTCCCCTTATTTTGCGCCCCGCAAAGATTAATCTTATGCTATAACTCCTTAGCTAATGTTTCCGACGGTGAAATCTCCCTTTTGCCACTCGATAGTCTCTCCCAGAAATTCCCTTCCTCCTTCAGACGAGCACATCCATTCCTGCAACAGAATTCTGATGGTTCTGTTCTTCTAACGGCCAAGTAATCAGCTCCTTAGCAGCCTTTGCAAAAAGGTACAGGATCCATGATACACGTCATGCAGATGGCGAGGACTGCACGTGCTTAAGATTACGAATATAACTTATCCTAATAAGGAACAGTGGAGGACGAGGAATGAATAAAATAAGAGACAGAGCACTAGCAGCGAGATATCCGCATAAAGAAGGCTGTTCATGGTTATCATGATGAGTATATTAAAGGGCAAAAGCCTCTCTGCCTTACACATCCGGGGATAAGCTAACCACCATACAACTACCATACGGACTAATATCTGCACCGCCAGAACCCTAGGGAGATGACTTTCATGCATATACATGTGAAGTAATCAATTAATCAGTAACACTTCGCCAGCTGACAGCCGTAGTAAAAAGGAGAGGAGAGGGTAGAGGCTGGGCAACATGGAAAAAGCAGCTCCGACGACTTCAGTGAACCGCAGCGGCTCCATGTAAGCACGGCACTTTACATAGCTAAACAGAACGTACGCCCAGAAGAGAAGGTCATTGTGGCGAACAGCGCCTCAATTTTCAGTTCCATTCGAGTCTGATTGGCTGGATTCGCGCCCCTTGGGCTCACGATCGCCAAGGCGTATAACAGATGTAATAACGGCATACGGGACTGACATAGAGCAGCTCCACCATACGTCTACCGGTAGATCCATTGACAATGATGGACAAGGTAAGACGATCTCGGTGTCCACCATAACGATAGCCTCCTCATCTGATTGGAAGGGGGAAGTAGATAGTACAGCCTCTGTTTCGGCACTTTCGATGAGTATAGTTGTTTTAGACGTATGATTAATGACGCAATCCTTGGTCTCCATACCTTAGCCAGAGCAACCGTGCGCTAATGGGTCTACTGTTGAGGCTGCGTGCCTTCGGGATTCGATTTCCAGTTGCATTTCTCCTTCCCACGCTTGTATAGCTCCTCTCTCTTTCCCCTCCCATCATTTCCATCACTTTCGCTCCGCCGTGGCTGGCTGGCATGTTCGCAACCGCTCCTTCCCGTCTCTGTCACCTGTACACAGCCTATCTCTTCGTCTGGTTTCGCTTTAATCCTGGGTCCGTCATCGCTGGTTGGACTACTTCCCGCTATCCTTGCCCGCGGCTCACCTCTCCAACAGCTCTTCACTCTCCTATGCAGAAATACCATCGTGCTATGCCTATACTCAAGACTAATTGACAATTCCACGCCGTGACGAATCGTATTCACTCATCCAGAGTGTCTTTATCTATGGGATTTTGTATCTATAGTACTGGGTATCCTCAGAATACACTTTATTATGGCCCAGCCCGTACCTTTTGAGATTCACCCCGGACATCGGACCAGACTGCCAGAACAAGAGTGCCTTAAAAGTCTTCCTAGAAAACACCATACAATCCGTCCAAATGGGAAATTTAATGGGTACATGAAGTCTCCAATCGTACAATCTTGCTTCAATTGATTTGTTTAGATTGGATTTAATTGCTTGATAGGTTGTCTCATGTTTCTGTTTAGCTGTTTCCATCCTTGTATCCCACGCAGCCAAAAAGTCACTAGGTTAGCCAACCCTTGGTTATCAGGAGTCTGGGTGCGAGGGTAAGGATACGCAATGTATGCACTGCAAGCGAAGATTCGAGAACATCCCAAGTAAACATCTAAAGTGCTGAATTGTGGCTACAAATGACAGACGGGGATAAATAAAACAGAAAGAGAAGAAGCAATGAAAATGAATGGTGAAACTGGAAAGGGAAAGATGAATAAAGCTAAACAGAGGTATCTTCCAACAGCCGTGAGTCAGTAGTTACCAGTCCCAGAGGAATTCCAGAGGATGGAGCGCAACCCAAAATGGTTTATTAGGTGGTTGCATCACCGGCGTATCCGCCCGCTGAGCACTTCATCTTTGATTTCGCGCATCCATGGATACCAGATCCCGACCCTGTCCACCACACCAAATCGCAGAGGTCCCGAGTCGGGAAGGCCCGCTCTCTCAAGGACGAGGCCGCCGTTCCGCAGGCGCTGCTGTTCCCGCAGGGTCGGGCACTTCTTATCCTTGATAAATCGATAATATCTGCATTGGATTCCCTGGATTCCCCAGCGCTGCCGGCTGGGGAATTGTTTGTTGAAGCTTTTGTGCACTTCTTTCCATTCCTGGGAGAGGTCCACTCGGTGGTACCAGATGAAGTACATTTCCTCTTCCTTGTACTTAGGCCGAGGAGGCCGTCGCCGCTCCGCTGCATTGCTGGAGCTGCGGGAGACAGAGTTGTATTGCTCCGGTAAGTATATCCCGGGCGAGGACTTTGGCGATCGGTCCCAGTAAGGCATGAACGCCGCATCCAGCGATGATGCAGGACTCTCTGCGTAGGGGCGGTGCCCGTCTGAGTAGGGTGAATAGAAATATTGGTTAGGACTGGGAGGGTATAGCGGCGACTGTTGGGGCCCAGGATAGTTATATTGGAATCGGGAATTGGCGGGGGCTCTCTCACTCAATGGGTTCAATATAAAATCAATTGCCATGTGACTCCGACGGGACGCCGGCAGGTAACCGGGCCGTGCCTGTTCGCGAGCGGCCTCCATGGCAGGCGTATGGGAAGAGACCGGCAGGAGAGAGTACAGGAGGAGTTGGAGGCAAAATTAGTCTTCGGGTCGAGAGAAACGAAAGCCGCCAGAGGAGAGACGATATACTTGAAGAAGATGGGGCTGAAGATAATCCTTTGCTCTCCCGCAGTTGAGCTGGTGGGCCGACTGAAAAGGACGGCACAAAGGGGACGTGGGAGAAAGTAGCATTAAACAAGTAAGACAGAAATTGAAATACGAACAGAGTTGTGACAGATGGGGAGATCTTTCAGCAAAGGATGGTGGAAGGGGCGTTCCTTCTCAGGCGCGCTGCTCTGAACTGGGGCCTGATGGAAGAGGGGTTGGGAAGACAAAGTGATACGGAGCAGTCGAGGAGTCGGGTAGCTTTGTTGAACCGACTTAATCCAGGAAAGGCCGGGCCTTTAAGTATCACCACCGCCGTATGAGACTTCCGGTTAAACTCTTCGGGGGGGAGGGGTGGGCAATAGTAGCCAAAGGTCCCTGCTCTAAGCCAAGCAGGGTACCAGACCTCTAGATCCTCCTACCCTGTAATAGAGGCCGATGGTAACTGCGCCTCCGTCCGGACGTGGAGAGGGTCACTCACTCCTACGGCGGGTACGCCACGACAACCTGCGTGATGAATTGCACCTGCGCCAGTAGGGAGCGACAATGGTGGTATCCTGAATATTGGTTGGAGAGGAGAACGCCTTGTAGGAGGGAAGACTGCGCGGTTAGCTAATCGGGATGATGCTTTTCCAAATACACTTCTAACCACTTCCTTCAACCCTGGGTTATCTGCAAGCATGCCCTTGCGGTAGCCGTCGAAATATACTGTGGTAAATCCCGTCAAAAAATTAGCATTCGACCGGAAAGCGGAATAGGTACTGTAGCGGGCTGGTAGAAGCTACACATCATAGAGAAATGGATACAGCCGAAGAAAGCAAGCTTCCATATAAGAATGCCGTCTGGAAAACCTCGGCATCAGAAGGATTCGCCACTTACCTGGACGACAGATAAATCCTCAGCACTCTAATGGGAAGCAGAGGGCCAAAGGAGGCACGGGGATGAGAGAGTAGCATTTGATGAGTTGGATGGTTCACCGAGTTGAGATCGCGGCAGGGTCACGTTGGCAGACCGACGACGTGCAGGGCCACACTGGACGCTTAGGGAGGTTACTTGGGAAAGCCGATCACCGTCAGGTGATGGATGTAAATCGCTGCAATTTTTCACTTAGACGGTTTACATGCGCTATCTTTTACTCTATTATGATCTTGTTTTAGGTATATTTCTCATTTTATACTTTGAGCTTGTTTATTTTCGTTTTATTTCCCTCTTTTCTTTTCTTCCTTGCGCCTTGGAATGCCGATCCGGCCGGTCCGTGTAATGCGCACCATGGGTACCAGAAACTCAATGTGGAATGTGATGAGACTGGATCAAGGAGCCGCGTCAAGGGGGAAAAGAATGAGTAAAAAGGGCAGGGAAGTCACGAACCGAAGTATTTAAGATAACTGAAATTAGCCTTGATCCCATCTTTGAGCTCCGGTCGACGAAAGAAAGACGATAAGTGGTTACCACGAGTCCAGTCGCACAGTATACCGGGCCGTTGGGTGGTCTGCAGCCTTCCACTTCAGAATCACCAGCGATTCATTGGAATGAAGTCTTTCAGCAATACATAGATGAGTTATGTCGTAACCGACTAAGCGTTCAGTCGACCTTTGTCAGTCAACTCATCTTCATTATGCTTCTTTCAAATATGACCTGCTTGCTGTGGTCGAACGTTATCTCATTCCAACTATTGTTTCTATCGCGGTACAATTGAATTTGTCTTTCTCTGAGAAGAGCGCGTCTACATTTGAAAATACTATCCTTTTCAGATATTATGCGAACGTGAGGAGATTATCAGATGTAGTACCGGATATGAGAGTAAATAGAATGATTTCTCGATTAAAAGAGATATGTGCGGGAAGAGAAACTGTCTTCATGACAGTCTGATTTTAGATGTTACAGGTCTAGACCGGCTTTTTGACTAAATGGATTCGATATAGCGCACATCGACAAGTGACTGTATGCAGCTGATGCCTAGTGCGAGCACCTAGACACTCAGATGCCTGACATGGTGTCTGTCCATCCGAGCCTTGAATTGTCCGGATATCCAAGTTCAGCCCTCCAGGCTGTCAGTTATCCCCAAGTCGTAGACATCAGAGTCCCGAACGCATCAGAGGTAAAACATGTAGCTTTACGTATAAGGATCTCAGGCACTTACCACTTTTCTTTCGGATGGGCTGGATGCGGCCCATCGGATACTAGGGGTTGCCGCTATGCAGGCAAAGCGGCTCAATGCCGTGAGCCAAAGCGTTGGACGCCAATAGGAGCCCAGGTGCGCCAATTCCCAGATGCGGAGTCTTGTTGTCTCCGGGGGGTAACTACTGCAGGGCCTACATGCACCAAACCATTGTCCTCCAGGTTGACCCTACGAGCCTTTTCGCGACACAATCTTCATTTTGACCATCTCAATCGGCCATGGCCAACACGCCTACTACGACTCCGCGGCGCGAGGGCTAGAGGAGGCCGTCTCCGAGCTGCGTAGCTCGCAATGTCCCTTCAACGTCAACGCTTTCACTGTTTTCGGTTTTGCCCTCCAGTACCGAAGGTATTACGTCCTCGCCGCCCAAGAGTATAGAATGATGTGTGTTTATTTGCCATTCTCGCTTCGGTGTAGCCATCTAGTCTCAATATCCGTAGAGAAATATCTGAAACCAAGTCGTAGTAACTAAAGTAGGACAATGTTATTATTGACCGAATATGGCTCTACCTGAGCTGGGTCTTCTTACTGCCCTGAGCCCTCGGAATATTGTCTACTCTGTCCGAATGTTGTATGCTGATTAACGAGGCAAGAACTTCGCTCAGCAGACAGTTGCGAGGCTCTTCCAGGAAGATAACACTTATCCAGCCGTTCATCCGGCAATTCTCCGCACTTCGCACAATTCTGAGAGCTACCCCTATGAGCTATAAGTTGATGGTTTATTTCTGCTGAACTGGCTTTCCAGGTCCACTCGGCATACTCTTTCTCAAAGCAAACGCATATCTTGATGTTTGAAGGCGCGGCCATTATAGCGGTACCAGTCTACAATGGTGTTGTGAAGGCGTGACATTCGGCAGCTGGCTGAGGTCAGCTGAGTGACTCCCATTCTACCCGCAGTCCCCCGCGCTGGAACTCACCATAGTATCGATCGGAGATACCCTTGACGCTGTAGCATAATGCAGACCTGGTATTACTTTATCACTTTTACTTTGTAGAGATGCTTTCTAACAACCGACAGTGGCTATCGGTAGTTGGACTGTCTTCCGACAAAAACACCTTTTGTCGTTTCGCGATCTCAAAATAGCCAGATAACAACCTCTCGAGGCACCCGAGGACAACAGTGGTCGTCATCGAATCAAATCAGGCAATTCGTCACTTATTGCAATCTTGTACATCCTTGAAGCGGGTGAGCCTAAGAAGAAAGACGATAGTAGAGTCCAGAGCGACTTCGACGCGGAAGTCCAGCTTTCCCTCAATGGCCCTTGCAGAGTGCTTCAACCCTGCTGGAAAAACGGTACAGCAATATCGCTCGAATTGCACACTCTCGGATTCCCTCTGTCTAGAATGACATAGAGGGAGCTGTGAATTACGTTGGCGTACTTGTCACTCACGCGACCAAGCCTTTGCTTGACCCCGGCGCGGAGTGTATTGAACACGTATTTCTCTGCTTAACTTCAACTATATGGAATCTCTTGTCACACGCGAGAGCAACATCATCTTTATCACGAATTCAAGGGTGACGTCTGTCCCTTAACTCAATACTCGACGCTCACTCTGACGACCCTCGCAAAATCAATTCCAGTGCAACCGTGTCGTAATAGGGATGTCTGGTTATCTCGTACGACGAGGAGAAAGTAGTTGTAGAGTACAGGCTGATTTGGGCATGTATACTTCATCTGCGTAGCTATACAGCTATCGCTATAAAGGATAGCGCCTGTCTATTCATCTGTTAGATCTTATACTTGCCAGGTCTCCCCCGCCACATGCCCTTCCCTTTTCAACTCCGGCCTTTTCCAAAAGCAGCATTCTGCCCCATCGTCTTCATACCATTGGATACGTTTTAGGCAACTCTGCTCCTATTATAGATCCGTGACTGCGGTTGACAAACGGAGGCTGTTCAAGAGGCGCAATAAGAATGTCACAGGCTCCGGGGATTCACAGATGTTGGCTTATGGTTTCGAATGTCGGACATGTTAGGCTGGATGATGTGAAAGATTTCATTCCAAGGGCGTATTTCGGTCCTGGAAGCCCACGGGAGGTGGGTACCAAGACTTATACAAGGAAGATTGGGGAGCCAGTTTGACGGACACTACCGCCAAGGGAAAATGTACGGGAAAACCCTAGGACAACGTCTACTTGAACTTGATGTCACGCATCCGAGTCTCTTGTGTACCCTGTAAAATGTGCACTAAAGCAGCATGGTGTCTTTTACCTTGTGAGGCTGCGTTCCCGTGTCTTTGTAGTCGACTACTCTCAATTCCTTTCATAATCCTTCAGTATTTTTCTGTTTCGCTTTCTCACTGTCTTCTGTTCATACCGCTCACCTGCGGTGCATCTCACATACCTGCATCGGCGCCACACATCAAAGAAACAACTACCAGTACTCTTCATACGTGGTATCGAAAATGGGCTGTACCCCTAAACAGGTTGATTTTCCTCAGCAGGGAGCTGCAGGATAAATCCAGCGATGACGGCTAAGGATAACCGGACCTAAGATTATGCCAGTAAGCTCTCGGATTACTCTCTCCGCCTTAGAACCGCATTCTGTTATGTGGGGTAATGGAAGTCATCCAATATCACGACTGGGATAGATCCATGTTAGCCTCCAATTTAATTTCTATGGCTCTATAATCGCCAGTCACCTCCTCAAGTCAGTTTCTTATCCACGCATATTGGGCTGATTGTCTATGTCGATATTATTTCACCCTCGTTCATCGGCCCATTGTGGTATACGACTTCATAGCGCGCCGACCAACACGGGCTCACGAATACCTACTATTGTTTCAGTAGCGGGGACGTGGAAGTCGCACATACATTAGAACGAAGGCTTTCCTGGGTACCTAACATACTTCGGAAGGAAGACCATGCCATGGAGGATTCAGGGACCACCAAGAGTGCAGAATAGTCCACAATCGTCCTGTGTGGAGAGGATTTGATTGTGGATACTAAAAGTATCAAGAGGTATTTAATAGAGTCAGCCCAAAGAGTTGGTAAGGAGCAAGTATTCAAAAAAGTAGGTCTGTGGACGGTATGACGTTAATCTGCTATGGTATGAAAGAGTTTGGTCATGCCCAGGGCGGTTGGCTACGAGAGGGCTTGACGGCCAATGAGAGCGGTCTGCACGTACCCTGTCTGAAACGTGTTGAAATGTCAAGTTCAGTCCCGCTCGTAATCACCGGTCCCGACGCTTGAGCTGACTAAAGCGGAATAACATAAGCGGCGACCGAGTCGGCCACGTAAGCGAGTCGCCCACCTCTGCTAGCATACCGGCATTCTGATTTATGAAACGCACAAGTTATACTAGTTGCACCTGTCTTCCAGACTAGTGTCTTGGCTGTAGCGCCAAGAAAAGAGAAGAGTGTTCTCAATGGAGGAAACCAGCTTATTAGTAACACATTGCCAGGAATATGACAGCTGAACATGCTTTTTTTTGTTTTAAGGAGCGACCTATCAGCGTAGATAATAAGGATAGTTGATTCTCGCACCACTACTGCTCCATAAATTCTGCTAAAGGGTACCTATGCGTGACCAAAAGTCGGATGATGCGGGGGAACAATGTCCTAGTGTGCGTCCATTAATGTGAGCGGAATCTCTTTCCAGCGAATCCGGCGCTCTGACTCTCGAAGCCGACATCCACAGGGGGAGAGTGACCGAACCCTCGGTATTGCAATCCAACCACCGCCTGGTAAGGGCCAACAAGCAGCCAGAAGGGGCTCTGATCCAGCCCCCTAGACCAAGAATGGTATGGACAATTTTTCAGGACTCAAACTTAGACGCCGTTCTAAGAGTGTCCTATCACATTAGTTACCACGTAGCCTAAGAGTTCCTACTGAGACATTCCATCCAGCTTCGGAGAGACCTTCCACCAATCATTGTGACCCATATACGATCATTTGTCTCAAAGAATCTCTTCAGGCTCTCAAGCGATATTCAGTAGTCCTTTTTTTCTCTCACGTCTGTTGAGGATCTTTAGAGGCATTTCACAGATAATCGAATCCGATTAAAAGCTCGCCGTTTGGAAAAGAATAAAATGGCAGGTAACCTGGTTCTGCCCACTTATGAGTTCTCTAATTCCTATCTGGTCCCTCCCGCCGTACCTGGGCCGAGGCTGAGATCTTTTGACCGTGTCTCAGTTGTATGTCCCTCAAGTATATGAGAGATGAGGTCCCAAATCGTTTTACGTCGCCTTGACTGCCATCTGCAGGGACAGCATATGGCCTATGCTATTCTTTGACTTGGCTTCTGGCATCAAGATGTATACATGCTCAAGTTATATTAAGGCACAAGACCAAGAAAAAGAGAGGTGGAAGAAAAAAAATAAAAATAAAAACAAAAATAAAAACAGCCGGAGGTCTTAGGCCCAACTAGAAACCGAATCCAAAGGATTTTGTGACAATATCAATAATATCGACATGTCTGGGTTTTCTAGCTACGGGGCAGCCAGCAACGCGGAAGCGTGATGCATAGTGAACCAAAGCAGGGGAACGCGGCAATAAACAATGAATAGGATGGTTTTCGGACAGTCAACTCTTTTTATTACAACCACCGTTGCTCTTGGTCTAGCTCCTGAATTTCAGGCATCCGGCTTCTTCCAAGACCTGCCCGGCTATCCATTTGGCTCCGGACATCCACAGACCTCACTGTCATACTCCTGCCTAACGTAATAGATCTTCCCTGTTGATTCAGTGCACTCTCCTCCAGTCTCAGCACAGTCCCTATGGCTTTGTGGTCTTCAATAATTTTTGGACGTCGTTGGGCAAAGTACTTGGCATACTTGAGCAGAGACCAGTAGTTGCTTCCGATGTTGATGATGGTGATCAGGAATTTATACGGCATCTGTTTCAAGTGTGTGAGAACAGTCACACGTGGCTCAGACTAGAACGTGCGGAACTTACATAGTAAAATATGATTACCTTCCATCTGACTCGCTCATGCTTCAAGCGCAGGTGGATCTCGTTGAAGAGGATAATTTTGATTAAATAGAGAGCCATTGTTCCCATCAGAAGAGCGATGCAGAAGTTTGCTCGCACAGGGAGCGATATTGGAAGCATAAAGGGGGCTAGAAGGCCTAGTATAGCTTCGTAAATCTGTGCCTTTAGATTAGCCATGAGTACAACAAATTTGGCGTCGAAACAGCTACTACCTCCTGAAAAACAAAAGCTCGCTACCTATCTCCCATCTCCCTAGCTCCCACGACCGAGAAGAATACGCCAAGTTATAGCGCAGTCCGTTGGCAACAAAGAAGTTCCACCGTGTGAACCGCTGCCTGAAGACGGTCATCTCGCCGAATCCACTACGGCCGTCTTTGTCATTGGTATAGAAGACAGCCGGTGGCGCACTGGTTTCCACGAAAACAGCACTGCACATTTGGATCCTTCCTCCAAGTCGCCGACAGCTGTTACCTAGGAATCAGTCTTCACTAATAGAGAATCCAGGATGATCTTCAAGAGCATCACTAGGGAATTCTCGTTCCCAGAGCCATATAGCACCATGTGGGAAGGTAGCACTGCCAATTCGTCCTGCAAAGGTACGCTGTAACCCGGAAAGCTTGTACTCCAAATCCTGTGCCTGCTGGCAGTATGTTCCCTTGGAGAAAAATGAGCCGACAACTTTGAGAGTATAGCCTATACAGCGGACTCGTTTTGTCAAGCGTGAAACAACAATGGGGAAGTTTCTGGATAGAACACAGTCATCATAGATTAGTAGAACTTGACGGAAGCGCTTGGCAGCATAGCATCCAACTAAGAGTGCGATGATTTTGGAGCCCACTGGAATCCAGACATGATTTACACCAAAGGATCGGCAAATCTCTTCAGTATTATCAAGTGGGGTAGGTGAGTCGCCATTTGCAAGTACGAACACATGGGAAGGTGGGAATATCTTCAGGACTGCTTCGAGTGTCTCATAGATAAGAGGGGCGGACTTGTGGCATGGTATGAGAAGGGCGGTATCTGGAGCACCTGAGGGTGTACAGTGACTGTGGTGACTTTTGAGATCTGGAGCATCCTTCTCGAAGGTAATGAGCAGAGGCAGGAACGAGTAGCTGTAAAGGCATACGTAAGCGGCAAAACTTGTCACTTGCAGGACAGGGGGATAAATGTTGATGGTGAACAATAGAGAATCACCTACAAGATCACAAGGCCGATCACGATGGACCACCCCCCTTGGAAGACAAACTTATTCTGCATCAGCCAGTAGAGCCAGGAGACAGCTCCTTTCCAAAGAAGTACTCCCACCAGCACAAAGTACACGAAGACAATAAAGAGCGTGTATGTTCCGTACTCAATCAGCAACTGCACCCAGTATTGGCGTTAATGTTTGATTTTAACAAAATTAGTCCTATCGTACCTGCTCCAGGGGCTGGTATCTCGGACTCTCCCAGTAATACTATGGGTTGTAGTATGAGACAGTGAGAAGAGACGTCTGCTGAATTTGTTGTGCTTTCGTGTCTCCATCCCCAAAAATGAACTGGGATCAAGTGTAGGCTGAATAGGTGAGGTAACTTTATCTCCCGTGCCTTTAAAGTGGTACAGGGGAAGTCTGGGGACCATAGACTGTTTCATAGGGTGCGGATGAGCTCCAAGACCATGCGGCGTGTCGACTGTAGGACCGTCCTCCGGAACAGGATAGACATTTGTCCTATCTTTCTGCAGCCCGTATGCTTGACTGGGTTGCCTTCGCCTAGCCTCTTTCCTAGTAACTTTTATGACTGACCAGCTAGGAGTAGGCGGCCGTCTTTTGGGAATGCACAGATCACCATCCGGACTTGCAGCCATGGGTTGCGGTGACACGTGCTTTGGCACTTCTTGACGCCACACTCCTTCGATTGATGCCGCCGTCAGAAGACAATCAGGAATAACAGTTTCCTCAACGGTGGACCCATCAGCCATGGGATGGGCACTGTGCGGGTATGCCCCGTTCGTTGGAGAAGCGTTGCAGGTAAAGGACATGCTGGGACAGCGGATTGTAAGTCACAAAAATGCAGGGCTGCTGGAGGCTAGGGTAATGGAAAAATAGTGGATCGTGCATATGACACAGGCATCCTGCTGTCCTGAGCAGCCTCTTATATCCTTTGTGCACATATTATGCTGTATCATATGATGTGCCAATGTAACTGGCACGCGGAATGTCTTGATAGTGATATTATTAGCTCTTCCGCATTCTCTGTGCAGGGGTTGAAGAACATGCTATCTGTCAATACTTTGCGAGTCATGCGCCATCACTTCCACATTGCTGTTTACTAACCGTGGCATCATGTGCAATGCTCTCCCGGCCTATATGGCAAAACAGTCCAAGCCATGGCCTTATGGTATCTGCCATCTGCTCTAGCCTCGGCCCTGATCAGTATAGTAGCATGGTAGACAACACCATCATTCAGTGGCTTAGCGACTTACAAGTCCTTGACAGGTATAGTATCCGGGCTGGTAGCGCTAGCACAGCAACTGCGAATTATAACGATTTGTGATCGGGTTAACATCAGCTAAGGGTGCTATCTGGCTTATTATCTTGTCATCTGAGCTTCCACATCGCAGTCGGTAATAAGGCACACATTGGAATTTTCGTCATTTGTAAGGAAGGAAAGCCTATAAGTTCTAGTACAATGGGACAGAACTTATCCTGATTGTCTCTGGGAGACCCCCACCAGGTGGTGGTTGAATTGTCATACGAGTGGCCGATCGCTCTGTCCCTGGGAATGTCATCTTCCAGCATCGAAATATCGGATTTCGCTAGAAGAAAATTTCGGTCAAGTCAGCGGGTGACATGCTAGGACGTTGCTTCACTCTTATATATATATATATAAATGGGAGAAGTAGTTGTGCGAGAACTTATTCACAATTTTAGGCTGATAGATCGCCTTTCAGACAGACAGGAACAACATGTCATAACGTAACCCACGGTCCGGCGGGCCACCCCTTGAATCGACCGCCACCACTGGCCTACTTGCATTTACTTGAATATTTCGGTGCGCCAAAAGACTCGGAAAAGGTCTGGTCTTGCAGCTGCTTCTTACGGCATACCATGGATGATGGACCATGTTCGCTGGTTCCCGGTTTCTCGACCTCTTCTGCCTCTTGTCTCACCCTAAATTTACCATGTACCAAGGGCAACTGTGAACAACAAAGCATAATAACTGGCCATGCCAATATGATATTTCCCAGCATACACTCCCATCCCGTTAAAATCTATGATCGGACAGGTGCGGCTTGCTGTTCCTCTGTTTTCGCGTGATGTGGGGCTTGACGTTCGAGAAGATTGATAGACTCGGCGTCCCGGAAGTCGTCATTCGTAACGGGCCCAAGCTCCGGTACGGTGACAACGTCCAGTCGTAAGCGGTCCGTATCAATATCGATCAGAGCACTTGATTGTCTGCAGACTAGCTCCAAAACTAAATTATCTCGGGTAACTCCAGCTGTAGAGACCGTCTCTATACAGCCAAGTTCAAAATAGTTGTATAAGACCCCCCACCTGCAGACGATTAGAATGAGAGGACGGGTTATCATATATTACACTTACACCCACTGGACGCAATAGCAGGATTCATGTCGCTGCATTAGATGTTCTGGAAGCCACATATATCCCTTCAGGACGTCAATCGGTGGGTAGCCGTCCTTGATGAGAAAGTCGATAGAACTCATAACTGCTAGGAGACGATTTCGCGTGTAATAGAGCATGTTTTTCGAGAGATCTGCATTGATGCACCTGTCAAGTTGACAGAATGCAATGATCCAGTGGGATCTGCAGTAATCTGTCGAAATGAGCTGAGCCTTGATAGACCTTTGATCCATGGTATCCACCGTGAAAGCACTGTCACGTTTAGAGCCGAAATCGTCCAACGTACTAGACGAATCCTGCGGTGCACTAGACTGGAGCAATAGATGACCACGGTGACTAGAGCAAGTTTAACCAACCAGATACGGGATACCTCGTAAGAGAGTGTGTCCAGTGCCCTTGCTCCGGTTTCCTGGGAATTGAAGGCACTGTTAAATCACGCATCGACATGATTCTGATTATTGCATATATCACTTACTTGGTTGGCCTAATGGCTGGTCCAAAGGGTTTCTAGTCATTGGCCGGAAGTCGATCAAGCTTTTGGAGTTACCAAGTATGGATGTAAAGTCACGTAGTCGGTGGTGCTAGCTTCACTGTATGGGTTCCTGGCCTTTTGAAATGGTGGTTAAGAATATTTTAAAGTCTCTATCTTCTCCCAATAGTAAGTTGGAACAAACGTCGCCCAGCGCTTGAAATTTTCTTAGAAGGATCTTCAACCAATAACAGAGCGTTTAAAAGCAAGACCCCCATGGGTACGGACGGAATTGAGGGACGGTTCGAGAGCCGTAGGTGGGTAGTTTTTCTAGGTAGAGCGCGAAGGAGACAACAGCTTATCATTTATAGTTGGGTTATGTGGAGGTGCCAAACATTACCAGCTTTCTGCACGCCGGTGTCTTGTCTATGCGTCAGCAGAAGGCTTGCTTGTTGATGCGGTGTCTGCATTTGCTAGCCGAAGTAGCTATTCGAATAGGCTTCGGACAGTGCATGGCTCGGACCATCAAAAGATTTCGTTACCTGGTCACGTCATGCGAAATGCAAAGGTACAGATGTTTTTTTCTTTAAACTGTGCTGACAGGCCAAATAATTCAATGCTAGCGCGCGCGTTGGGCGGGAAACGCTCTCTGACCCAGCGGGGGCTGCCCACACCCAGAGTGTGACACCCATCACCTACAAATTCCCTGAAGAGGATACGTAACTGTCCTAACAATCGTTCAGAGCGCGAACTGACGACATGTCACATACACCCGAGATTGATGTCGGTGCTAGGCCGCTCTATTGATTGGTGTTGGTGTGCTTTCGGCCTTGCAGGCAGTAAATGTTCGTTTGTCCTAGGGTCGTTGCTTTGACCGCTCGTTGGTTGGTGTCAGTACGATGACCAACCAGCACATTGTTTAGAGTGCAATATGTAAGCGCTCAAAAGCTGACGGGCGACGGAGCCAAAGCCTCACCTGATGGTCTATGGGATTAATATATTCTTAATCCATGCAATCCTGTTAGGGTATGGAGAGGTTCTGCTACACTTGCCGTCGCAGTATGTGATTGTCACTTGCAGCATCGCGCTGAAGACTTTGCAGTTCGTCCGACTGCACCCTTGTTTAGCGCAATTTAGGATTCCATATTCTGGCTATCCCACAATACTCCTAGATATTCAGTCTATAAACAATAATGCTGATCGGAGATAATGTTACTGGCTGTGTGAAATACAGGCTATTTACAAAGCAAAAGTTCCGGAGTCTTTTTTGGCTAGTCTAATTGTTTCCAACTTTACAGGCACAGGTGGCGAACTACGTAAGCCTGTTCCCCTTCATGCTTGGAGGAGATTGCTGGTAGTGACCCCACGTAGTTACTCTAGCACTGGGATAAGGAGCCAGAGAAGTATATTGTCATCGGAGGCGGCGTCAATGACCCCCCTCGGTAGGCCGCCTGCATATGACTGTGATCATGTGGTCTCCAATATGTTGATTTCAGACACATATCGCAGAAAGGGGAACGTTCACAAATAGATCTACAGTGGAAGGGGAATGAGAACGGGTTACCTCGCGCGAAAGGAAGGCACCATCACCATATCGATTGGACCTTGCTTGCAAGCCGCGCGCGCCGGCTTTGCGGCTCGCTTCCCCGGGAACCAAATTTACCTGTTCGATACTCTCTCCCTGTAGATGTTGGCTTGCAGCGTCAAAGCACCAGATTCGCTGGAAGGAGATTCCGCTCACATCAATGGGCGCATCCTAGGACAAGTTACCGAAATTCCACTACCACCTGGTAGGGTCCACCCATGGAAGTGCTTTGTAAGATAACGGGCTACGCATACCCAACCCCGCCGGGATTCCTGCTGATTACGCTTAACGAGGTTCTTCAAGGCATAACACGCATGCCTGGAAAGGAAGCAGCAGGCGAAGACATCACGCCTAAACATTTACTATGTTGCATGTCTCAGCACCTCGCTGAACCCTTCTAGCGCCTCTTTAATGCAAGCAACAAACTGCGCTACTGCCCCCAGCGTCCCCGTCAATACTTCACGGTTACGCTTCGAAAACCCGCCAAGAATGATTACCGCCAGAACCGAACAACCGACCAGTAGCACTCCTAAACAGCTTGGGGAAGGTTATGAAGCCAGGTATCGTAAAGCGGATTAGCCACGCAGTGAAATACACGGCCTAATTCCGACACAACATTCAGGCGGACGGAAGGGAATCACGACAGAACACGCCTTACATCTGCTGGAAATGATCCACACAGCATAGACCTCTAATCTGCCACATATCACTAGCGCCCTTCTAGGGCCATCAGGCGCGCTTCGACCGTTCTCTGCACGAATGACTTGTCTCATAATTTGAAGAGAAGGCATCTGAACTCAAATCCTACAGGACGACTCAGGGGCTCTCCCAGCAACGGAGTGAGTGTCCCCCGGATGGGCGACATTAAACCGGACACGTATCATATCGACGCAGGCCTACCACAAGGATCGCTACTCTCTGCCATACTATACCCTCAAATCCCAGCTGGTGACCAAGCTGTATAACCAAGATTATTACAGAGGCTAGGAAGATACCTGCCGCTCAGGAATCTTGCTTAGGCGATGGAGTGCGGTTCAATTATCGCACTAATGCCCTCGAGGTGGTGGTCCCAAACAGAGAAACTACAGAGATCCGGACGGCCCCGACCACTTGAGTACGCATGATCGTGTTGACGGCAATAATAGTATCATTATATGGGAGAGTGCAGTAAAGGATGGATGGGGGACGATGCTGTCCTAGCGGCCTAGCATAGCCGACTGGTGGGTATCCACTTATGTTGAGGGTTATTCTTGCTCCTTAGCATGCGCTAGCAGCCCAGCGGTTTATAGCTGCCAAAGGCAGGCTGGACAGCAAAATTATCGGGGGGCCCAACTTCCAAGATAAAATGCGACTTCCATATGAACGACACCTTTAGCTGCTGAAAATAGTCATTGTGAAGCTTCTAGACGTTGGAAAGCCTTAGCCTAACATCACCATGAATATAACTGGCCTTTGACCTGATCACTTTCCACGCGCGATTGTCGTTGCTTGTCACATCTTCCGCATGCAGTGCTTATTGCTAATTACTCTACGTACTATGTGTAGTTATTCCTCTTGGGGCGTCTCTAGAGTCATAGAATTCACTGTTTGCCTGCCTATCTGGACGCGCTTACCCGCTGCTTGACCTACTAATGCTGGCGCGGGCACGCAGGGAAGACGTCGGTCTGACGGCACACGGCCCCAAGTCTGGCGGATTCAGACTTTTGTCATGGCACTGTAGGTACTGTTCCCTGATGCTTGTGCCGATCTCTTTCCTATCTCGTCCCCAGCCCCCCTCCCCCCTTCCCTCCCTCCACCCCCAACCCAAACCCTTTGTTTCGCTCCGCCATAGCTGATTGTCGCACTCGGAGCCGCTTACCCTCCCATATCTTTCTGTCGCCTGCACCATTCTTTGTACTTCTCTCCTAGTTCTGTTTGGTCGTCGCTTTACAAGTATCGGTTCTATCTCCCCTTCCTCCTCGTCAAATTCGGTCCGCCCCCTGTAACTGTGTTCGTTGTGATTCTTTCTTTTTCTTTCTTTCTTTCTTTCTTCCTTTCTTTTACTTTTACTTTTACTTTTTCTTTTTTCCATTCCCATTTCCATTTTCAAATCCAAAAAATCGCTAGTCGGGCCACTCTCCGTTGTCCCAAGTGGCGGCCCATCTTTCCGATAGCTCTTGATTTGGCGCCCTCATCCTCTCAACCATGAAGTTCGGTGGTGGACGTGGTTTCCACTGCACTTGGGAGAATTGTGACAAGGTGAAGACTTTCTCGATTCCTTTGCTGTGTTCATTTCTATCATCTGGTACCTGAGAGTCGATTTTTCCTCGCTGACGCTAGCAGGCTTTCACTCGCAAATCAGACCTGTGCAGGCATTTTCGGATACACACCAACGAGCGACCGTACCATTGCACCGTCAAAGATTGCAGTAAAAGTTTTATCCAGCGGAGTGCATTGACCGTGCATTCGCGGACGCATACTGGACAGAAACCTCACGTTTGTCAACACGGAGGATGCCACAAGGCCTTTTCCGACGTATGCAATATCCTCTCTTACCCAACTCTCTCCAGTGTTAACCGTCACAGTCGTCAAGTCTTTCCCGTCATCGGAGGATCCATACAGGAGAACGACCCTATATCTGTCAGAATTTAACATGCAGTAAAACGTAAGTATTAGTCCGGTTGCGGTGCTGCAAGCTTCCTGACCACGTGAAGATTTCGCCGCAAGGTGACACTGACCAAACACCGACATCGCTCCCATCCCCGAGACGCCGTAACCCCGCTGTCCTCGAAAGAGGTGGTGTCCGATGAGCCGTGTCCAGAGCAAGCCGCAAATTTCAACGAACAGTATCTCCCAACCCAGCAAGTCTCGTACCCTCGCACTCTGTGGTCAAGTTTCGAGTCCCGTGCCCACCAGAGCCTGTATGTAACGCCGGTGCCCCTGCAAGATCCAGCCCAGCTTGTGATGCAGCCTATCCTGGCCACATCACCGGTTGACAATCAGTGTGCTTGGCAATACTACGTACAACCAGTGCAACAGTGGCAGCGACACGATCCCGTGTGCCAGCGATATCTGCCCCCGGAGTCTCAGCAACACTATATCAGTCTTCCGATGGCAGAGTGTCCTTTGTTAACGGTTTTTAACGATCATATGACCACAGGTCGCTAGCTCACACCCTGAACCAGTCTGAAGGCACGAACAAGATTATATTTTTCTAGGGCGGGCTAACGAGCCAGCAATTTTTTGAACAGTAATTGCTTCAGCGCAGGATAAGGCGTTTGTATCTTGCGCGGATGCCATTTTATGACTTATTTACAGTGTTTTTTTTTTTTTTTTTTTTTTGGCAGAAGAGGCCCCATTCGCTGATGTTCTCTTTCTTAAAGTCTTGATATTTCGCCGTTTCTGCTATCTTGTCATTAACTGTATTTATTACTCTCCTGTAATCACGCTGTGGAGAGGCGCTTGTGTTTAAGCTGTGCTTCTCCGATCACCCTCCGCCCGCCCCCCCGGGTCCCCACTTTCCCTTGTGTTAAAGTGTAAGGGGAGAGAGGCGAATGAGGAAACGTCAGACGACGAATGCACTTTTTGAGTGTTCGGTCAGCATATCCTAGGTTCGCTTTGACCCGGATCGCGTGCAACGTAGTTGACCGGATCATGGGTGTACGGTGGGTGGATGCGGTCTGCTAGGAGGTGATGGCCTTCCCAAAGCCCAAGTGTGCGAGAGCTCAACAATAACTTGCCTTCTGAATCCATAGGCATCATCGGGGAGACACATCGCTACTGATCATGACGGCAGGAAGTATAACGCAGTGTCCCCAGCATAGTCTATTCCGATCCTCCCTTTTCACGGTCAGGTATTGATTTCAATCCAATTCAAATTCCTCCTGGCAGACGCAGAGATTGCCGCATTGGTCACCAACCCAGATAAAGGTGGCTGCCTACTGCTGAATGAGTTGATTTACTCCCACGAAGGATCTGACACCAATCGAAATCAGTACGTGGCTGCATTCCACTGCCTTAATCCTACATGGCCGGCGACTCGGGTTGACGTGCAGGCCTACCCGTCTGCCGCCAAAACAGCCGGGAGGTACTTTTATCTATGCAGCTACAAAGGCATGGGAGGCCGGAAATTATTTTGCATGCGAGGAGCCTCACAGGTCGTAATATGTATATGCTGCCATGCCTCTCGAAACCCTGGCTGGGTGAATAACAGGAATTTGTCGGCCCGCAGACTCCTTCTATTTTTATTATTGTTTTTATTTTTATTTTTATTTTATTTATTTTATTTTTTTTTTTTATTTTTTTGGAGCTTCCTTCGCCCGGGCAATTCTCGCTGAAACATAATGGACACACCAAGGACTATTCTAGGAGTGGCGTAGATTTTGCATGAGCGTGGCCCCTACTGTTGCCCCTCGACCAGACAGCAGCGAAGATTTTGAAAAAATTCTGGTTGTGGATGTTGAACGTTTTAGCTGACAGCTTCAGGAGAACTCCGCCCAGAACTGGTGATCATATGTAGCGTGACGCCTCGCTGCAAGTGATGGCATTCACGCAGCCGCACTCATTGGTTGCTAGAAGGTCGTCATGTAGCTACGTTTGGAGGACATGCAAGGATTCTCGTACAGATCCACGATAGTCTGATTGACTAGCTATCAGCGGCACGGCAGCCCCACCGAGGCAATCCACAAAACATCATGCCCCTTATCAAGTCATCCATTCTCGGTCTGCGAACGCATGCCTGGTAGTATAGTATGTCCGTTACACTGGCTATAATAAACGAATCTCATGGTCTCCCTTACAGCCCGCTATGCCCGGAACCTGTTGACGCATATCAGTGTACTGGCGCACTACCTGGCTCGAGATCATTGTTCTCCTTGTTCCGGCATTGTGGTTTCGCCCTGTGACCGAAATACCGAAAACTAAAGGTCCGAGGTGGAATAAGATCAGCAAAGGTGGTTTCTCGTGCTTGTACTTTCTCTAGTCCCTTCTCTGCTTTGCTTGTTTCCTTGGCTTCCCGCTGGCGTTCCTCCGCAGCCCGTTTATTTTCTTCCTTTGCACTCAAAGTGCTTTGTAATCGGCCCGGGCTGCTGTTAGCTAGCCATTTCCTAGATGCTAGTTTGGTCGGCCCTTGTTTATGTGTCAGCTGGTCACGGTAGTCAGCTAGTCAGTAGTTTCCCACGTACATGGTGGCTAATGAGCTGGAAGTTGGATTGGGTTCACTTATTCACTGTTGACGCCGAGCACATTCCAGAGAATTCTGCTTATCAAATTGCTTCTCTCCGCAGGGAACTATATCAGCAGAGGCAATGGGACTAGAGGCCCCAACGGCTCAAGCAACACACCCAAGTAGTGGTTGCCCGCCTAAGCTCCTCGAGTCAGAGCTTGATATGAGCCATTGATCCATTCTTGTGACAATATTATCGTATCTCTGTTTCCAGTTACGGGGTAGCCAGCAATCCCAAAGCGTGATGCGGAGTGAGCAAACGCGGAGAGGCGTGATATTGAACATGATCTGTTCTTTTCGTTGAGACTATGTTTGCCCTTGACTAGCTCCACAACTAGGCGGCTCGGATCCATCGCCTGCGTAATTCCTGCTAGCGCGAAATTGAAGCTTCTTGTTGCATACTTGCTACACGCCTTTGCCCGACCTAGTACGTTATATACAGTGTGGCTTTTTCTGGTAGGCCTACAAGTCTTCTGTCAATGTTTTTCTTCTTGTTATAACCCGAAGGTATCTACAGCGTGATGTCCGATACCATCCCAGAGAGTAGAATTGGTGAATACCACCGGTCAATTTCCCGAGTCACCACCAAAGAATCGCCAGAGTATAGCTCTGCAGAGGCCTACTATCCCCAGTAGGTGATAGCCAAGGCGACGGAAGGCGACTGGGGATCTGATCTATCATATACTTAGGCCCAGACAGCCAAGGCAGGGCCAAAGAAGTTGAATAATCCTTGATATCCCTGAACTGGCAGGAGCAGCTGATCCGGGCTTCCGAGTTGTGAGTGGCAAACTACTTTCCTTTGAGATGTTCTGTAAACCTTAACAGATGCGCGAGAGGAAGAGGGCCACTGAAAGTAGCTGAGAGCGTGAGGAATGTCTTTTCCCTTTTTTCTTTTTCTTTCTTCTTACCATCTTTAATAATCATGGTGGTGTACGGGCCGTAACGATTGGTGGGACGTTCCTCCGGAGCCAGGCGGGATACCTCTATAGGAATCGTAAGGTAATGTAACAAGAAAGATTATGAGACACTCTAAGACAGCGGCTGACCTTAAGAGTCCTGCAAAGCAGCCGATACCATTCATGGGCTAGCGCGCCGGGTCAAAGCACCTTTTGATTGGGAGGCAAGAAGCCCTGTCGGGACAGCTCCAACTTTTATGCCGCGTCTGGCCGTCTGGCCGTCCGGTCGCTGAAGGGGTGTTATAATCGTGCTGTGTGGCTTTCTGGTTCCGGGCCCTTCTTCCTAGTTGCCAGAGGCCATCCGCTGATCTATGGCAATGCATTAGGGGTCTTTTAATAGGCCATGACCTATGGTTGCGCGCCCCGCGATATGCTTCTCATGCTTCTGGAGTCCCTTTCCTTTATGTCTCCGTCGAAGAAAGCCGCGTCGACTGTTGCGCCTCGTTGCACTCATAGTCCATTCTGGTACTACTCGCGGGCTGAGTCGCGATTTGGGTTCAATTTCGTACAGCTGTCATGATTGGTGAAACTATCCCTTGCGTAGCGCTGTGCATGTCTGGTCCGTAGAGCTGTCACCTTCGGTATGTAATCGGTCAAGGAACGGTAGAGCTTTCTCTTGCCTGTCCGTTTCCAGATTTAAACCCCTGGGACATTCTTGGTCGGAGTGGGCATGTCCAATAGCGTTTCCAGCAGGACATAATCCAAATCACGCTCACTTTCAGCCTCCTTTATATCTACATCCTTTGCCACTGCCCCCTTCCCTGCCATTCAGTTGTTCTCCTTCGCAATCACTAAGGATATCAAACTCATCTTTAGTTGCTTTAAGGGCTAGTTCCCCTTCGCGGGTCACATGGATGTCCGCCTTTGATGGTACTGTTTCAATATGACTACAATTCTAACTGTACAAAAGTGAACTCTTAGGTACGCATATACTCCATAAGCATCATATTCAGAAGTGGTTCAATCAAACAATAATAGCGAGTTCGACAATGGCAGTATGGACGGTGACACCCACCAAGCAGGGGCGATAGGAATTAACCGTAGGGGCTCTTCAATTACCTGGAGTAAGTATTGAAACTGAACACGACTAGCTTTATTACATAATCACTGCTATTTCCATTTTTGGAACGTATGCTAGAATTTCAAGACGGCTATATGGCCTGTACGAATGCTTGATCCGCCACAGAGACGCTCGGAGGCCCAAAAAAGATAGGGCCTATAGCAGGCAAATGGGATAGTCTTCTCTTTTTGCTCGCATGGGTTTCGGCTCAGTGGACAATGGCGCTAATACCCGCTAGGTTTATCCAGGCTTATTAGCCCGACCTTGATAAGGTCCATATTATACCTGCTTAACGTGGAGAGCTCTGAGCGAACCTACGATAACCATTGGTAAGCCTTGGGTAAGGATTCTCTTGATAACGAAGTGGAATCGGAAAATAAGCTGTCAGTCCCGCCTCTATCGCCTAGATTTCCCCCGCTTCCTCTGACGTGTCCTGCTATATGTGACAAGATTGAGACAGTACGGGACAGTGAGAAGGACATAGTTACGGATAGACGATATCTTTAAAAACTGAAGAACTAGTTCCTCATGTCCAAAATTGGCACCTCTGTAGCCAAGCTATGTGCTACACTCTCTGGCATTGTCCAAGTGGCCTTTCCTAATAAAAAGCTGTTGAAGTTGCCGTAGCAATGTCCAAGATGTACTGTGTGACAGACCCCGAATTGCGTCGGTTACAGTGCATGCTCTTACCGCACTGCAGCGTAGTGTGTGTGTGTGCGTGTATTCATACTCTGACCCCTCGCAGATTAAAGCGATATGCAGGATCTCCCTATCTACCCTACTATATATTCCTTATATGCATTAAACCACTAGTTTTCTGACGAATTTGGAGCCTCATCGAGGCCTATGTTGGCCTAGTCGCCTAGAGTTTTGTTCTGCGGCCCCCGGGGCGCGCGACTTCGAAACATCTGGGACGCTTCTGCAGAATCCAGTACAGCCCCTAGGGTGCCGTGGTCTTGTTCAGCGTCTTGTGCCTTACCTCCCTTACCTTGTTGCCCTCCTAGCATATTTAAAATGCTGCTAAACGCAGCTCCAATCTTCCTCCGCAGTTCTTGTCGCAGGTATCTGAGTTTCGGGCAGTCCACCAGTACGTGGACTACTGTCTCACGAGCTCCGCAGACACATCTGTCATCGTACTGGAAACCATGTTGTTTCTAGTACGTTTCCAGCCAAGAGTGCTTTCCAGCCAAGAGTGAACCGTCCGAAATTGTGTGAATAGATATGCTCGGTTCCGTGGGAGCGATCCGTACAGCCTTCGGGTACGGATTGCCGGTAGGGTTTTGTCAATCTGGCGAAGGTGCCCTCCCTTTGGAGATTTGACCCACTCATCCCTCCATTCGTTCAGAATTCTCTTTCGGATGAAGCCCTTTTCCCGCGAGAGAAGGGGCTGAAAGGGGTGCATTTTCCTCGGGCCTACCGCTTCCTTTGCCAGCCGGTCGGCCTCATCGGGATCGTTGCAGTGTCCTGGCACCCATTGGAGGCGAATTGGGATCCTTCGCGCTTTCATTTCGGAGACTGCCTGTAGTATGGCTCGGACGATTTGCTGCCCGGACTTGTTAGACGGATTACGGATCGCTTGTAGCGCTGACATGCTGTCGCTTAGAATGGTTGCGGGATGTTCCACCCTGTCTAACTGGCTTTGCCCCTTCTGAGTTACTTGAAGAATCAGGCTGATGGCGTAGAAGATTACCATGAGCTCGGCTGCGTATACCGACCAGTGTTCCATTGAACCAATGCTGACTTGTCGCCACTCCGAGGCTTGCAGGTCTCCGTTGAGAGCTACCGTTGTGGCCCCTAGGTGGTTCTGCTGGCCGGATGCATCGGAGAAAATTGTAGTTCCGGGCATATCCCGTCTGGCCGTGGTATTTTCCTTTGCCTGTTCTCGGTCAGGTTCAATCTTGATCTCAGCAAATGTTGGCTCTCGCCAGGGCGCTAGTGGGGTGGGATCGATTGTCTCCAGGGCATGCAGGCGGCGGAGGTCCATTGTTCGTAGTGTCTTAGCCAGCGGGAAGTAGCAATGATGTCCGAGTTCTGCGAGTCCTTGCTCGGGCCATTAGCTCATGGATTGGGTGATGTTCTGGCATTGTGCTTAGGCTGGCTGCGACGAGCTGGGCGCGTTGTTTCAGCCGTAATGGAGTTGATAGTATGTAGGATTCTGCTTCGAGTGCCTGTGTAGACACGGTTCTAAAGGCAGAAAGAATCCGTATCAGGGCAGCTCGCTGGATGGTTGCCAGCTGCCGCAGGTGGGTCTTATCTTTAGTGGATTATGCTACACGGTAGATGCATAATCTACCCCCGCCACTGCGACGTAGTGCCGGAACTCTCTGCCGTCCAATCATAGCAGGTTAGTCATACCCCACCAGTGTAGCCCTCGACGAATGTTATACAGGCTATCATAATTAGCTGCAGGTGCGCGGGCCCGAAACCTCCTTTTGTTTTCAAAAGACGTCATACATGTCGACTGACACGCGGATCCTAATGTCCAAACAGAGTACTGTGGCCTGTGATAAACGGCAGATGCCGCACAAACACCTCGATAGCAATTTCCAAAGAAGAGTAAAAAAAGCCTCCCATGTTACTCAGTGGTGATACATCTGCACAGGCACGATCCCATTACGGTTACCATCACCTGAGGCGTAGGCAGCGTCATATTTGTTGATATGGCCTCGAATCCGGACTCAGAGTCTGTTTCTCCGAGTACTTCTACTTCTAAAATTGCCATCCCGAGATTATCGATTCATGAAGTGGCCGCTGGGCCACGCACTAGGAAGGCATGTAAGGAATGCAGAATACGCAAGGCAAAATGCGACGGTCACCAGCCATGCAGTCGATGCGCGGCATGTGGAGTAGAGTGTCTCTACATTGATGGGAAAAGGGAGACTATGGAAAGGTGCGTTCGCATTCATGACGCGCTGAGAAACTATAGTGACCGACAAAGATCAGGAGATACCTAGATCTTGAAAGTCGGGTTCAGGCGTACGAGAAAGTCCTGCGCCGGGTACAGTTTCGAGTCCCGCCCGAGGAAGGGGACCTTATCGCTCAGACTCTTGCCCATGTATGCCACAATCTGATTGACTGTCTATAAGCTCTGGCCTCTATTAACATACGTCCAAGTACGGTCTGTCTACTGAGGTGATCAACACTGTTACAGATCATGCACACCTTTCAGCTACAGAAGATGATACTGTTTATGCAATAGAGTGTGTACAGGAGGACCTTCATAGTAGCAAAACTTTACAGCCCATTGGATTTATTGGCGGTCCTTCTGAGCTGTCCTGGATTCAGGATTTGAACCAGGAGGTCGAGAAATACACAATATCTTCGGAAGGAATCTCTCCGAAAGGAGTTCCAACTAATGACTCAGAAGTTTTGAGTAGGGTGAGTTACTTCCTGGATGATCAGGAGCTGGCTATTTATGGAAACATCGATCTTCAGATTCAGCCACCTCAAGGTGTTGCGGAGCGTCTGCTTTGCCTATACTTTCAGACTGTGCATCTTTCGTTTCCCATTATCAGCAAACTGTCCTTTACGCAACAAGTGGGCAGATATTACGCCAATCCAAATTTACGTCCGCCGAAGAAATGGCTCGCGATTTTGAATTTGGTTTTTGCTGCCGCTGCCAAGTTTGCGCATTTAGTACCTCAACATTTGATGCAATCCATGGATAGCCCGACGGAGTATTTCTCCCGGGCTCAGCAACTCGCTACCGCAGAAAATCCATTAACTGAACATCCCAATCTTCAACAGGTACAAATTGAAGGTCTCACTGCGTTTCTGTGTATGGTGTTTGGGCATATTAATAGGTGCGATAGCAGTTTTGCTTACCCTTTGCTCGCCTTTCCTTTCCTCTTCCCTTCTTAGTTTACCTCTGTTCATCAAAAGCCCCCACGTTCTCATCGTATTGCAGGTCCTGGAGAGTGTGTGGTATCGCAATAAGGTCTTCCATTGCTATGGGAATAAACTTGCGGAATCAGAGTAAAGAGATATCCAATACCTTTCGAAGAAGAGCAGTTTCATCAAGATCCTGCTGCCAGACTCTTAGCAGATTCGGAATTTCGTGCTGAGTATATGCGGGATTCTACATTCTTCGGATGCACCCCTGCGAACCGGCCTCGAAATACCGAAAAATTTGGCGGCCGAAGGCCTGGCTCCAAACTTCAAGATATTGTCCCTAATACTTCTCGGTATTTTCTCTATTTGGTCGAGCTGACCAAGATCATGCGTCAAGCAGTTGATTCCTTGTACAGTCCAGGATTCGCGAGACGTCCTTGGCTTACCATCTATGCGGCCATGATAGACCTGGTGCACGAAACAGACGAATGGCTTTCCGGTTTAGCGGAAGCCTTTAGCTTCAAGAATCATCAAGGATCAGGCCAATTTGACAGGTGGAGATGGGGCCTTGCCGTCAGATTTCATAGCGTGAGGATTACAATATGTCGGCCCTCCCTTTGTCGGTCGGGAAGGCACAGACAAGGCACCGAGCCTTCCAAGGATCTTCAGGAAACTGCAGATATATGTATTGATTCAGCTTGCCAGATTCTGGATCTCCTGCCTGATATTCCTGACAGAATCTGGTTGGCTGAGGTGTCTCCATGGTGGTGTGTCCTACACTACCTCATGCAGTCAGCAACCATACTGCTGATAGAGCTGGGCTATCGCATCCGAACAGGTGCCGACCAGGCCGCTTTTATCGAATCACGCATTAAAAAAGCACTAGACTGGCTTTCCGCTCTGGCGGCTGATGATCTCGCTGCTGAACGTGCTTTCAAAGTCTGCGATAGTCTTCATCGTCGGCTCCTTCTCCGCTCGATCGTCGAACAGGACAGAGTTCCTAGGTTCTCTGCGGCGTTGTCAACGAAACTTATCCCTTCTGCGGATGTCCCAAGTTTAGTCTCCCAGGCTGAGCACAGTTCTACTCATGTTTCCGTAGTGCCGCACGGAACGGGGGAGTCGGCATTTATGGACTCAGAAATGAGGAACGAGGCAATGTTTCATCCAGCGCTCCAGACACCGTACGACCAATTCATGCCGTACGATTTGGACAGGGCATGGAAGTAATCATAGAAATCAGCCATCATCAAGTAGCACGCAGATCCTGAAGACTTTGGACAGTATAATAGTAAACTCAGGCTTACCAATACATTTGCTCATAACTTACTGCTGTGGCTATTTTCGAGAATGAAGGTGTTGTTGGTAGGATGATGGGATGGTATGACGCGGTCTTACCGTTGCGCCAACAAGGCAAACACGACAAAGACAGCAAATAAAAGAGTGCAGACATGTTCTCCCCGCAGAGCCAACCAACTCTCAACTCTAATCCTCACCACTCCTGCATTATACCGACCGGCTGACGACATGTGTTTGCATTCATGATTTCGTAGGTGTTTTTTTTTTTTTTTTTTTTTTTTTTTTTTTTTTTTTTTTTTTTTTTTTTTTTTTTTTTTTTTTTTTTTTGGTTCTCAACTTCTGTCTGAACTAGGTTGTATAATTAGATATAATACCCAACCCGACACCACACCATCTATCACCACCACCATCATTTTTGAGCATAATTTCACCGTCTCTTATCATCCACTTCGAGTCAACCATGTCAGATCATCTCATCCTCGCCAAAGCCCTCCAGAAAGCCGACTCAACGACCGACTCCCCCAGTCCCTGGCCCGAGGCCAAGCAGTTTTCGAATCCCTGGGCTTCCGCGTAAAGATAATCTACACCCGAGATCTGGACGTAATCTGATGATACTTGGTGCCTGCCCAGCCGGCGATCAATTTTGGAAAAAGGATTATGAGTACGGGAGCTACTGGAGTTGTCCTAGATGGCCGGCGATGCAATTTAGGGGTACTTCTCTATGAGACCGGACGGATCTTTATAATCAGTGACTGGTGATGAGTTGATTTTTAGGTTCTGCGAATGACACCCCATATGATGCCTAGCTTCTTGGTATGCGGCATCTTCGGTGGCCCATCTTAGAGGCACCTCGGCGACGACACGAGCCTTTCATAAACTCTATATTCCATTTCCAAAACTGCACGCTTCTTATCAGATAGATCAAATTTTCTCGAGCCGCTCGCGTTCTAGTTCTTTTCCCAGTCGCTCCTGTTCTTCCTCGGCCCTCATCAGCTATCTAGGTACTCATCCAATGCCTGTTGTCTGTAAGCGATGTGAATACTAGAACATTCGCCGCCTTCTAGTATAGTGAACCATGCCTGCTATGCGCGACCTATTCACACCTGTATTCCAGGCTCGTTGTTTTGTTGCTGGGGCTTGGGTGTTGATAGGTATTTCAGTTCCTGCTCGGTGGAGTATGTTCGGCGGGGATCCTCGTACAGCGACTATAAGTATCTGCTGCTTCTGGGGAATCAGGACCATGCATGGAATGAGGTACAAGTGCCATCCGCGTAGCAACAGATTGAAGGATAAAGGCACGTACTCCTCCGGGGGTTCACGGGACGACGCTCTACCCTGCCTCATGGAAGCTCATTGCACATGGCTGTGCTCTCTGTTACACAGACTAGGCGCTTAGTGACTGATCTGATTTGATCACTGGATAGGACTGAGTCATAAGCCAGCAGTCCGAGTGGCACAGTGGACCGTCATGTTAGGGATTCTGACACATCGTTAATCTCAATCATAACTGAGCCTTATCTCACCAGCTGGGCAAATGCGGTCAGCCTGGACCAGCTCAAAGTGAATAAAATGAATCCCATCGTCAGCCTACAGGACCGAGTATCGCTCTTTCCCATGCTAGTTGTCGCATGGGGACAGAGACACAACACTGGTGGTTAATACATGACCCAGTTGTCGAGGTGAACTACCATATCCCTCAGAAACACACATGGGATTCACCTTTCGTAATGACCTCCAGCCTATTGAAGCAAGTACTGTTCATACTGTGGGAGCCTTATGTCCTTTCAGACGCTGGACATTATTCTTACCCTTTTCTTCTACTGCCTTCAACGAAACACCAAACGCCCATGCTGTAATTACCGTTCGGAGCATTCTCTGTCTTGCTCATAGTACTAGGGGCCTTGCTCAACCTGGGCAATATTGATTGCCCGCACAAATCTGTTGTCGTTGCGTGCTTCGTCCTAACCCCTAAACCCATATCAAGAATCACTTGTCCCGGCAGGGTAATCTCAACCATAATCCCTGATGTTTCTAGGAGTGATAGTCCCAACAAGACGGACACCGGTAAATTGTGATGGCGGTTTGACCAGGCAGAACACTGGCCAACTCACTACGGATCCAAACCCCGCAGGAACAAAATGCCCGGTCGGTCGATACCCAGACCCACCCGATTGGTTAGGACAGACCCCAGGGATTGACACCAACAGATTGTGTGCTTTGCACTCGGGATGTTCCATTACAACCCACTCGAAGTGGTTACTAGCGAGGTCAGTTCATGCAGGTAAATGCTACAAATTCGCGGAGAACGCGGGATAAACATACAAAAGAGAGTCAAGTTCACCAGATCACACCTAATGGGATTCTAGTGGCAGAGGCTAAGGGTATGATCTGGGTGAATTGCCCTTATACGCCATTGACTATATTGGCCGGCTACTAACCATCTCAACCGGTTGTTGAATCTCAGGTGGGAGTTTTGCCTAGGTAAACCGCCTAGAGTACTTCTGTTTTGCCCGGAACAATTCCGCGTTCTGCATATATACATGGGCTTCCTCCCGTTGTGGAGGACATTCTCTTTGTTAAGTGAACATTTGTCCGATCATTAACCTTGATTTTGCCCATAATTTGTCTCGGGAAAATTCACAGCTTGCATTCCATGCCGATACGAAAGGTCCGCTTACTCTGTCCATACGTGATGTTGGCCAATCTCTAGTTCCAAACAATACCATAAACAGGGAGAGTATCGGTTTAAAGCCATTCCACTTTTATTGGAGACCCATCGACCTCGACGTACAAATGCGAAGACCAAGATACTGTATGGAGTACACTCATATACGCCATCACCGATCTCCGCCTGTCACAATGGTTCTGCATCTCCCCTGTGTTTGCCTCGCTCTTGCCTTCCAGCCCTTACACCCTAATGTCTCGGTACAGTGAGAATGCCCCTTTCCCTACTAGCGGAAACTTTACTGTTGGCGGTCACCAATAATATCACAATCATGATGTCAAAGGACATTTGGAGGACGGATATCTCCAAGACCCAACTATGTTGTGCAAGAGAGATTGATGGTCACTGCCAGCTAATTTGCTACGCAGGCACTACAACAGAACAAGCGTTGTCAGCATCTACTACCACTTTAACTTTGGTGGACATCCTGTGTCTAGGTATGGGAATACCAACTCCAGAAGTATTGAACGCGAGCGCCTATCATTCGTCACATTCCCGGGAGCAGCCACCTGCGGTAGCAACTGTTAGCAAACCCAACCATCATCCCATATGAGTCGAGAGCTAATCGGCTATGTGTATCAGGAGCATGAGATCGAGTCTAGCTTCAAGGCTACAATCTATTGTTCTTTCACCAAGTAGTGTGGTCATCCAGATATTCTTCACCCTCTCTCGAATCGGCCTGCGAGGCTTGTGTTAAAGATGGGTATGCGGGATCGTCCCCTCCAGCATGGTGACCGTGACTAAGTTTAGTTCAAGGTGCGCCAACCCATATTTTGGGAGCGACGACTTTCTTGGCAGAGTGGAATCCACTGCCAATAACAAGCTAGCCTCCTGTATGGATTCGGCACCTTTGACAGTCGAGGGCTGCCAGGAAGGGCTCAGACGTGCAGCAAGCTATGTTGGCAGCCAAGTAGCCTTAAAAGGTGACCGGGCGTGTGGAGGCTTCGTTAATATAGCAAAGGCGAAAGGCGCGGAGGCGGGGGCTATTACAGTGAGCGGCACATGCATGCCTGATTATTCCAACATAATCATCTCAGCATAATCGTGCCCACGGGATCATAGAGGATCAGAGGAGTCTGCAGCGGCTTTCCTTTTGAGTGTTTAGTATCTATTGTTCTAAACTCCACAGAATACATAATATTAGGCTCCCGCTAGGTTGTAATCATCGTCAAAGCAACCCTTGGCACCGTTCTTTCTCACTACTGTAACTGGCCGATATGATTCTTAGACATGATTCTAGCCAGGGCTACCTCGCGATGCTATAAGATGCTGCAAAGTAAAAAGAAAAAACACGGCTTTCAAGATCATGATACAATGATCTACCATAGAAGAGGGAACTGAATGACGAGCTTGAAGAGCATGTCGGAACCGGACCACCCGGTGACATGCAACGTAGAGGAATGGAACGGGGTGTTATGCCGGGAAGTGTCATCATAGCCATCGACTAAATCACCATCCCAGCGCCAGTGCGCTCCGATCCGCCTGATGCAGGGGTAATGGTTCCATCACAGTACCATTTGTCTGTGTCTTCAGCCGTTGCCCCAGGCCTGCAATCTATCCTACTATTATGGCTAGGCACATCAAGCCACCTGTTGAGATATAGAACCCACTGGAGCATGTTCCTCGATGGGCTATTAGGACTTACATTCAACGCTGGACGCAGATCAGCCAAACATTGTCATAATTCAATGATAAGCAGCAGACTTTGGCAGCTTAAACAAAATTGTATCTCGCAAATAATTAGCTAGGGGGTAGATTTGGCTCTGGGCCAATCGAATCATCAATATAATAGGTTCTTCAAGAGATTATTACAGTACACTTGGAACTGTCCCTACGACAATGCAGGCTTCATTCAGGTGGAAGTTTGCCCAACACAACTGGCCGTACACCCAGATTCGCTTCACGCCCTATGTGCTTCCGTAGAGCCTGCTTCCAAATCATCAGAAAAGTGGGACATTTCCGGATATTGCATGTGAGGTGAACGCGGCTCTGTATAATGTCTCCTGCTTGCGGCCGATGCGTGGCCGATCCAAATCACGCCCGTACGCCGTGTGCAAATCCATCGGTAAATAGGCCGGTGCAAGACTTAGATCAACAGAAATATCGTAGCGCCCCCAACGGCAGTGCTGACCGACACGCCCAAACTCCGGCTCGGTATACCCCGTGCGCGGCGAAGACTATCAATCACCGAATCGCTGCGAATAGATGTTGTTGCGGTATTTGTAGATTTTGGCATTCTACTTATGTATGCCTTAGCTGTTACTCAATCGCCCGCAATTAAACAATAACGTATACAGAATACCTTGAACAGGCATGTGGCAGTAGTAGTGATTTGCAGGCTCATGAAAGCGGCGGTCAAGCGTGGTAGCCGTCCGAGGACACCCTTTCCTCCATGTCCGAATAGAGCTCGCCAAAGCCCGCCAAGAACCCAACCCATGGGCGGGTTTGGGCCTTAGTCAGCAAACCCATGGGTGGTCTTGTTGAATATCACGGTGGCTGTGATGAGTATCATGGTGGCTGAAACTTATGGCAGGGATGGGACCACACATATTTATGTGCTATCCCGCCCTTGTAAAAAAAAAAAAAAAAAACAAAACTCCTTAAGTAACCGACAATCAATCAATCTATTCTCACCTAGGTAGACCTCGCCAAATCGCGGGTTGGGTCTCCAACCCAACCTAAAACCAGCCAAGAGAAATGAATAACGGTAATACATACACAAACTACATAAGAATACCTACTAAAGATTCAACATTTCTCGTTAATTCCCGTAATATATGAGATTTTGGGTTCTTGGCGGGTTTCCGGGTAACCCATGGGTACCCATAAAAGCAATATGGCGAGGTCTATAAGGACGGTAGCAGCTGCCTAACTCTGGTCAGTGGTATACTCCGCACTCACAGTTACAGTATCATCACAGTCATCATCACAGTCATCATCACAAACAATTGTCATCTTCGTCATCTTCGTCATCTTCGTCATCATCATCATCATCGAGGGCGGCGTGGTGGTCTGACCAGTAAGGGAACCCGAGTCATGCCTCAGCGAGGCGATCGGTTTATCCGCTCTGGCGATGGCAATGGCTCCCCGCTATTCCGCCCGTGAAACCTTGAGGTCAAAGACGACAAGTGTTGGATCCTGTCTGCGCTTTCAATCCGATGCCCAGGCATCAGAAATATGGGGTGCGTCGGAAATCTATACGCACAACAACTGGGTATTTAGCAAGCTTCTGTCAAGCAGAGTCGGTTTTGGTGGCTGTTTTACCACCGTGGCCTATGGGAAATCAGTTTTTGATTCTACGGTAGATCTAGATCAAGCTGACAGGGGTTGAATTAGCTCCACATCAAATTGCGTTCGACTGTTACGTATGCCGCTCTACAGTACAGTAATTTCAAATGTAACTATGCTTTGCGTGTACACTTCTTGATGATGATGATGATTCATACGCTGACCCCTCGCCGGAGCGATATGCAGGTATCCACTATCTAGTTAACTCTCTCTATATACATCTGCTTACTATGAACCATTTCTTTCCTAACGAATTTGGAGCCTCGCTGCGGCCTGTGACTGTTTCTCTTCCACGCGACCCTGCCAATAAGGGGGAGGGTTGGGTATTACTGTGGAACGGATTCCTTTGTTGTGGTAAATGTGGTACAGACGATGGGAATCGAACCCACCACCTCCAAAAAGGAAGGTGACCTTCCCACATATTTGGAAGTTAGCCTCGGAGTGCTTACCACTACACTACCGCTACCGGCATACAGGAATAGAAGGTCTCTCGAAAAGGAACATCTCCGCCACATTGATCGGGCCCTGCCGGCCCACCGGACCCGCCGGCGCCACGGCTCGCTCCCCCAAAACCGAGCCCACTTATTCACCCAATTTCGGACTGGCCACTCATGGCTGGCGACACACGGAGAAGAACGCGAGCTCTGAGACGATGAGAAATATAATTGTGAAGCAACTGAAACCGTGGTTTACGTACTAATCGATTGCCCGCGGCTCAGTGGGCTGCGCCAAATCCTCCGACGCAAGATCGGAGGGGCGTTCAATAATTTTTCAAATATGCTGGGAGGAGCAGGACAAGATAAGGAGGGTAGGTTCCAAGATGGTCCGCAAGACAGTATCATCCTCGTAGCGGTCCTGGACTTTGCGGAGGCATCGCAGAGATCCCGAAGTCGCGCGCTGCGGGGACGTCAAAAAATAATCCCAGGCACTGGCTACCACAGGCCTTGGGGAGGCACCAAGTTCGTTGGGAAAGTAATAGTCTACGATGAATGAATGTACATAGAGCGTGGAGATAGTAGTAGCCTGCATATCGCTCAGGCGAGGGTCAGCATATGGATCAACAACAACAACAACAACAACAACAACAACAACAACAACAACAACAACAACAACAACAACAACAACAACAACAACAACAACAACAACAATGACCTCGATCTTTTATCAGCACATCTGATCAAGTCCGCCTTGATTGGTGTGAGCGGTAGCTGATAGGTTGTGCTTGTCTCGCTCTCAACAGCACAGAGCCTGGCTTAGTCCTCCATGCTTTTCATTTTGAGAACACTTTCACTGGGCGTTAGATGCGACGCTCGTCGAGCTGTCCCTAGCGCTGACCCATCAAGGCGGCATCTCTGGTTGACTGCAAATTCAGTGGCTGTGAGCGGGATGGCAACATCACATCGTCACATTCAATCAAGTGGTCCTTGGCAGCGCAAGCAGCAAATGAGTGGCGATGCTTCCTCCTCATTCAACGGCACATGACCTCTACTTGGGCCTATCGAGTCAGCGGTCTCGTTCTCTTGCATCTTGTTTCTAAATGGTGTTAGAGCCCAGTGCACGGTTGTGTCATGATGTGCCATTAACTGATGCGTTGCGCCCAACGCCACGCAGATCTTGTCCGAAAGGGTATACTACATCCAATCATCTTGTCACACTATTGCTGGCCAATCGTTCCTTACCACGTACCTGGGCAAAATGGGAGCCTCGAAGACATATTTGTGGGCGCACCGAGGATCCGGCTGAGATAGCCGGATGATATCCCTTATCAACACCACCACAATGACAATCCGAAAGACTTCCGGTCCGGTCCTGCCCATAAGGGAGAACATCATAATATCCTGTCGTTCCGTGATTTAACCCCATCTGACGATCTGCCTTCGCCTAGCGATGCCCCAATGCTTAGACTGTCTCTTCTCGGGTGTCTAAGCCCGCGAATTGCTATATGGCCGAAGGAAAAGAATACCCGTGGACTGAGAGAACAAAAATGGAGTCAACTTCTGCATGCGAAACGATAAACTTGGTCGGGTTGTTTGACATGGACGCCGGCCGTACAAGCGCGCTGAAGACTGTGCCGGGGAAACTGGGAACATCCAGTGCGAGTGAAACACTAGACTTGTTCGAGTTGTTTGGCACGGACGCCGGTCGTTACTACGCGCAAAATATCGTCGGAAGCCTATAGAATAGGATCATCTTTAAATTTTAATCAGTCACCTTTCTACTAAACTCTTTTAAGATTTCTTTCTAATACCTTGCAGTGACTTCCAGTGAAACGGAGCAGTAGTATATAGTAGACTCTTTCTAAACATCAGAACTCTAATGTGTCGTTTCCTCGCCTGCTAAGCTTTTCGGCTGGTCAAAGCTGTGCTGTCAAAATGCCTAGCGATGGCAGAAAGGTGTAAAAACTGAGAAATGTCCGTCCATGGATTGGGTGGGTGAAGGCTTCGATTTAAGTGGTCTGCCGTGCGGGGTAAAAGGCAGAATGTCGCCACGGAACAAGCCCCTTACGTCCATGCCAGACGGCCAGCAACGACCAATTCGTCACAAACATTGGAAAGAACGCTCAAAGCATACCGCACTTCAAATTACTACTTTTCTCTACAAATATTTACGGACCCTTGTAAGGTAGCGATTCCCTTCGTGCTTCATATAACCTACTCATCTCGTTCATCTCATCCGCTAAGGGAACACAACATCAGGCTGATCGAACAAAGGAGAAGTATATCAATCCATTGGTGCCATCGATAATCTCTGCTCGAGCACTCATAGCCCTTTCCTTTTCCACAAGACCTCAAAATATCATCCGCTCCCATCTGTGCCACAAATACACCATCTAGTCTGAACTCTAAGAGATATGGCTGCTTCGCGGGCAGAAGGCCTAAGGCTTCTTGCTCCAGCCCCAACTATAGAAGCTCCCCAACAGACAGATATCCGTATTAAGTCAAGCAAGAGAAAATCAATAGCCTGTGAGGCCTGTAAGAAAAAGAGGTCTAAGGTCAGCACGCAGAATGTTATTTCAGATAGCATATAGCTGATTGATAGGGGCCTACCAGTGCAATGGAGATCATCCATGCGATGGATGTGTTCAGGCAGGTACAGAATGTCATGTACTTGAAGGCCTTGACCGACGAAGGAAAGTTGCAATGCACAAGATAGGGCGGGACTTGTGTACAACTCGTTCACTTCTACATGAGATCGTGGTGGCTTTCGATGGTGGCACTGATGCAGATGTTGAACGGCTCATCAGCATAGCAAGGAATAATTCGTCTACTGATGTGAACACGAAGTTGCACGATTGGCATAGTCTCCAGGTGGGAAAACATTCTCTCATTGAACGAAATGTTTGAATGCTGTGCTGAGTCATATGTTTAGGACATGCGATTGCAAGTGAACTTCTATGAGCGATTGGTCCAAAATGTATCGGATAAATTCGGCAAGGATGTCTCTACTTACCTTGCAGATTCGTTGAAGGTAAAAGTCATCCTACTTCGATTGATAGCCTACTAACTGTGCTGCACTAGTCTTTCCCATCGCGATCAACGCCTCCAGCATAGCCGACTAAACCTCGCTAGATGATCTTCGTCAGTGATTCCAAGAAGGCGTTGACCCCAGGTGCGAATATGAGATGAATTGTCGAAACAGGTCTATTCGCCGGGATAACTATTTAAAACTGCTTAGCTGGAAAAGGTGGTGGAAAGTCCTGTCATTCAAACGTGCTACTTATTGAGCGGCACAACAGGTCTGGCATTGATGCATTACATTACTGAGCTACTATTTAAATCGACCAGTGCTTGTACCTCGACGTACAAACGTGTTTTAAGCGCATCGTCATCTACAAAGGGGAAAACGAGACGACCGAACTTCACCCAACAGTAACGTATAAGATTTTCCTCTCTAGGCGAGACTATCTATTTTCTTATTGATTCTTATATGCGCTGACGATAAGTTCGAATATGTACTTTTACCAAACGCGTTACTACTCGCAAAGGCTCCTTTAATAAGGCCCTGCCACATTGGCACTATGAGGTAGGCAGGATGGTTGAGAAAGTCCCTGTAGAACAGCAGCTGTTGTGACCCAAAAATTACGTGGCTGACTTCCCCGACGTCGACGTTTGTCGATTACGGCTCCCCTTTAGTTCCACGGATCGCCCACGCTCTAGCTTATGACAAGACCCGGGGAAGGAGATGACAAGGACCGAGGCGAATTCAGCATGCCCGCTTTACCCGCTGCAAAATATTGCCAATTTACATTGACTGCCCAAGCTGCTTGTTACTGGCGGGACGCGACTAATATAGCTTAAGACGCCGAATGAATAACACTCCGACACCGGCCACCGAATGCTAGCCAGAGTAACGCTTTGCATATTTGTGGGCTTAAGTTCTGGTTTCTTCATCTATTCCTTTTCAGCCCCACAGTTCACTCCGACTCCCTTCCCTCCTCCTGCCTATAGGATCAATATTCAATACCAGCTCCCGCGTAGACTTCATGCTGGGTATTGAGTGCGGCCTTCTGTCCGAAAGCCCTCGTGTTCGTTACTCGAGATCATGGGGAAGATGTCTTCTTCCCAAACCTCCAACTTCCATTGTGATCTTCCCTACTGAAGTGCAGACGACTTAGCCGGCGAAGTAAATGGCTATTTGTGTCGGTGAGAGAAGCTGATACACGAGAGGTCTCACTGTGGCAGCCCTTGAGACAATATAGCAGATCGGTCAGCTAGCGAGGTAGTCGGCCTGGAGAAGAAGTATTCGTTTTGAGACCCTTCATGAGAAAAGGTATATACGTTACGAGATCGAAACGTTAAAAGAATGAGAGACCTTTCCAAAAGAAGGTCCCAGAAGGGGCCGTACCGGCAAGCTGCACCCGCTGGCTTTACTGTGAATCCAGCTTTTTTCCTTTCCAAAACGCCGGACTGACCACTCATGGCTCGCGGCACGGCGCGCATGCGAATGTGGCAATCGAAAAGGCGTCTATGGAGGGAAGGCTCCCCGGTTGCGGCAAACGACAACCCCTAGACACCTGAGCTCCTCGCGATGGAGAAAAGAGGATATGATCGTCCGCCGCCCGGCTGAGCAAACCCCAGCGTCTTCGGGAGAAGAATACAAAGCCTTCTTGGCTCGTGCGCAATTCCAATGGCCTTGGTAAATGCTGTTTCCTCACCTGACTATTGTTGGCACGGGCCCAGAAGATTTGATCCAGGTGATCATCCCCCAGAACAAATCGTGCTACCTGATGATCGAAGAACTGAACGTTGCAAGACACGAACAAGAGAAAAGGACAATACAGCCGTCCGCCCGCAGATGGAAGGGTATTACACCGCCGAAGCCTGCAGGCTTATGTCGCTGCCCCAATATCAAGCAATTTGCGTGATCGAGAGGCCGTAACATTCAAGCGTTCCAAGTGCCTACGGCGTCGCCATCTAGCCTCTTTTGATTAGAAGCGCGTAAGGGCGTCCTGATATGTACTCATACATGTAAAGTTGATTATACTGAACTGGGCTTAGCCATTCCTGGGATTCCCGAAAACTCGGTTTTAATCGCAGAGATAGTATCTGCTTATGATGCTTCAGGAACGAGGGAGAATTGGGACTCTAGTTTGACTTCATAATACTTCGCTTCTGGATCCGCAGGCAGGCAACGGCCGCACTCCTCTTACACGCAAAAGCCTCCGAAGGGTTCCCCCATGTTGCTTCTACGGGAGACCGCTAAATCTCGGCTGTGGCGTCGGGTTCAGGGGTAAGGTCTTACCATGCTTGTCAGTCAAGGGCAGGCCCGATGAAAGGATCAGCGTAGAAGGAAATCAGAACATTTTTCCGGTCTCTGCAGTAGATTGCCGTTGAGTTTCCCTGGCAAGTTATACGGGTCGAGGTTAGGCAGATGTTGGGCGACCAGCAGAAAATGGTCGGTTAATCTTTCTGAGCCCATTCAGGTTAAGACCTGGGGACTCCCGCCTACGAGTGGACCAAAGTTTGATACTCAGTTTCGTTTAGCAGCTTGTATCCCATCTACCATGTCGTCCAGCCGGAATGCACCAAGCCTTTTCAAGGCCATCGCGCAGTTTCTGGTGCCCGAGAAGACTTTCAAAGTCCTAATCACTGGTAAGAGCATGCAATCTAGTGACCAACAGCGGCGGTAACTAAGAGCGCGGATTTGTATATGTTTTAGGCAGTCCTGGATGTTGAAAGTCAACTCTCGTCCGAAAACTTCGTCTTCGCCTAGGTGACCTCATCTCTAATGAAGAGAAACAAGACCTGAAAAATATCATCTATGGATAACTTGCTCAGTTTCTGAGTCTCGACGCGAACAAACTACAATCAAGGATCTCAAGCCTTCGATTCGTCCAAGAGGTAAGTAGCCCGCTCAAGGAAGCAAGTGGAATAATAACCACGGTCTGCTTGCTGCAAAACATACCGTACTTTCGGTCAGAGCTTGCTGAAAAGAGGCCGGATGATTGGAGCGAAAAGACGAGAGGCACATTGCGAGCAACCTCGAAGGAACCTTTTCTTTGGCAGCTTATGGATGAACAACTTCCTGGGCATAGCTTACTAAAAAAGTAGAAGGTCTTTTCCCTTAGATCTACGACATTCAATTCTAATGGATCAAGCTCAGTCTCAGGTCCACTTCAGCATATATCTTCCAGAAAGGCTGGCTTCCCCAAGACGCCGATGTTATTAAGTGTTATGTTGTAGGCACGGAATAAAGGGCACCTCGTTAAGTCTGAGAATCTCGTTCCTCGAAGCAAACGCTCAGTCGCTTGGCAAGGAAAATGCCAGCATTGTGGAAGGAGACCTCGATCTTATAGTATTTCTTGTCGGCACTAGGGTGCCCGAATTCAATATCCGCAAACATTCAGTATGTATCGCTGCGTTTTCCCTTGTGGCTCACAAATCTAAGTGCAGATGAAAGGACACTCTGGACCAGTTCAAAAAGCTCCATATGCACCAGTAGACAAGCGGAGATTTCGCACACCCCATTTACAATGATTTTTCTCAACTACATCGTGTTTATGCTGCAGATCCAGAGACTCCTGTCAACCCTGACCTTGAGGCACACGTCCGGGAAACATGCGACAAGCCGAACGCCATTGCCGGCGCTCTTTGTGCGCTGGAGTCATCATGGATAGGAGGATGTCCTGAAGTCATGGAGGAGATAAGCCCTTATATATTATTGTCAAAACAAGGCTTGTTGAATTAGGCAATGAAGATTTTCGCTAACTTAGTACAGAATAGTGTCCGACCCCTTGCCGAAAACAAATATCGCCGTGCAGATCAAAGCTTCTCGTGTGGACAAGTAGAGCGACTAAATTAATCACGTCAAGAGCTACTTCCAATTCTGACTGTATCATGACTGGTAAGCCGTAGCTAAACTTTGGCCCAGAGTCCAGCTATTGGATTTCATAATAGTAGACAGTATTGATCGTCGAATGGTCATTACTCCCTTTGCGAAGGGCAGAAAACACAGTCGGCGGCTTCATACTGCCAACTCACCTAATAGCGTGCGGGCAAACAAACAGACCACGCATCGAAGGACATGAAGTGATATAGCGTGACCATCCGGTCTCGCGTGAGTGGCCACAGGAGGTAGTCCACCCGGGCGGGATGGAAGATTAGCAACTGTGACCGGTCTCATGGGGAGAAATCCAGGGACCTTAATCTTTCTAACGTAGACCGCGACCGCGCGGCCTATACGGTTGAGTGGCCCATCCAATAATGCCATATAAAAATCACTCCTTTGATCTGAGATATCTCAATCATTGTCATAGTACAAGGCTTTACACAAATGTATACACTAAATTACTAATAGATTTGATTTTGTTATTTTTTCTTTCAGGTTTTCAGATTATATGTAATGGTTGGCGATGTAAAATACCTGTATTTTACTTGTATTCTAAGATAATCAATTGAAGTAAATTCTCTAAATGTTTTGAATTTCTCTAACACATTTATCCTCCAGTTATTTAGTAATCTTTATATAATGCTATAGCCTCATTTGGAATGCAGTTGTTGAGATATGATAGTTTTCAAAGAAAGATATATTTTGTATGGCATTGCAATATGGGCCGCGCGATCTTGGTTTACGTTAGGCCTTGGTCTCCCATTCTGACTAAACCATGAGTGTTTGCTAGTATGGAGATCCTGCGCGTTCTTTGGGTGGATAAATCGTCGGCTCGGGTGGCCGGTCGGTACTACGGTCTCTGCCTACAATCTTTATATACGCAAGAGGCAAGTCCCGCCGATCAGAGATGTAAGGATGGAGTGAATTATTCCATGATAAGAGGAGAACAATAACCTTGCCATATAGTACGACTTGCAGTGAAAGCTGGGCCACAATAACTCCGACCTGTTTACCTTCCAAGGCCATCCTGGATGGCATGCGTTGCTTGCTGAGCAGCCGATGGCTGATGTTTCATAGTAGACAATACAACCAGGAAGAAAGTGATGGTGGCGGAAGGCTTCCCTTGAGACTGTGTTATTGACTCACACTTGTCCTGGACATAGACCTGAAAATTCTAAGGCGTGTTTCGGGGGACTAGCGTTTACGGGGCAGTTTCAACTAATACGAGACCTGCCGCGTTACGCTAACTAGATTCCTTAGTCTCCGTAATTATCCACATCAGTTGACGATCTGAGCCAATAGTATATTTTTTGAGTCAGAAGCGTCTAGTAATCGACCTGATACCCAAGAACACCAAGCTAATGATACTAATACCGAATTAGGCAGGAGTCACGGCTCACAGGTAGATGGAAGATCACCAGTAACCTGGTGGCCTTGGCTCAGGTGGAGAGCGCCTTCAATCGAGGCAGCACAGGGGCTAACTTGCCATCATGATCTACGACACACTCTTTGCTCTGGGAAGGATTATCCGGATGTGACCGAAGGCGCATAATCTCTGGCCAACGATCGGCTCGGGGCTGGAGTGCTTCGCCGTCCGGTACCTCGAAGTAGATTGTCCCAAGAGGCGCAAAATTTATTCCTCGGGATATCCGAGCCTTTTTATCCACGGTCCTCGAGTCTACGGACCGGAAGTATTGCTTGTGTCAGCGGCACGATAAGGATTTTCCGCCACCAAGTCAGAAATACTCTTTACAACCCCTTTGAAAGAACTTTGCAGAGGACGACGTGGGGCAGACGAAGGTGTGGCGGTTGCGGATTCGTGTGTACTGAATCTCTTGTATTAAACACAACTCGCTTTGACCTCTGGATTTCATGTAGATAAGCAAGGGCCCTTGACATCCCCGGCCCACAGTGACATGACAGCCAATGGATGCGGAGAAATAGTGACCTGTTAGCAAACTAAGGCAGTGCAGAAGTTATGTCAAGACACTGAGATTGGTGGGTGGGAAACCCCTGCTGGTGACGCATTAGTATGGAGCATTTCCTGCTGGGGATGTAATTTCAGGGAGGAGTAAGCGATTCGGCAGCAAACAGAAGCCAGTCCTTTCGTAGTTACATCAGGCGGGGTTTGAGAACCACGGTCAGAACTCGGCGAGTCCAGGTTTGTAGCTGCTGTCTCAACTCTTGAAGGTTTTGCATGATATACCCTTCACTCAGTGGCCACAGCCCCCAATCCCATCATTGTTTGTGCGGAAAATATTGTTATATCCTACCTACTTCGCAGTATACCATTACCCCCGTCACGCAATCATGCTGAATTTTTGTCGGGGCTTAAAAGACGCTCTCCACTGCCTTTCGACACGGACCGCAAACTAGTCGGCACACTTGCTTTCATTGCATATATGAAAGACGACGTTGAACATATCCCAGCTATATGCCTAGAAGACGACCCTGCATCAGGCTGCTTGAAGGTGATATTTGCTGTGAATAAAGTGAGCTATAACGATGGTCAAGATGCGATTTGTCATATCCAGCAGGGACTAGAGCATATATTCGCACTCCTGGCGACAGTTTCTGGTAAGTGGCACGGGTTTACTGAAGGAGTATCCTTTATAATATCAGAGTCAAGTCGCTATGAAGACATAGGGAACCAAATCATTACCGCTGTGGTTTCCATGTGCTCGTCCCGCATACTGTCTCGGTTGCGACTAGCCGTTTCTGCGAGAAACAAAACGAAACGCCCCTTTAAGGACACCCTCCGAGAAGCTCGCTTAGCTGTGAAGATCGTTGGGAAGGATATAAAAACAGGGCGCTGTTGGAAACCGTACGCAGCTTTACCATGAGAGCGAGGGACGTCGAGAAACTTCTTGACTCGTGGTTCCAATATCAAGTTGACACACGTTTAGTAGGGGCTGTGGAAGGAATTTATCGACTACAGCAGATCATGGGACTCGCTGATTTGATTTGCATCATTCCAAATAAGGACATGAGCCCCTCCTTAAGACAGAGTTTGCTGAATATCATAAACAAGGTCGCCAGGTATTGGGAAGTCGCGAGGTTCCTATACCGTACGGCGAAGAAATTCCCGTTGGCTCGAGCGATGAGAACAGCTCCTGTTTGCCTTCCCAAGGAGGCGTTTTCTACCCCGATTTAAATTGGATATGCTCCTGATTTACGGGCCAAGATCGCCGGAGCTGCTCCGAGAGGCAGTCAACAGAAGCTTCTCAGAGAAATTTGCGCAATATTGAAGATCAACCAGCAGGAGCTTATTAACAAGTACACTTCTCAGGTCATGCGAACCTTGACTACAGCAAAAATCCATGCTGAGATTCAGATAATTGCCCACTGCGAACTACAAAACCCGCGGATATTACCGCGAGTGATCTGCTCGAGCAAGGATGCCTGTTTTCTCTGCAACTTGTGTCTTCGGCTGTACCAGAAAATATACACCCCAAAATGGCACGGAAGACTATATCCAGGCTGGAGGCTACCTTTCCTACCCCAACTAGCAGGGTTAGAGCAAGGTTTTTGCAAGGCTCTTGAGAAGCATTACACAGAGACTTGTGGAACACTTCTGTCAACTCGCCGAGGAACCATCTATCCAGATCCGAACGAGAGCACCTTGTTTACACTTCCATTATCTAGGACTACTGCAAGGGCTTCAGTGGTATCAAGGCCTCCTGGTCGTGTCGCTGAGTTACCAGGATCAAGCCATGTTAGCATGGGAACTGCGAAGAGCGAGCCACGTACAGAGAAGACAGATACTCTAACAAACGATCCAACCCCATCGCACCACTACGCGAAGTCAATGGAGACGGAGTTAGACTGTTGCACACTAATGCAAAGTTCAAGGACATATAGATTTCTAACCCCAGGAGAGTCCTCGGAAGTGTACAAAGTTAGCTTCTCGCGCTCCCTGCAAATACAGATCAAGCATGCTACATGTTCGAATAATCTCACATATTATCTGGAGTAGTTAGGTAATGACGAAGCCGCGGAAGTTCGAGAGAAAACCACTGCACTGCAGGTAATTAATACAGAGTATCTTGAAAGTATAGTCATCTTACACAAGCAGAACACATTATATCTTATTAAAAGAAACACTGTATTAAAGATTAGCTGGTCTAGTAAGACGAATATCCATCCGCAGGAGGCTCCTGAATCATATTGATCATCAAGTTTAGGAATCCTCCAAGCAATCATTTTAAAGATACGCTTCCAGATCCAGCCCGTAGTCAAGAACTGTCTCAAGAAACCATATACTCCACATACTGGTGTTCAATTTTCTATTTAAATATGTATTCATGCCTGAATTTCCTTCCTTCTTCAGGATTATATTCAAGCTCAAGGGCAAGGTCCTCAGTATAATAGTAGAATAGCATATTATTTTCTTCCACTGAGACTGAAATAATTGCAATCCCAAAAGCTGCCAGCTTACTTATTCAAGTTATAATATCTCACAAAAGCGCGACAAAGGACTTCAATAGGGCGGTCAGTAATGGAGACTAAGGTCACGGGATTCTTCTAGTCACATATAATATATTACTCGAAATTGGACAGAAGAACCGACTTCAAGAGTAAAAAACTGATATAGCCTAAATCACATCTCAATACTCCTGCGCTGGTCTCCGAGAAGCAGTAACATGAATATCTCTGAAAGAATATATATCTTGCAAGAAAAGTACTGTAAGATAAAGTCAGAATTAAAAATAAAAAAAGTAAGTATTTACAGAAACTGTTAATAAAATCTTCTTAGCCTATATCTCTAGATCTCAGAGCAGTTCTTAATAATATAAAGAAGAGTCTGTGCCAGATATAATATTCTACCAGAAGACTTCAGATCTTGTAAGAGAGCTTGTATTAGGAATCCAGGTCTTGATGTACAGTAAGAACTCAGAATAACCGGGTACTTTATATATAATAAATTAACCAGCGAGCATCAGCAAGCATAAGCAGAGAATACAGTATCAGCTAAATACAAAGCAACTCTACTTATGCTATAAAAAGACTCACCACGAGAGCTAGATCAGTAATATTGTCGGATGATCTGAGCCACAGGGCTCCCGGGTTTCCTATCTGATTTTAACCTGATTGAACAGGTCTTCGCAGAGCTAAAAGCGTTAATCAAGTAAAAATAGAAAATATCTGAGGACAAATCTAATCAAGGCTTTAGTAGATTCTTAGAATACTATATTAATATTATTGCCGCGTGAGAGAAAGTGCCTGAGACCATTTTTAATATACAAGCCTGATAATTAAGAAGCTATATTTTAAGAAAGATAAAAAAATAAATATTATTTACATATATCTTCCTCATACAAATCGATCTAATAAACTTTAATCTGACAAATCATATTGAGAGAGATACAGTCCAACGTAAACTATTCCAATACCTGGCTAATACCAGTCTGAATCCTTAAATGTTCACGAATGGCCCTGCTCAATATGTTATCCTAAAAGGGAAGACCTACTCGTAAAATGTCAAGCCTAACTGTATTATTTAATCCAGCTCCATACACCACTCTATTAACCAGTATTTCAACTAATGGCATGAGACTCCTTAACAGATATAGATTAATTCTCACATAGTATCTGCTGAGTGCCCAACGACCTCAATAAATACTATTATTCCAAAAGCTTTGAAAAGGAGAGATATAATTATATTTATCTTACTCTTTATATATCTTAATTAGATCCTATCTATGTCCCTCACGCGAGGAAAAGCCTATCTAGAATCTCTAGGCTTTTATATCCAGGAATTTTTCTCTAGCCGAGCAACAGCCACTATCACAGATTCTGTTCAAGTTTAATGCAAGAAAATCTACACTGCATTTTGTGATAGCATGATTGCCGCCATTATTTGTATAATTAGCAGTATATATATTAATAAAATACTATCTTTCCTCAATTACTCCCTCATCTAATCAAATCCTGAGATCTTCATCAAGTACAGTGACACTACATTCTTACATTATACTATTCAATCTCAGACCGGCCTATACATATTCTATGGACCCAGTATTCTTACAGATTTTTCTAATTTATCTAAGCCTATACAATTCATAATCAACCACTTCATTCATATGCTGACAGAAACAGGAATATCAGTAGATTTATTTTCTTAATTATTTATCTACTCCAACAACCATAACAGCTTTCTGTTAAGTAAAAGGATTTCTTAATAAACCGCAGGAATTCATTAATTTACTATTATAAAGATGGCTTCGGAGAGGTCAAGCCACTGGATATTTATATAAAGATACTGTATCATATATCATATATCTCCAGGGAACTCAATATACCCCTGCCTTGTAGTAAAACAAGGTTCTCTTTCTTGAGTCTGTAATGGGTAATAACTTGCAAATGCCATAACTCGGTATCATAATTCCAGAATAACCTTGTTGATCTTGCTCTGTCCGGCATATTACATGAATTCTGCGGACTGGTTGTTGGGCAAGGATACAGATATAATACTTATATGCAGGATAAGCTTGCGAGCATGATCAAGGAAGTATTTGATATAATTATTAGTTGAAGTCTTGAGAAGCAGCTGCTGATTTTGATAAACATCAACTTCGGCCACACGAGTCCAATCTTGACTTTGCCCATCAATACGCTCGTCAGATTAGACTGCGATCTCGATGAGTTTAGCGTTCTGGAACCTGGAGTGCGGGCTTGACGAGTGACTGGTCTGTATGCGCTGAGAGAACTACCTCGATACTGTGACTATCTCCGTAGAGTTCATATGTGCAGTTGCCTGGAGGGCTGTCACCTAGCTTGAACACAACATTCGTTGCGCACAGCCAGTCGCATCTTCGGGTGCCAGTGTCGATCGATATAGACGATGCTGGTGCCTCGAGTGTGGAGATCGCGAATATGCCGATACGAGATGGCCACGCGCGAACGATCGGGGATCGTTCTCATCACCTCTACGAACTCATCCAGATTGCGCGTGGGCCGCTTGTCCACCGAGTCGATGATCCATCCTGACAGGGTGTTTTCCAGTTTGAAGGAGCCGGCAGCCTCGCAGACATAGACACCGCGAGTAGCGATGGCATACAGCCGCGACTGCTGATACGACAGGTTATGGAACGTGCCTCCAGCCACCGTCACGAACCGGTCGGGCGTGATGGCATGCAGGTCACCAACCTGGCACTCAATCTCCACATTCTGACCGCCTCTTTGAACCAGCAGATGCACTTTCTGCCCAACACTCGAATCCAGAATGTCATCCAACCGGATGAATTGGGTGAGAAGCTCCCCGTTGACCTGCAGGAGCACGTCTCCTTCCTCGAGCTTTCCGTCCGCCGGGCCTTCGGGCAGGATGATCTCGGCCACCAGCATGCTGGTTTCCGTGGGCGCTGCTTTACGCACGGTCGCCTCCCACTCAGGCGTCAAGCCCAACCGGCGACACTCGTCGAACGGCTTCAAGATCCACTGCGTCTGAATCGTTCCCCGCGTGACAGGCTCTCCGCGACGGATGCATTCCAGTGCACGTAGCGGTCGGTCCAGAGGGAGGAAATAATCCGTCGCTGCACCGTCTGCACGACCACCGGCCTGCAGAGCAATCGCATGGCCATCGATGTTAACTACAGGACTGCCGGAACTTCCACCGCTAGCTGCTGCGGCGGCCTGGATGTAATTCGTATTGAAGTCACTGTAGCCATCGCCGTATTCGGGCGCGTTTCTATCCAGCCGACTAATGACACCAGACAGAATACTCAGTTTTTCTCCAGCATCATTACCCACAACGCGAATTTCTGATCCCACTTTAGCTGCATCCGGCTGCAGTTTCAGCTCCCTCAATTTCATATATCGAATAGCCTTCGGGTCGAATTTCAAAATTCCAAAGTCGTGAACAGGGTCCCGATACACAGGACGAACGTCGCACTAGTAACAAATTCGAATCAGCATCACTGTCATCAGGCGGTCCACATGTGTAATGTACAACATACTTCCTCGTGGTTATCAAAGATACAGTATCCCCAGAAAGGTCCTGGGCAAACCACGTGTCGGTTCGTCAATATGTATCCATTCTCTGCATCTACCACAAACCCAGTAGCCTGACTACTCATGGACAGCTCGGTGTCGAAGGAGCATGTCTGACAGAAGTGGATAGACACGACGCTCTTCACAACCTCCTCTAAGGTAGCTTGCCATTCCGGCGAGTTAGCCTGAGCAGGCCCTACAGGCAGCAGACGACCCGCATCTTCACCATCCTCCACATCGTATACAGTCCCATTGGCAGGAGTTGAATCCCCAGGTGTCAATGCGGTCGATTCGGGGCGAAGGTGCTTTACGGGCCGTTCAGCGGGTGTGGTGATAGAGCTGCACTTGCGCTTGGCGCCTGCGTCTCCATTCAAACCCATCTGGTCGGTACGGAGACGTATACGACGGGGTCTGGTTGAGTGTATAATGTGAGAGCTGAGAGAGCGGACGGGTGCCTGACTAGGACAGATGCTCGTGGTGACACCGGGAGTTGCAGCGGCCGGGCACGAAGAAGAGTGTCGACTAGAGCGCCGATAGGCAGAAAATCTAGGATTGCGAGAAAATGATGACCTTGCAGGCGACAAGGTGAATCCTATGGGATTGGTGATGAAGCGATAAAGAGGCGAGCAAGTATCAGCAACCACACGGCGGCGTGGCGGATGTAGAGGCAGCAGCCCTCGCAACAGAATTGTTCGTAGCGACAGACAGCAGGCTCTTTCTGTGGATGTGGAGCCAGACGCAAGACATTCATAAGATGCCCCAATAAGAAAGACTACAACATAGAGGAGCGAATGGCTAGGATCGTGAGGAAGGAGGAGAAAAGGAACTGAAGTCAGGCGAGCTGCAGTGACAGACAGAACTGAAAAGGGGGCCGTCAAAACATCCCGGTTGGTGCCCTCTGACTGGCCATCCTACCACAACGGCCATACAGTAAAAAGCGCTGAAAATGGACTTACCAGGGTCCATGAGGTGAACCGAGCCCAGATACGGGGTCGCATCTGCCCGGGGTCCGCTATATGAACATAGCCCCGGTACTTCGCAGATTCCTGAGGGCTAGCATGGGCATAGGATTGATAGCTCACTAGACCTCTTCTTTCTGCACCGCGATGCCCTCCATAAAGATGCCTGTGTTCAAGGGTGCAAGATTCCTAGTAAGCAGACTTTTTGATTTTGAGCTGGTAGGCCACCATCAACACGATCTTTGTAGATTTATATAACCCAAAAAATATGTGCACTGGATTCTAAGTCGCGATAATTTTGCGGTACGTGCTAATGATATCTTATCGGGATCGTGTGAAGCAAGAACAGATCCGCAGGCGGCGCAATAGCGTCCTCCGCCGCCACAATGACTTCTGGCGGCTGTACGCAATTCGCAGCTAGACCATGTTGGAGATGCCTAACGGCCGAATCTACACCTCTCGATCTAACCCTCATATTCCTCCTCCCACTGGCCGTGAAATTGTGAGTTCCCAGCTACGTAGAAAGGACCTTTTGTTGATGGATTCAGCGGGAACGACCCCAGTCATGCGTGCACAAAACACCGGCGGACTATGGTTCACCATGCCTGACCGACATGGTGCTGCCGGCAGTACCCAGTCTAAAGGTGCTTGGACGCCGTAGCCTCCTATGGGATTTGCTATCAAAACAGCTGAGCAGACTCTGTCTGAACGACCATGGAGTTGATGGTTGTTCCTCACGAGTTGTCGTACAGCACTGCGGGGCTACGAGAAAGAGGAGGGAGACCAGAACACTTAGTTCACTTAGATGAGGAGGGATCGTTGCCCTGGGTTTGTAACCCTAGTGAATGCCGTCGCATTGATGCAACAGTTACCCGCAACTTACCCACGTCACCTACCGGTCAACATGCCTCATTGCCCAGGGGTTGTCCGAGTTCCACAGGTAAATACTACCTTGTGCGATGGTGTGAATGAGGGAAGGGAGCCTTGAACCACGGACCAGGTGGGTCAGTTTCAGAGACCACAGACTAAACGAACTCTGGTATAGATCAGAGCGAATAAGGTTAACTTAGACATTTGACCGCTCTGGGCAAATACCCCATGGTGCTTGGATCCGCAGCAGAGCAGGTTGTCGCAGACCTCAACCATTACTCTGTCTCACTTGGTCAACCATAGTGCCACCGGGTCATGTGGCCAAAATAACCAATGGGCGGTTATCCCTAACTTGCTTTGGCTAATCTTGTTGCTTAAAACCCACGTGCCATAGCCAATGGCGCTTCATTCTCTCTTGCCAGGCCAGAAACTTCAATTTCTCCGGCTAATTCTCCCTTCAGCACGGTACATGCGCAGTTGTTTCTCTTTGAGTTCTGTTGTCATCGGGAAATGCCAAAGTCAGAACCGCGGGCGGGCATCCGCGCAAGCACCCGGAAGACCTCGAGTCGCAGTACCGCCGCTTCCGAACCACGATGTTTCCAAAGACCGGAGCCCGTAATGCGTTCTCCCCAGCAGCCTCTGCGGTCCCGTCGACACCCATCCACGGTAAGCATTCACCTACAGTTACTGGGCCCGGATCATTCCGCTGACTCCACGCACCCACCAGCTGCCACAGGTATCTGGTTCTGATTCTCGTAACCCTCCTTCTGCGCCATCGCTGGAGGATCACGAGGCATGTTTGGCTACTGTCAAAACCCTAGAGCGGGAAATTAAAGTGTTAGAGGGGGACAAGGAGACCCTGTTAGAGCGCCTTCAAAAGATTAAAAGTGAGAAGCAGAAGCTGGTGAATAACCAGCATCAGTAAAGGTAATAGCTTTCTGAGCGGCAGGAAACTCAACAATTGGTGTTTGAAATGTAGTATACTATTGCGGGTTAGTACCAACAACTTTGGAGTCCTGCTAGTTTACTGGAAAATGCGGATCCTGCTGCCTTGATAACTGCTCTACCAGCAACGACAGCGGTGCCGGATATATAGACTACACAGGAGGATGAAGAAAGTGTATTTAATAATAATCATGATATTAGACCCGGCTCTAGTAACTTTACACAGCTTCTTCAATTCTAATTTCTCTACCGTAGTAATTGATATCTTTTCTAGGATGAATGCGCACACATATACCAATCAATAATAACGGTGATGATCGTGTCAAGTAGTGCACATTGACACCTGCTGGAAGCAGCTTGGGAGCGCCTGAAATATATAATTACATCCTGGGTCTGCAGGTGGACTAGATGATGCCAAGGTAGGTAAACTGTCTTGTGTATAGTAAACAAGCCTGTTCCACGGACAAATAATTGTGCTCGGCAGCAGCACTCAACACCTAATTGATATTCTTGTCTACCTACCAGCAAACAGAGCATGAGCAAGATTTCACACAGTCAGGTCCAGGAAAAGAAAGTCGTGATTTAACCAACAAACGGCTAACGTCCGAGCCCGAAATATGAGGGTCCCGGGAGGTGTCAGTGAAGGAAAACTCATGCTAGTCCGTCTTCTGAGTATGTCTGCACGTATACACATAATCCAAACCTCACACATCCCCCCGAGTACATATAATTGTGCTGGATCAGGATTGGTATTCCACAATTTCATCTGTACAAGCGGCCAGTTTTACTTTAAATCCAATCTCTAACGGAGCCATGCCGCTGTCTTCAATCTGGACAAGAAGAGCAGCCAACGATACAGCATCAAGCATCTACAGTCAAGAACCTGAAGTCATCCCAGTTCCCCCGCTCTCCATCCTGCACAAGGGGAGGAGACTAATTAACTCTCCTATAAAATATGATCTCCCGGAAATTAATCTGATCAACCATCAAATTACACTGGCCCGGGAAACAACCATGGCCCTGGAAACGACCCGTGTGCGGCTTCAAAATGCCAAAAAGAACAGTCCATATTCGTTGCAAGACACCTTAGAAGAGAAGTGGTAATAATAGAAGCACCAGAAAGATAAGAACCGGTTCTTCCGCATATGCCTTAAAATCTTCGACAACCTCGCGGCCGTGGCAGTCAAGGTGTCCGATGATCTGATCCTGCAGCATGAATTTGAACCCGAAGTCAGTCCAGTGGGAAACCGACGCATCCTCTCGGGATGCGCAAGCTGCAAGAGGCCCTGTCCGACTCGCACGGGAAGGAAGCTCGAGCCAGAGAAGAATAGGACCGCCGCTTGAACCTTCCCAATATCCGTGCCCCACTACCGCAGTGGATATAATGCGTTGTCGGATGTACGAGTTTCCTGTGGGCAGGCGCTCTACGTGACTCTTTGCGTTCGTTTTCCCATCGTGTCTCGACATAAGGTTGGATCTTCTCTGGGATGTGCTTGGGAGGCGTGCTCGGATCAGCCCACTGTGCAGGCCAGCGGAACTGCGCACGTCTACAAGATTTGCCCAGATGAACCTATCCATTGCAACATACCAAGTAACTCCGTGTCTTAAAGTTATTAGAGAAATGTGGTCTATTCAGTGTACCACTAATTGCGCAGATAGATAGGGCCCGCATTCCCCCGCATTCCCCGGCACCCCCGTATTCCCCAAATCAGAGTTGCATAGATTATACCAACCCAATGAATGAAAGCGCATCACCATCGTAGCAGCTAGCACTGATGACCGTGTCCTTCGGATAAAACTCAACTCTCTTACTTAGACATGTGCTCGGTTAGCACAGGGTCCAAAGGAGCCGTGCGTGGGCTGTTGGGAGGCGTCTTAGGATGGAAGTCGGCAAGTAGACTCTCGGAGCCTGCGTCCAGTTGTTAAATAATGGTTCTTTTTTTTGCATATGTGTTCTGTGTGCATACCCATATATCCGCACGCGACTTGGGCCTCTGACGTAAACCAACGTTCACGGGCCTTAAGTTCGCCTTTGGTGGCATAAGGCATGGCCATAGATTCATTCATGACTTGGAGAGTGCTTGCCAGTTGATGTGGATCAAAACAGGCCAGGAAGCTGTCCTGTGAAAGCAGGCCTTTGATACCCGGCCGATTGCACGGTTTTTCGGCCACGCCGCCTAACGGACTGTCGCATGTTGCACAGATGTGACCCATTCTGGAACGTGATGGGGAAGACGGCCACGAGGTGTTATCGGTTGGCCGTAGATTATGTCGACCGATGATGCGACGACTGTCATAAAGAAACAATGGCGGCAATGCGTAGAGTAAGGGCGGGATGGCGAGTGAACGAGCAGAGCTCAGACAGCCCTTTAATCCTTTCCTGTGCGCGCCATTACACTGATTAAGTTTGCCCGCGGGTTATCGTTTATCACTGCCGTTTTAAGGTTTCATCAAACAATACATTGAATTGCCCCAGACAGATAGTATTTGACACCAGCCGAGCGCTGTTTGCGAATGATATACTGCTATCTTCCATATCCCTCGGAGTCTTGACGGATCCAAATTGTCTAGACCTACGCCATGTATCAATACTTCGCCGTATTCCCCTGAAAAACAGCGGCGCTGGAAGTCCAGGTGATTTAAAAACCACGGGCAGATTACCAAGAGAAATCAGGACTTTTACCAATTGGGGTTTCTACACGGTGAAACAAACAAGTTGCCCACCTTGTCTGAAATGTTAACTACCCACCATCTACACTCGTCGGCCCAAATTTGCCTCGACTCGACGTTGCGCCGCTCGGTGATGATTCGAACTTTCTGGTCCAAACAACACCCAGCCCGAGAAGGCCACCCAGGGAGTTAATATTCAACTCTGCTTTAATATATAAACCCCCGTTTCGTCTATCACATGCTTGTCGCGTCTCTGTGTTGTCTTCAGTTGTTCCGTGCCCTGGGATTGAACCGTCCTTATTCAACTTGCATCTCCCCGGGCCAATTGTTAGTCCGACATGCATGCAACTGGCCCGCCCCAATACAAGCGGCTACAGGCTCTGCGGACGGTTTTAGGACTTGAGACCTCGCATGCTGAGACGTCTCGCATACAGTATGCGCAAAACCCTGTCCGGATCGGTGCCGGTAGCTACCCCGTGGGGACGGAGAAACATGATAACGCACAGCGTGATGATGGCGATCTAGGGGCCTTAGATCATTCCGGTACAAGCCCCAGCCTGATAGCGGACGGTAGCGAGGGGGACTATGGCCAAGGGCAGGTCTTTCCTCTTCTAAATAAGTACAGTTTCACGAATTATACTCTTCCTTGAAGAGCAGCGCATGACAAACTGACACATATCTAGACTATCTGAACGGGTGGAGTAAGTGTAACGTTGCCGTTCTCTTAACTAGACTGACACAAATCAGCGCTTTGGAGTCCAGCATGAGGGAGCAGAAGCAGTGGAATCAGGATATTAAAAAAACAGTAAACCAAATCCACCGGTCCTTATTTAGCAGCGGCACTAAAAGAGGTACAACACGCAGCAAGGCCACCAACTCTTGACAACAAGAATATCCGCCGGCGCTGGAGGGATGGTTAACTAATAGCGAGTCTCTTTATCTTATTCAATCGTGAGTTAACCGGGGAAACCCACCCCTGGACTCTGGTATAGCTCTGGACAAGACTGGTGAAGGTAGAGGAAATGAAATGTCTGTTGTAAGGGCCTTCTCGAAGACAAATACTGGAATTAGAAATGGAAGAGTTCAAAGTTGTGCGGGATGTCTATCACAGCAAACAAGCGCTGTACGTTGGAGACAGATACCGTAACAGTCTGTGTGGTTTCCCGAGCAGGCTGGATCAACGTTAACCCACGCGTGACCGGGATCTGAGCTTTGATCCCATAAGGGGAGGACATAGATGCTAGCATGGACTTGATTCGCTGTAATATGTCCGGTTTCAATTCATATAGGATCTCCGGCACATCCTCTGTACATTTTTCCTTCCCTCGCTGTCCATTATTGATCACAATAGGTAGATAAAAGTGGTGGAGCTACTCTCCAATTGCTAGCGCATGCCACAGCCTACGCAGTTGCTATACGGTTGTCTTCGTGAGACACCAGTGTGCCCACAGCCCGTGCAGGTAAATGGCATGAAATAATCGCGTCAAAACTCCCACCCACCGAAAAGTGGTAGATATAGGAGGCCAATTCCCCAGCAGGACTGGCCTACTGTTTGACCGACCATAGCTAGGCTATTTCATGACCTAGATTAGCTGTTGACCTCCATCGAACTATAAAGACCGAGGCGTCACTGATACTAAGTACCTCGTGTCACAGCATAGGACATGGGAACAGTATAACGCAGTCCAGAAAAGAGCTTAGAATAGTTAGGTTACATTCATGTCACATGGAGAAGAGTGATCGTTAGCTGCGTTACATTATGCTTGAGCGGTGGTGATGCCAGGGATCAGGGCCGTCCAATGGCTGTTTTATCAAGATCAACAGGCCGATGTCCTTTTCCGTTCCAGAAAAAGTCAACCCGCAGTAGCCGCGAGAGCGGACCACAGTCATTCTAGCCCATATACCAGATCCTGGGTAGCTTTCAACGCGAGACAAAGGGCGTTCAGGTGTCAACGCTACTGAACCGACTAACCCTGGCAAATTCGGCCCAAGTCCCGCCTCTTGGACAATCTACTTCAAGGTACCGAACGGCGAAGAACTCCAGTCCCGAGCCGCGTTGGCCAAAGATTATGCGCATTCGGTCACATCCGGATAACCCTCCCCAGAGCAAAGAGTGTGTCGTAGATCATTGATGGCGAATTAGCCCCTGTGGTACCTCGATTGAAGGCGCTCTCCACCCACATCAAATCGAAATCTGGACCACGGGGTCCATTTCTTAAAGTTTGCTCTAACGCGACTGGCATAGGAATAGGGCGCAGGATGGCTTTCGCTCGATCGCGATCGCATGGGGACGGGCTAGCGTCCGATGCTGTCTTAGTGCCATGGTAGGCAATTCCAAATCATCGCGCCCGAGTCCCGTTGTCCCAACACGCGCGTTTTTTGGGGGCGGCAAGACTACAATTTGATTCGAAAGATCGCTCCGCTATCGCCTCCCGTCCCCATATTCTGGGTCGTGACGGTTTCTTGCGCTTCAGTCTTTGTGACCAACTCTTGCGTCAAGCTTTCTCGTGTTAGTCGGTGTGTTGTCGTGCCTGCATCTACTTCTATTTTGACGCAGCCCTCACAGGGGAACGCGTGTGGATCTCTAGGGCTAAGAAATGCTTATCGATAATTGATCCCCGAGATCCCGAAGCGAGCTGTCAACCCTGGACCATCTGGGCCAATCACACTGGACGAAGAGTTGTGATGTGAGATTCTGCCACTAGAGCCGTTCAGAAAACTTCTCATGTCTATCGATTGGACTCGCATTCCGGGGTCTCAGGTCGGGGGGTTGTATTTTCCGATTCCCCTAGCACCACGACAGGATCAGCTGATGGCGTTTGGAGCTCCGAAACACTTGGTCCAGGCTGGCATCTATTCCACCATACTTTCACGGGAAGACGATTCAGCCAGGAAAATATATCTTGCACTGCGAATGGCTGGGATTGGTGGAGCCTGGAGACCAGCAAGTCATGTAGCTGCTGTTTGACATGCCTCCATTGGGCCATCGGAGCCCTCCCCTCCCACCTCACCTTGTTGCCCAATCCGCCTGCCACGGTCCTTCATCTCTGGCGGTGGATCCGTTCGGTTCACTCTCACCATTGCCGGGGTACACTGATACCGACTCAGTCTATCCCAATCCGGATACTGTACCCTTCTCGTCTTCGTCCGTAACTAGTACGTCGTTAGGTCGGTAGGGGCTCTTAGGTGTCAGTAGATTAGGTCCCACCAGCTGCGAACTGGAAGGATCTAACTATTGATTCAGGGTGAGCAAACTATAGCTGTAGTGTTCGTGGCCAACTTAGTATGGAAGGTCCCCGATTCATACCTCCTCTCTATAAGACCTCGAGACTGCGGTTGTCGTCCATCCTGATCTCAACGTGCGCTCGGTCACTACGTCAATTTTCGGTGACTGACATTTGGATCATCACCCAATCCTGGAGGAAGGTGCTACCGGTTCAGTTCTGTGGGAGCATGTCCGACCCATCTGCGGACGTAACTGGATCCACTCCTAATAAGACTGGGGCGGAAATATCAGCTCTTGTCTCAACCACATCAAGAGGCCTGGTGTCTGTCCCACCACCCCCAATTTTCCGGCCGAGATTCGTGCTTGATACCACCTGTAAGGAACTTAGGCAGCACCTCCCGTGCACCTCTGATGTTCTTTCCTAAGTTTCTAGGGAATATATTGCGGTAGAGGTGGACGGCAAATCTTGAAGCAGGAACTGCGAAATCTCATACTTTGACAGTCCTAGAGTTTCAATCAACCTGTTCCTATGCCAGAGTTTGCGGCCAATAACCCATACTTTGTGGTGCCACAGCCGGTGAATCTCTTCCCCACTCCGCCTCAACTGGAAGACGCGGCGTACCAACTGGGTGAATACTAAGATCCGTAGATCTGTAATAGAACCCAAGCCCACGAAAACTCGCTGATCCCGGCAAAGGGCGCCGGCGCGGACCAGACGAAATCAGAGCCTCTGCCGGAACACCAGACTCCGGCGGTCGAATCGCGCTGTAGCCACGACAAGGAATAATCACAGCGACCATGTAGTGATAAGCAGGAAAGATCTGGACCTGCCATGTCCGCTGAGTGCACGGACCAACGGCATGCAGCACATCCCGGTTAGAGACATGTACGCCTGGGTGCACTGTCCCGTCGAGACGCGCCGCCAGGAGGCACGGCAACAGCAGGGCAGGATCCCACGTCCGCCGAACCCATTCATACTGTACCAGTTGGCTTACAACGATCGAGCAAAGCACTGGCTTGCACAGAATGATCATTGAACCATCTTCATCCTCACCGGACGGAGCTGGAAGATGGAAGTCCCCCACATTCGAAAAAAGTACAAGACGCTCGCAGTGATGGAGAAACGGAACCATGTCAGAGCGCACCCGGGATATCGGTTCTCATTATCAAATGAAAAGAAATGATTGAGGACTCCAAGCGTCCGCTCTCCGAAATTGGCGTTACGTTCGGTGTTGTTCTCCAAAGTCAGCCAGTGTTCTCCGCCTTACGCTTGGTCTACTTCCTTGAACGATGATCGCGTCAGTGAGCACTCGACAGGACTACTCCCTGCAGAAGAGAGAACCAACCCCCAAAGCTTTCCATTGAATCCAGGTGGTTTTGGACCATTGCAAAGTGCCGCCTCGGTGTGGTGGCAGAGGACAATCTACTCTCAGATGGCCTGTACTGAACAAGTCTCCGCAGGCACCCAACCTTGTGTCCCTGTCGTCACGGGGCAACCGGGGATGCCGGACTCTGCTTGCTTTGTTCCCCAATCTGGATGCTCTGGGCTCGAAGCTGTCAGCGGTCAGTCTGCTTTACTGACACTGTCTGTTACATGTGAGGATTGTAAGGTTGACGGGGAATTGGCGTCGATATCCTCAGATGCGAGGATCTCATGCATAATTATTCTCGGTTCTTTCTTACAGTGCGCGTGTAACTCAGAGGCCCGTGTTTGTGTACTGAGCAATGACTTCTAGGAGACCATGTCCGCGCCGAAGGCCATAGGACCTCATTCTCCTGCGGACGACTGTTCGCCGCGACCACGTAGGAAGGCGTAGCCCAGGGGTCGTAAGTGCAACAGATCCCCCCGGAAAACGGCCCAAGCTCCCGGAAACTGTTTGTGTGCCCCTGGGAGCCAGCATGTTGCTCTTGAGAGCGACGCCCCTCCCCTGATTCCTGCCGCTCGTCACAGGAACGGGAAACCGTCTCCTGCCTTTTTGAGCATACGGAGATCACCCTGGCTGCTACCGAGCAGACTGTACAGCAAACTGACTGGAGAAGGACATGATCTGCACTTCTGAAATTCAAAATGACGGTGTATTGGCATGCCTAGCATTCTTCATGCGTGATTCTATCATACTATATCGCTACTGCGTGATTTGAGTCTGCCCCTCAGACCAGAGCATAATATAAATGATTGACAGGCCAACCATTATGAACACAACATCCCGACTAGATTTTCGGGTATGTGCTAATTTTCCCACCCATCGTCACGCTTTTGGCATCTGTGTACCGACCAACTAAGCCATTTGGTCACTCATGGACGAGCAGCGTTCACTGCCTCCACTGGAGGAGATAAACACGCTGGGGTCAAGAGAGGCATTGCGGACCGACGAAAGGCTTGGCGGGGTTGCGACTGCAGCAGAAGGCTTCGCATCGATTGCAGCCCATGTCCGTCAGCAGCCAGAGGACACTAGTGCCACTGAGCCCGTCGAGGATCACCGAAACTCCAATGTGTCTACAGAGGTATGTTGACACGTTCCATTCTTCTCAGTCCTGCAGCCCGACAGCCATCGTGTGTTAAGTGAACATTAGCTGATAGACGGAAATAGCGCAGGGTGGACCGAGCATGTGCAGAGTGCGTTCGTCGGAAAATCAAGGTGCGCGAAGCCACAAGGAACTGGGACTCATGGTAAAACGTTGGTCGACAGCGCGTTTGATTAACGTAACAGGCTATTAGTGTTCTCGCATCTGGCCCTGCGAGGCGTGCCAGAGGAGCGGAAGTAATTGCGTTCCTCCACCTCGACAGAAATCAAAAACAATGTCTACAGAGGTATATCCACATCCTACTCTCCTCAACATGCATTGTTACAGCCACCGTCCACTAATTGAGCATTAGCTGATGGAGTGATAGCAGTGCTTCTAAGACCATCCTTGCGCGAGGTGTCATCGTTTGAAGATAAATGTCCGCAAAATCCAAAATTGATACTATGGTGGATTATCAGTGGACAGCGTTTTTAACTAATACTGCGTATTAGTGTTCTCGCATCTGGCCTTGTGAAAGCTGCCATGGTAGCGGAAACAACTGCGTTCCTTATATTCGACCGTTTTCGTATTACTTGAACAAATTTCCTGCTAAGGTATGTTTGTGTTCTACTCTCCTCAATATGAAGTGTAACTGCCACCGTTTGCTGAGTGAGCATTAGCTGATGGGGAAATAACAGGACCAGATGCACCGAGCTTGTGAGAGATGTTTTCGTCGGAAGATCAAGGTGTGCGATGTCACAAGGAACTGGGACTCATGGTAAACTGTTGGTTGACAGCGTATTTGACTGATGTAACTGGTTATTAGTGTTCTCGCATCTGGCCCTGCGAAGTGTGCCAGAGAAGCGGAAGTACTTGTGTTCCTCAGTCGGATTGATAAAGCGTGAATCATTGTACTATGATATCTACCGAACCACGCACAGCGAGGTTGCTAGTCAGCAGGATTTACCCAGACCAGCCTTCTAGTGACACCTCAAGAATGTATGAGGCACACGCCAGCGCATCCATGGAGGGACACCGATGGAGCGTGTCTGATATGGACCGCGCTTCAAATGTCACCATTCTAAAAGACAGGGGTGCTGAACGTGGCTTATCTATTACATACCCTGCAGACGTTACTGCTCGTGGGGAAGGGAATAAGATTAGAGATGATGAGAACAGCACTCTCCCATCCAACATTAGTGATAATGTAGGCTGGGCGCCCTCATCTAGCGCAATCGCGCTTCCGGATTCATATATGCCCGCAGACAATTCAATGGGGGATCCTACGGCAGATCCATGGTACTGGATGCCGTGGGCTATGGAACCACGCTCGTAGGAGACATTGCCTGTATCTTTCTGGGGTTGGACCTGGTCTCAATCCGGATATCTGACTGGTTCCGAGACCGACGGTTTCTTACATCCGTCTATTCCTGCATCGCAGGCGGCAGGGTGGCCCTTTAGAGGCAAGGCTGAACAGCCTCAGTATCCAAGCAGAAGTGGCATCATGCCCTTTTTAAGACACTACTCACAAGAGCTGTACCCTCCAGGTCCCTCTTTTGATGCACCGGACTCCATTCCCTCGTCCAATGCACTCGGGCTCTCTTCTATACTAGAAACTGCGCCACCGAGCTTCCCAAGATTTCCTCGCTTGCAGCATGTTGAGGACGGCAGCTTGGCGCTCCCGGCTGAGTCTCTAATGCTATTGCCTCCCTGGGATCCATTGGCGCCTGTTTCCGCAGCACTGCCTATGACGGACTTCCACCGCCACAGCTTGCATCAACAACCATCTGCACCTGCCCCTGTGTGAAACCGCGAGTTGCTAGTACCCCCGTGGCTACAGATTATGATGGATTACAATGGGACTGAAGTCAGCCCGTTCGATAACATCAGTGCCAACAGACAGGAGCCATCGTGTAATGTCACGGTGCCGGAAGACCAGGTCGAGCATCATCACTCGACCTAGGCGTGGGGCTTCAACACTCACAAGAAACAGGAACCGTTTGCATAGTAGGAACGTGGAATTTTGCATGCCTGGATGTGATTGATTTATGATTCAATGTCGTTTATGATAGGTTGGTGCTTTTCTGTACTGCAATCCACATACGGTTCCCAAGATCATATTGTACAATGTATTACTGTGATATGTCAATCAATGAATAGAACAGCAGTGAATGACTCGCGGACGTCTGCTTCATACTTAGTTGCCCCAAATGCATAATCATCTCGTCGCACAGGACAGGTGTAATGGAGCAAGCGCTCCTAATACTGTATCCCTGAATTGGATCCCGTGGAAACATTCTGTGTGATCCGCCGGCTGGAGTCTTGCCTTTGAGCTCTTGTTACCGCAAATTGTCTGTTCCTGGACGCATAACCGCACGTACTTCGAGGAGGCTTTAGTTATTTTATTCAGCTTGTTTGCATTTGATATATGTGCTCCGCAGTGGAGTGTCTGAAGTTTTCCGTACAAGGGTCTGTAGAATTACTGGCTTGCTCCCATAGCTGATTCGAGTTCAAGCGGCGCTTCTGTACTGTAGAGCGGCATACGTAGCGGTCGGACACAATCCCATTTCCACATAATCCAACCTTTGTCAGCATAATGTAGAGCTAGAGTAAGATGAAATGGTGATTCTCCATAAGCCACCATGGTAAAAAGGCCGTCAAAATCTAAACCTGTCGGACAGAAGCAGAAGCTCGCTAATTACCCATTTACTGCTCCTATAGATTATCTTCCATGCACCTCATATTTCTGATGCCTGGGCATGAAATTAGAAGGGGTAATAGGACCCAGCGTTTTCCGGACTTGACCTCGTGGTTACACGGGCAAATGCACGTGCCAGCCATATATTTGACCATCTCACCATCTCCAACTACAACAGGAGGGCCGCGGAGGTCAACCATCAAGAATGAAAGTATGTAGCATCTGGGTGTACCGGTGGCCCAAGGGCGACGCCGTGAAAATGCTTATAAGCCAACATCTCCCATCTCCCATCTGCCAGATCCAACTTCTGCTTCCCCAGAGACAATGCCTCCAGCACTCTCAGACCAGTATGAACAGGCCAGCCAGATATATTCCGTTGACTAGTACGGGATATGGATTGCTGCCCTGCTGGGCGTCTGGCTGATCGCGCGGTTGGCGTACCAGCTTGGTCAGTGGACTGTCTAACGCCACATCACGGCCTCCCTTGGACGGCGTCTCGGCCGCGAGTTGCCGTGGCTTCTCCAGACTATTGACATCGCCACCGCTCTCGAGGCGATCTTGGTTGGGGTGCTCTTGGGCGCCAACATTGCCCTCCTACTCGTGTCCGCCAATGGCTGGGCCGACGTCCAGCAACGTGCGGCGAAGCTCGCCGTCCTGAACCTATTGCCGCTCGGTACGGGCCTGACCTTTGGCCTCCCGGCCCATCTGCTCGGAATCAGCCGCTCTGCCGTTGCGTGGTTGCATCGCTGGTTTGCGCGGATGATGGCCGCCCATTCCCTACTTCATGGAGCCATTACTATCACCAGAACAGATAACCTGATCCCCTCGATCAGGCATGACTGGATTACATTACTGGTCAGTTACCACACCGTCCCTTGATAATGATGTTGACTGTGACCTGAGAGCTATACATACCACTAACCAGAGCTAGGAAGCTGCTGCCATTCTGATAATGATTCCCATGACCCTGCATGCGGTCATCCAGCAGCACTGTCAGGTCGCCATGAAAATTCACTACCTTCTGATGGTCATGGTAATGGTGGCCCTGGCGTATCATACATGAGACCAAGGGTCAGAATCCCGCTGGCAAGTAGTTAATGCTGGGGCCCTATGGATGATGCTGAGTATAATAGCCGTCTCTCATGCAGTTTTCATCCAACAACACTGGAGTACTGGACGGCCCACCATAACCATACATCCTTTCCATAAGCTGCTTCGCATGGACATTACAGTATCCCCCCATTAGCACATCTGGCCGGGGCAATATCTATATCTCTGGTTACCTCACTCAGGATTTCACTTATGCTTCCAACTCCAGCCCTTCTATGTCACTTACTGGAATAATGCGCCCGGACCGCGCATCCTGTACATTCTGACCTGACCACGAGCCTTCAGCCTCAGTACATGACTCTACCTCCGCGAATAGCTACACCAGTGTCGACAGCCTGCACTGTTACTAGGACTATACAGCCTATCGATCAACTTTTCTCCGTTTACGACCATCGTGTTCATTATAGAGGATATTGGCATGTTGTAAGTGCTTTCCTATATCCGCATGCTCGTCCAGGTGAGCGAGCAGCGGCGGGCCATGGTACGTAAGCTGAAAATCGTGTGGTAGATACAAGACTTTGATATGGCTGTCTCTTGATGCACTGTCTGATACCGCAGTTACTGACAAATCCTAGACTACTAATACTGGCTGGGTGACTGGATACAGGACCTGTTGGATCTTGATCATAGTGAATTTAAGATATATAATAATCCTCTACGGCCAGTCTTAATGCCGTCCTGACTGAGATAGATTCTTGAATTTCATCTGTATTATCTTGGAAAGGGGACTTCCATTAATCCTGGTAATAAGTTCAGCAAATAAATCAAGCTGCGTCAAGGGCCAATAGTGGCCAGGGAAGTTATCTAAGATTACCTGAGCAAGCATTATAAAAAGCTAGCTGTTAGTAGTAGGTGTAATTCTCTCTGATTAATATATATATAAACTCCAATGTGAGAGGGGGACTTATGACAGGCTATATTAAATATGCACCCAAAGTCTAATAATTATCTACTATAATATGCGCCCGTCAGTCAATTTATCAACAAGTCCGGGATGCAGTTCAGCTACAGACAAGGGCAGATATTAAACTTTTCAACTTTAATCTTAAGCTGTATCATACCTGGGCGGTCCCTTGTCGCGACAACAACACCGTCATTAATATACAAAGTGATTATCAAAAGTGAGTTACATCTTGTATTATTAAAAGTAATTCTTAAATGCAGTAAGTCTAAACATGCCTTGTAAGACGAGACACTTATCTTTACATATAATTAATTTTATATATGGCAGTGGTATTTATCAGTATATCTCAGCTTCTCTCTTCAGCCTGATATCTGGACACTCAGCTTAGATAATCACGGGTCTTGTGGTCTCTTATCCATTTGTTAGTTAGTAATTTAATCAGTTATAAGATTCAGCCACACTGCTCTATGAGTACTCTTAAACAGGCATATCCAATACACCGCCGCAACAGATGTCCCGGGCTAGATAACCCCACGGGATCCTGCAAATGCTGACTGTGGTAGGTCGGACAGCGATGACTGCCACAGCACTTATATTGTAACTATTTGATACTGCTTTGTTTTGGTACGCTGTTGCGTGTAACGTTACACGTGTAATTATCCACATGTGATAAGCAGCTTTGGAGCATGTGATGGCGAATATATAAAGACATCCAACCAGAGCTATGTCCAATCACTGTTAATATATACTATATCCTAGATTAGTAAGCTTAGTAAGCATATTAATTTACTTCCCTGCTTTGAAATGCCCTGAATATTCCATGTATTTATTGATGTTGTCACAACAGCCAGAACGATCCTTTAGTTAAAGATATAGTCTGGGACAAACAATACTGCGGTCGGAGCAGCCTCTTACAAATTCAAAAATCATCGCTTGGTGATCATGCCTTTGATTATTAAACAGGATCAGAAATTTGAGGTTTCTTGAACATATGCAGTGATGTCAACTAGTATCAGCATTATCCTATGAGCAAGTGGCTGACCTGGAACTTGACTGTGAGAAATAGTTAAAGATAACCATAAAAACTCTGCTTATAGTATTTTCTCTGCTGGTCTTTTATACACTTCATATTACCTAGCTCTTTTCCCGGGGGATCAGTAAGATTTAAATAATATTTCACCATTCTTGGCCCGCAGTCTAACCCAGGATTATAATAAGCAAAGAAGAAACTGAAGTCCCTCCTAAAACAGACTATACCAGTTTGAAAGTAAAAATGATATAACTAGGACACGCGTTATAGGTAATACTTTATACCAAGTCCATGACCTTTTCACGCACAACCCTTCTATACAAGTACCATATTTTTCTATAACAGCATATTTTTTGTAACACCGTGAGATCCCCAAGGCTACAGCTGGTCATCGGGAGGGTCTTACAGAAAGATACTATCTGTGAAAAAGTCATTATCTCGTCCGCAGACCACACCTCAAAGAAGAGATAAAGATATGCCAGATATAGAGATAACTAATTTACAACACAGTGACGAGAAACTATATTATTTTATAAGACCCTGGCAGTTGACTGTTAGTTATCTTCTTTTTATGAAGATGTTGAATTCCTGGCCTGGAATAGGCCCAGTATTCTATTTCCGTGTATGCACTCCAAGAGAATCTTTTGATATGTCTCTGTCATGCTATCCTACCCTGTTGATTGGTAAGAAATGCATCTTACGGTTATTCTTAAGTATATATTTAACTCAGTTACTATCTTGCCAGTTTTTCTTCCGCGCGTGGAGTGCACTCTCGGCAACCTCAGACAGTTTTATAATTAAATCTGGGAAGTAATCCGTTCATACATTCAGACCATCGACCACGCAGATTATCGGTTTCAAAGATTCGTGTGGCCAAGAGGCGAGCGGGAGCCGGATACTGCAGCAAGATTAGGTGTGTTTTCAGGGTCAAACAGAGCGTTTTGTTGAAAACACCTCTTGCGGGTTCTAGTACGGAGAGCATACTGAGAACATATGTACCATGCGAAAAGAGGTGGGAGGGTTGGGTTTAAATAGCCTGTATTATTTTAAGGGCTCATTGCTTTCTTGCTTTATAGTATCTATTGGTTTTGCTTCTATAGACAAAAGTCACCCGTCTTCCCACTATCCGACAACTCGAGTCAGGGAATCAAGCCCCAATTGTTCTGGCTTGCGGACAGGTAAAATAGCCCTACTAAACATAGTTTGGCTAGTCCCTGGTCAGCTATTATTAAGTGCCCCAAGGGTTCGTGAAGTTACACTCAGCCCCTGGTCTGTCCATGTCTAGAATCATGGCCTTAATGTTACCTTCAACTCCAGCTTGCGTTGGGTGGACCATTTCACGCGGGGCTGGCACGTAGTGTCATTTTACTTTGAATTAACAAGACAGCCAGTCCTTATAAAATACTATATAAGTCTTAGGCTGGGGCCTCTTACTTTCACGGTATATATATATTTTACAGGAATCTCAGTTCTTCTTTTATTAGCTTTATTCTCTGACAATAATGAGGACTCACCTGCCATAATTTAATAAATTTTAGAAAGTACTAGCATCAGCTAAAAAGAAATCATATTCCAGCACCCAGTCAAATACCTTATACTACACTGAATCAGCCCCACTAAATAATAGTAAGCCGAACTTGCAGGCCGTCTCGGGTAAGAACATTTTAATCTATAAGAATAATATAAGTAACAGAAATATAATATTAGAAATTAATAGTATAATTATAAATGGATTTCCTGATTATCCTAATAACATGATTAATATATTTATAAAGGCTCTTACAGTATTGATCTGTGAGTATATTCCATCTTATAATATCTTAAATCCAGCTGCTATTTACTTTTGAACTATACTAATCTTTATCTTCAAGTCTGGAAACTAGAGTCTGGTAGATCTATCTCCATTATATTACTAAGTAATATTTTACAGGATCTTAAGCTGATAGGGAGCTATAAAAAACTGAAGAAATAAATAAAATATTAAAACTAAGAGAATCACCACCTGCATAAAAGAGTAAATAATATTTATAAGAGTATTCTAATCTCTTATACTAAACCCCGTCCTTCAGCTCGGTACAAGGACATGGAGTCGGAATGAATATTGCTGTATGCAGGAGAAGGAAACGGAACATTTCTCATGCCAGGCTGGGAAGGAATTAATAAGACAAGATCTGAGTTATATCACCTAAAACCACTGTCTTTGACCAAGCTTGTCCGGCCGGAATTAAGATTTACTTGATTGTAGAGTATATAGCTATCTTTAATTAGAAGTGACTACTTATGCTGGCTGTAATAGAGCAAGGGCAACCTGGTCTATTAATTCTAAGATAAAGAAATATATAATATTAATAAATTTTTACACCCTGTAGCTGCATTTGATCATCAGTAACATTAATGGTTGAATGAATCAGCTGTATAGTTAATCATGAATCCAGTGATTTAATGAAGTGGGACTCCATCGCGTCTGCGAGTCAAAGACATAAGAATATATTATTAATATAAGTTATGTTCCTTCTCCTGCTGGTGCTATTCCTAGTATTTGAGCCTGTTAAAGCTCCACCGTAAGTTTCATTAATTTACTGGAAGTGATCGGCACATCCTGGTATAATATAGAAGATAGATCACGTTTGTTGCTGCCTTACTATATACATGTTCAATAGCCAGGTCACCATGGCAACAATATTGTAGATATTTTATATTTCTAAGCTAAGAAAAATTACTTTTTATTAATTTATACTAAAAAGTATATTACTAGTGTTCTCTTCATCTTCCCCAATACTATTAAGCCTTGTAGTGGTTAATAATATAGACTCCTACCCTCAGACTAGCTGACTCAGCAAGTGATTATTTTAGCGCTAGTTATTTAACCTAACGGGGGCAAGCAGCCAGACAAATATATAGCTAATTAGCTATAATATCAAGTAATATAATTATATATTTATACACAGCCCTATACTATACTTTCCTGTATTTCTCCAAACAATTTGCACATAGTCACATTATATATATTATTACAAAAGGAAAACCTCCTAACTTCTTACTAGAGAGTCTAATATATTTATTATAAAAGAAAAAAGAGAACCCTTCTTCTAATATATAGCAAATATACCCAGCAGATCCAGTATGTAAATCAGGTTACACTGTGCCTGTTGATACTGGTACACGACACTGCAGGCTTTACACCATGTCCGGTGGACGACATACTGGCTCAGGGCATTTGATAAACATCTTGGGGATATATTCTACAAGCTGGTTTATGCTCCGACCGCGAGCGTGCGTGGCCTCCTGCAGTAGCGCACCGTCCGGGTGATAGTAATAGCACAGTCAATCCAGGGTGCTCTGGAAGTCATCTAAGATAATAATATCACTCAGGCATTTAAAAATAAATATTAATTATAGCAGGATCAGTATACTAATCTTCTCCTTATCAGTGGTAGCTGCTTACCTTCCAGAATAGCTCCATTCCCGGGGGGTAGCCTAGGCAATTCTTGACCTGGATTATACACATATCCACCACCGCAAACACGACGGAAATCACCATAAACAGAAGTATGACGCCGAAATATGAGCTGATATAAATTAACTGAACCAGCAAATACCCATAGCCCCGCTGAATGACATATAGAAGAAAGCAGGTAGTGAAGATCTATCATAAATCCCTAGATCTGGATTAATAATACGGGATATAGAGAGAATTGTACTCGGATACTGCACTGGAACAGCAGCTTGAGTAACCGAGTAGTGGTATATAAGACCTGGCCCCAATTAAAAAAGGCAAAATTAGCATAAATATTAATAATCTAATAAGGCTGGATTACTAGCAGAATGATCAGATATAATCATATACCCCAAGAAATGAAGAAGCCGCGAATCTTTATCTATATAATCATATTATAGAAAGAATGCGAAATTATAAGACTGACAGCTGTAACCAAAAGATACCAGTCCTGAGCAGGTATATAAAAAAAGATGAATATTTTATACCTGAGGATCAGAACAAGTTAAGTATCTATATCAGCAGAAAATAATATCTCTTTTACTCTAAAAATATAGTATAATCTACCTCTGCTATAATAAGTCTGTGTAGGAATACCTCTTTTTTTATATTAGCTGCAGTAATAGTAATTATAATAATAAAAGAGTCTACTAGAAATCCTTGTCCCCATGCCTTTATAATAAGAATATCCAGGTCTGTAGGATACTGGTCAATACTTAGTATTATATTATCACTTTCTATTTGACTGTGTTAATATAAAATAAAAAAGACTTTTCATAAGTGATAGAATATCTTTATATTATTAGATAAGATTAAGTAATCTTCACCGCTCGGTATAGTTAACTGCCGTGGGCGACGGAGAGTAGGAGGAAGATTAATTAACTATAACTATAACCAGCCAGAGATCTAAGAAAGGCCAGCCAGAATCTTTTACTATTCTGACACTATTCTCAGGAGTAATAGTAACCTTTGGAGGTCTAGCTGTGCCTGAAGTATAGACTTTGCTACTCCAGATGAATAATTGGATACTGTAACCCGTAGAGTACCATACAGCCTTAACCATTCATTCATGGAATAAGCCGAGACTGTAGGATTCCGGAAAATCCATTCTTACCTACTATACGTCTGGCTGCAGGAACCAAGGCCGACAGAGAAATAGACTTTCCATCTATTTACTTTTAGTATCATATAAGATAAAGAGAATACAATAACCATAGAGATAGCCTTATTTAATAAAATACTGTTTATATAAACTGGACTTCTTTATCTTACAGCCTGAAAACATTTAATAAGTAACATCTTCCAAGCTAATAATAGAATAACAAACTGGATTAATTAAAAAAGTACTTCCTGACATCTGCAAGATTTATTCACATTAACAGTCTGTAATCTGTAAGATTATCAGGAGGGTTACAAGTCTAAATAGCTTAACCATGATTATACTACTGTTTTACAGGCTTTAATTTAATATATATCAGGTAGAAGTATATACTCTTATAATTATTAAATTGTATCTTAACTAATTCTATTTTTCCTTTCCTAGTCTTTTTAAATATATTTAGCTTTACTACTCCAACTCACACTCTGCACCTACTAATACAGAAAAACATACTAACAAATATTGGCCTCCGGCTGAGATAAAAGATTTATCTCCTCACACACTGATAATCTGGAGAAACTAACATAGTTAATTACAGGCTCGAGAACACTGTCTAGAAAAACAAAAACTTACCCCCATTAATATATGACCAGAGCATGCTTTTACCGAGCCCTTGAGAAAGCACAATATGAATCTCAGAAACTCAAGCAGATATTATAATCATAGAACCATATAAAATTAATATAGATTCTACTACAGATACTTCAAGAACTCTACAGCTTATAACAGCTATGTTAACTTCAATCCAACACCCTGGCCCGAGCTAGACCATTGGTTGAGAATGAGCGGAATATACCCCTGAGAGAGCCAATAGAAAATATAAAAACAGCTAAATATGACTGGTATGGAACAAAGACATCAGAAATAGTCCTTACTCTATATTTCCATCGCTTATGTCGGGATTGTGATGGAGCTGGAATACCAGGCGCTTCCGACAATATATTTCAAACCTGCAAGATCTGCTCTCTTTATGGTTTCCAGCAGCCCCGGAGGACTTGATGTATTAGCTACTGCTGTTGAGGCCGCTGCGTTGACCGGAAGTGATATTGCCCTACGGAAAGCGATGCTTACGAGCGTGAAAGCAAACAAGAAGCGGTGAATGTGGGAAGATCAATAACGGAGGATCATTAAGGTACTATGTTGTAGAAAGTACAGAATTGTGTTCTTGTAGTCTAGAATTCGATGCTGCTTTTCATTCCATATGATCTAATTTCTTTCAACCATAATAAGGGTCATTCACGTTAGCGAGAGAGGAGATGCAGAAGATGGGGGATTGCCATAGGTAACAATACTGGGATCTACATTGTTTAGGAACAAGACAAGTCGGCAATAATTGGATCTGACATTGCGAAGGATTTCAATTGAGGGCTGGGAAATCCATTCGAATATTCAGTAGTCTCCCCGTTATGCTTTGCTACCGACTCACCAGAAAGCTTTCGTGTTGCTGCTGTACGATTGTCTATCGCTGAACAGCCCCCGGGCGTTGCAACTTGGACAAGTGCATCAAATCCTATTAGAGGGGGGGAACAAAACAAGGAGCGGGAGATTCGTGTCCTAAATGTATGTAACGTTCCCGGATGATCTCCCTGGACAGCCGCATGAAAATCTGTCGGTGCCCTGGTGGGGTCCATACAAGTGGCAATCTTACTTGGCTAGCAGAGGAATAGGGGATGCTCGATGAGAGTGGACTTTCATTGCCGGACAACTGACCGTGGAGAACCGACGGCGGACAATCAGCAGCATCTGGCGGTAGGAAACAACCGTTAGGACCAGCCAGTTGCGAGAACAGGTAGAACCTACCATGTAAATACACTGCGATAGAGATTACCAAGAACTATATTAAAAGCACAAAGCTGCCGCTCTGTGGGCCACTGCTATTATAGCATAGGAGTTCAAGGCACTATAGGAGAGATAGAGGTTACATATAAATTAGACAGCAGCCCGGCTGTAGGTTAGAGAGCTGTCTTGTCCATAAAAAATACAACCACGAAATCTCAAGCAGCTTAAAAGACAGACTAGCCCAGTATTAATTTTAGCTGACAACTCTTTTCTCTACAGGAACAAGACTGACAATATTAAGTAACAGTATTTACCAAGATTAAATTCCCTCATTAGATCTGTCTACTATTATATTAAAATCTTTCACATTAATTTTTCCCCACAACAACAGAACCATGAGATCTGAACTTAAAATTACTGCTGCATCTACATCCTAGCTAGCCTATATTACAATCAGTATATGGTAGGCCTGCTGGGCAGGTACCTGGATAATTATTATTATATTTAGCATAGTCTATCTTATTACCCATCACAACACACCTCCACTCCTGCTGCGAGACCTCGGACTTTCACTGTCCGCTGTTATTATACTTCATGTCTATTAGACTTCAGTGCAATTTAGAACCATGATTAGCACCATCATGCCCGGAGATGCTGAGTACTAGATCATGGGCATCTATCTGCCGTGTGGCATTGCCCTGTTCCATGTATTAAATAGTCACTTCTACCATGTGGCGAAGCTTCAGGAGGGCTATATTATTTATAATAATAATAAAATTCATTTATCCTCCACCTCGAAGGATAAGCTCAGTATCATAAACTAGTTCTATCATCTTACCTATATTACCAAGATCCTTGTACTTGTTACAATAACATTACTTATTCAGATAAAACAGTCACCGTCTACCCCTACTGCCACTGTATTAGTATTTAATCAAATTAATAGATATTCTTCATGGTCTTGATATGGCTTATCTCTCGCAAATGGCACCGTACTTGGGGGATTCCAGACACCGAGGTCCATGGAACTGAGATGCAGCAAAAGTCAGAAATAGACTGGGACTGGGAGTGGTAAGAATATTTCTGATATACACCTGGTATATATATAACAAGAGTTACACGTTAATTGATATGCAGGTGGCCTGGCATGTTTAGACAGATTTTCTGGTCATAGATTATAAGTCCTGTTATTTTCTAGAAATCCTGTCATATCCATGATACCCACGGCTAGAGAGTCCAGATAATAGGCTGTATTATTATTAAGTAAGCCAGTCAGACTGGTGAGGCCTGTGGAATAGTTAATCTGTTATATAGTCTTTCTATAATACCAATATAGCTCATCGCCCTTTATGTTCTTGCCATGGAGCTGGTCTGTTAATACTGGTTACTACTCCAGTAGTAGGTACTCCGAGCTGTGATTAATAAGAAAATAGAAATAAAGAAAAAAAGAAATAAGAAAATATAGCTAATATCTGTAGAATCTATCTCTTTATCTAGATAATGGAGGTTTTTGCTGTTCTCCTGCCATGCCAAGAGATAATGTGTTATCATGTTATTCAACAAGAGACCTTCAATTCAATCATACAGTAAAAACCTAATACTAATCCCTTTACTGATAACACTATAGTCTGCAGGTCAGCCTCCATTCTTGTTAAGCTTATAAAATCTAGCTAGAAATCATAGAATAGATCTCTTAGCTCCAGCTCCAGCTCTTGGGATAACATATTTATTAAGCATGTACTTAAATATCTCTTAACACACAATCCTGCCCTGCTGCAGGATTTCTCCGTCCATTATAACTTTTCCAGAGAGAATATAACTTTTCTAACCCAAGTAGCAGAATAGAAGAGCTTGCTGCTCTATGCAGTCTGGAATAACAGGATTTCAGACTATAAAGATTTTACTAACTTAATTCAGGAGCAGTTTCACCGTGTACTGTATATTTACATGATCTTTATCAGTGATCACCATGTACAGTTACCGATCAATGTCTCTTCGCAGGAACAGAAGAAGCTGGAGAACATCTTTAAGAGCCCTGCTGGGCTTCTCTTTGAAGACGGGCGCCCGGCCAATCCCACTGTTCCGTTCAATTCGCCAGGCTATGGCCCCACGCCCTCAGCGTCTCCGATCGCCTCCATAAAGGGCGAGTCCGGTTTGTTGTAGTTCCAGGGAAGCTTGATTATTATTATTCAGAGGGAAACATGAGGCTATATATACAACGAGCAGATCAACTTGATTGGAAATCAAGTTAATTCTTTATATATATACTTCGGGATTAATTCTGATGGTTCAGCTTGGTTCCTGATCTGTACCAGCCTCATATTATAATATTCCCTCTCAGGATCGCTTTGCTGGCAGGGCGATACTGGAATTGCGCAGAGTAGTCAGGCCTCGGTAAAACTATTTAAAAAATCTTTTTCTAAAAAAATACAGTGGAAAGAGCGCCTGTGCTGTCTTATATATATTGCCTTGGAGTCTCGGAGGCGTCGATTCCTAAGAGACTACAAAACTTGATAAAGGATATAGGTCCCAATGGCTTGGTGAGACCATCTGCAGCCTGTGCCTCAGTTGGAACATATTGAAGCCCAATCTCGCCTGCATCCAGCACAGCTCGCTGATAGTGAAATTTCACGTTAAAATGCTTCGTCCGTTTGTGGAATTCCGGGTTGTGAGAAAGAGTAATGGCGGACTGGTTGTCAGCCATGATGTTAGTGACCGGAGACCGATACAGTTGGGTTTCAGCCAGAAAGGTGCAGAGCCACTGCAGATGCAGAATGGCATTGTATTATCTGATGTATTCCGCGTGTATCATAGACATGGCTACTTCCCCCTGTCTCTTGGACGACCAGGAAACTGGCGCCCCTGCAAGCTGGAATACATACCCAGACATCGAGTATGCACCGTCAGTGACGACAGAGCCACCAAAGTCAGCATCTGTATACCCGATCAGCTGCCCACTGCGGTAGGTAATATGATGAGATTGCATGGCTTTAATATAGCGAAGCAATCGCTGCAGAGCAACTTGGTGGTGTGATTGCGGCTGAGCTGTAAAGCAACTCAACATGTCCAGCGCAAACACAATATCCGGTCGCGTGCCAACCATCAGATACATCAGTGAACTAATGGCAGTCGCATAATGAGCCTTTGCTTCCTCGTCCGGGGGCTCCTCGTCTGGACGATGATTCAGGATTTGCTTGAGATTCATCAGCGTTGACTTCGGCTGACAACTCTCCATGCCAAAGTCGGAGAGCACCTTCTGGATGTACTGATGTTGATAAATAGACACGGATCCATCAACGTGATAGTCAAACTGGATCCCAAGAAACAAACAAGGGATGCCCAGATCTTTTAGTCAGAACTCTGCTTACAAGACTCATTGCACTTGTTTGATTTCATGCATGTTTGCTGCAGCAACAAGAAAGTCATCGACATAAACACAAATGACGCAATCCGGCTTGTAGAACACACAGTTGGCCGATTGGGCCATAATGAAACCATGAGAAGCCAGGACGCGGTGGATGTATTGGTACCAAATCCGCGGGGCCTGCTTCAGCCCGTACAGTGAACAGCGCAGCTGGTATACGTATCCTGGCTCTTCGAAGCCTTCGGGCAACTCTATATAGATAGATGAATTGATGTCTCTATGCAGAAATGCGGTGACTGCATTAAATTAGTGGAGTTTCCATCCGCGCAACACGGCGCTGGTGATAATACAGCGGACTGAGTCCATCCTGGACACAGCAGTAAATATTTCATGATAATTAATGCCATGTTTCTGCTAGTAGCCTTTGATAACCAATCGCGTTTTGTGTGTTCCATTGGCTTTGGTCTTGAAGACTTATTTATAGCTAATTATATAATCTCCGGCTGGGATGTCCTCTCGCCGAACCTTTTCCCATGTTCCGTGTTCGAGAAGTGATGTATATTTTTTCTGGATAGCAGCCTACCATTCCAGCTGGTTTGGGCTAGACACAGTCTTATAGAAGATTGCCAGGTTGACTTATCTTACTAGTATAGTATTTAATGCGCCTGCCATATACACCTTGCCTAGTAATTCCAGGAGACGCTGTGATGGCCTTTTTCTGTAATTAAAAATCAAATATCCAAGATCTAGTGTTAGGTCTATTTCTTATTAGCTTAGATTAATTACTGGAGGTGTTTTCTTCTTATACTCAGATAGTATATTCTTTTGCTTGTTTGACGGAGGTAATAGCAATGCAGGTGGTATTAACAGCCCGCTGGCTGAACTTAGTATTAATAAAAAGATAGGTGATGGAGGAGTATTATCCAGAAGATTATTATTTATTTTTTTCTTAATAAATAACACTACTAGGGTTCTCTTATCAAATTTAATATCATGGGAAAAGACTATCTTTCCTGAATATATCTCATAGAGCTTGTACTGGTTCGGTTTATAATAGCCAAGCAGTCAATACTCAGATAATCTTAGTCTGAGTTTTGCTTGATGCTCCTTTGGGATTAAGACCCATGCACGGGAGCCGATCCATTGCAGATGCAAGAGTGAGGGCGGCTTTCTATATAGAATCTTAAATAGTGTCTTCTTTTGTAAGATCGATGCTGGAGCACGCAGCTTTAAGTAGGCCATGGTGTTTATAAGCTTGATCTACCAGGAAGGAGGAAGGTTCACATCGGACAGGAGCGAGTTGATCTGCTCCCGGATAGTGTGATTCGTGCGTTCCGCCAGTCCATTCTGCCCTTTGCAGTACGGCGGCGAGGTATCGAACTCAACGCCCTGGGATTCGAGATGTGTTCCAATTGGCAGATATTCTCTCCCGTTATCGGCGAGGAATCTTCTGATCTGGGCCCCGAACTGTCGGTACACCCAGGCCTCAAACCGTCGGAACTTCTGGAGCGCGTCATGCTTCCATCTCATGGCATAGGCCCACGAGCCACGAGAATAATCGTCAGTAAAGGTGATCACGTACCTGGAGCCATCTTTGGCAATCGGCATCTCCATGATGTCCGAATGGATCAATTCGAAGATTCTTGTCGAATGCAGACGTGGCCGTCTGGCGCGGGAGTTCCTCTTCTGATGCTGCTTACCCGACATGCACGCCGGACACTGCGGCGTTGCCAGCAGCTGCGCCTGCGTCAGCGGTCGGTACGGAGTGCCGGTCTGCCGGAGGACCACCCTCAAGTCGCCCCGGTTCAGATGTCCCATCCGAGCGTGCCACAACGCTTCGGAGGCCTGGTCCACTCCTGTGCACACATCTTCTTCGAGTATCACAGCTTCACCACCGAGTTCAGAGGTTGGCGCTGTACATGCTACGCCACTTGACTCCCGAGGATCGTCAACGTCCATGGCCACCGCCTGCGGTTCCAGGGAATCTGCATGGTCATGGGTCGTCGGCGCCCTCGCCAGTTGGACTCGCTCTCGAGATCTCTTGCTCACATGGCACCGCAGGATCAGTAGATCCTCCTCCGCGTGGTAGGCGGTCCCCACGGTTCGTCCTCGGCGTTGCACAAAGACGTTCTGCGGGTGCGCCACCACCGAGTAGCGGTCTCGCAACAGCTTCGGCACGCTGATCAGGTTCATCCCGACGCGTGGCGCAAAGTACACGTTCTTCAACACCAGGGGCTGGTTGAACTTCCCCCGGAGCATGAGCTTCACCGTACCAATCCCTTCGGCTTCCACTGGATCGCCCGCCGTGTCCAACATCTCGCGGTGGGCCCGCAGACTGCAGAAGCAGCTCCGGTCCCAGCAGATGTGGCTGGTGGCGGCCGAGTCCAGGATCCACCGGGGTTGCGGTGCGTGGGTATAAAGGGTCGTCACCCTCGCCCTCACGATATTGATCCTCGGTCTCTTGGAAGTCGGTGGGCCCTGCCGATCTTCCAGCTGGCTTGATGGTATCATCTGCAAATTACTTCGTGGTGAGCCGGAAACCCTCCTCTCAGCCTTCAGGGCATGGTCCCTGGACGGCTGAACTTCTCGCTGTTTCTTCCAGCACTGCGCGACCACATGGCCGCGCTTCTTACAATAGTTGCATTTCTTGGCAGTCTGCTGCACCGTATGGACGGACGGGCCAGACGCTGCCTGCAAGGGTGTTGGAGCTTCTTTTCTCCGAACGGTCTGCTCAGCATTAGACAGACGATTTCCGATCGTGGTCGGATTCACCGGATCCTTGTCATTCTGAATGGCATCCACAACTAGAATGTATTCCGGTCCAATCTGCGTCAGTAAGATCGCAATGTGTGTTCGATCGCCAATGGATCCGGGTACGATAGCATTCAATCGATGTACGAGCAACCGTACCCGATCGACAAATTCGCGGGCACTGCCGCAGCGCTCGCCAGTGGTTTCACGAAGCTGCGCAAATAACTCACAGAACGTGGCGAGCTCCATGCGCCGGTACCGTTCTTCGAGTTCATTCCAGAGGTCGCGAGACGTCTCAAGTCCCGCGACATGAATGCTAATGCGGGGGGACAGGTATCGGAAAATGGTGTGGTAGGCCTCAGCTTCGCGGCGCGACCATTCACGGTGGCGCTCGAACGCCTGGACCTCCACTTCGAGGCGCGCCTCAACGGCGCGCTGTCTCACCGCCCCAGCGAGGTGCGGTTCCACCAAGGGGTGGATGTCTGCCGTAATGGGCTTGGCGTACTTGAACAGACAGTCAGGACGCCGGAGGTCGCCCGACACAACATCCCAGACCTGCCTTGCTTTGAGGTAGGAGGTCATGAGACGTTTCCAGGTTGCATAGTTATCGCTTCCTGTCAGAGGCTCGATGGCCGTGACGGCTCGGTCCGGAGAGTCATGGACCAGAGCAGACATAGTGATGATTGCGAAAGCGGGGTAGATATATAATCAAGATGGTTAAAATAATTCTCAGATGAGTAGAGATGGCACCCGAGATTTTGCTTCCGGGCTCATAACCTGTTGTAGTTCCAGGGAAGCTTGATTATTATTATTCAGAGGGAAACATGAGGCTATATATACAACGAGCAGATCAACTTGATTGGAAATCAAGTTGATTCTTCGTATACATACTTCGGGATTAATTCCGATGGTTCGGCTTGGTTCCTGATCTGCACCAGCCTCATATTACAACACGGTTCGCTATTCGCCGACAATGGCCAGGTAAAATACTGGGGCGAGGTTCCCCAAACATTCAATGCGACGGTCTTTGACCGAGCCGAGGAGAGCATCAAGTACCTTGTCCTCACCAACACGTGGCCGAAGTTTGTTCGAAGCCGCGGGATCGCAGCTGAGGTTGATTTGCTGGCAGGGAGCAAGAGTCCTGCGTAGCTGGTTCCGGAATGAGATCACCAGTGATGGGAGATTGGACTGCATGGCATCTGTCTGGGATGTTGATAAAATACCATAGATAAATATGTTAGAGTAACTTATCAAATTATATATTCTATCGGAATGTAGCACTGCCTTGGTAGTATAGAGTCGAGCAGTAGGTCGAAGACCATCTGACCAGAAGCCCAGCCATACGGTATAGACAATATCCCCCAGCGGGTAAATGATTGACCGACCTTTGTCTCACCATCATGTTAATCATACAATATGGTCATGGAAATACCATCGCACGGGTGTGCAACGCTACGTGATTGACCTACGTGCTCCATTTCTTGTCGGTCAGGTACGAAACCATCCGGCGAAAGTTGGGAACTCTGGTGGGCGATATCAATGGTTCCTAAAACCCAAGAGCCGTTATCTAGGCCATGATACCCTGTTCTTGGTTCGTGGCTTCTTTATATATTTTGAGGGGAAGAGAGTAAATAATCATTAAATTACTTGTCCACCACCCCTTGATAATGTTTAGTGCATCAGTCTTCGAATTCGAACTGTATGTATTTAAGTAATATACGGAATGATCCTGTTTACTATTCATCAGTTATCCAAAATTGTTATTCTTCTAATTAAAGTATCTTTCTATATCTGTCTTCTATTTATCTGTCTCTTCAGAAACCAGCTGACAAGCTTTATACCTGCCAGATGAGTGATAAGATTAAAAACTTACTGGTAGAGCTAATGCTAAAATCATCAGTTTAACTACTATCAACGAGTCTGCTGTTTCCCGCTTAACACCGTATTCTATAAATACTGCAACAGCGCTTGGAGCGCTCTGCGTTCAAGTCTATCCAGAAATAGCAACCCCAACTTGGCCAGGCTAACGGATGGAAGTGTGCCGAGAATATAGAATTACACATGGCATTCAGAGCACTGGACCGAAAGCATCGTACTCATTCCATATCTGGGTTGTTGAAAATTCCAAAGAAGGGGGTTAATCAGTTACAAGTCAATATTGAGAGTATTTGTCATGCAGCTGTGTACTGTCAGTTACAGGATCATTATCATCTTCTACAGCAGCTTCACTCGGCCTGAGAGTTTGTAACTGTATGGCTGGGCGATCTGCAGTGTGGGAGGGAGATTAAGCAGTGCTAAGTATAGATTAATTATCTTTTTAACAGATAGATAGCACGCACCCACTATCTCCAAGATAATCTGGCTGTGTATATAAGATATAACAGTATATCTGAAGACTAATATTACCAAATCCTCCTGTACGAGGCGACGCGGAGGCTCTTAGAGAAAACTAATAATAATTATATTAAGTAAGTAAACTATATTCTATAATTAAGCTTTCTGTTATTGTATACAAAGACGTGAGCAGCGTAGGTATAATATAGAAAATAAATATATTAGCTTAAATATAAATAAGATAGTTATAAAAATATATATTTTAAATAAACTATAGATTATATTACTTTTATTCTAATAAAAGTCAGTTCTGTAAGAATAAAGATCTTTGTTTTTTTTAATAAATAGTCTCTAATTAACTCTTGATCCCTCCAGCTACTTGACGAAGAAGATAATAAAACACATTCTGAACTATGGATTAGCTTTTTTTTTAGATTATCAGTGATATGTGTCTGGAATTATTATTATTAACCATCGCAGTAATCAGTGGAGGATCTGGTACATACTTATATTTTATCAAGTACACCAGGATACGGCGGTGGGAGTTACATAACAGATATTTTATAATAGAATTAAAGTAAGATTTCCTGGCAGTCAAGTTAGTCATGTCTTGAAGTAATTACAGCTATATATATATAATCTCATACTACTTTAAGTTAATATCTTATAGGCAGGGATACCTGTTATCTAATAACCTAATATATCTTTTGTGATAGAGAGGATCGTAATACAGGGTAATATATCCATAACTAACCATGGCTAATTAGTAAACGTGGGTTTAAAAAAGAAGATAGAAACAGACTAGCAAGACTGTAGAAAAGTAGTAGTTTATAGAACAGTCCAGGACAGCGCCTGGCCTAGATATATATCTGATATTACTGAAAGATTCTTTTCACTTCAATGTCTGCAGAATAATATACACTGTAAAATACTATTCAAAGAGCTGTATAGTCTTCTCATGGCTATACAATAATCCCTGAAGACAGAGAACAATCATGCAAATATAGAATATTATAAAAAAATAATAGTTATTCCTCAGAATAATCATTACTATTCTAGAAACAAGCTTTTCAGTCATGGAAGCCATCAACTTCCAAGGACTCCTAGACTAAAGCTTACAATTCCTAGTAGCATGTGTAGCTTAACCACACTCTCATTACTAGCAAGATCAGTTACCCACTGAACAGTTACCAGACAAACCAGACTTTCTTATATACCACTATTACCATGGTGCCCCGATGCTTCCTATATATAATTGACTAAGCACTATCAGAGAAAGGATAGCTTTGCTAGTACTAATATCTGCCAGTCATTGGTTCGCCCATGTACCAGTCAGCGTGTCTGGCCATGCGGCGGAAGAGAGAATGGAACATTAAGATATTACTAATAATAACTACAACAAAGATTCTGCGGCCAGGCCCAGTTACAGGCCTGGGAAGCACCATTCACCCCGGCCCCTCATAGTTAAAAATGGCCCGGTGAGGGAGTTCCAGTGTCGACAGCCAGCTAGAGAAACATAGAATCATGATCAATATAATACTGAATATTATTAGCCATAAGATGCCACCGCTCAAGAAAACAATCAATTAAAACTATTCTAATCATAAAAAACAGGTCTCGATAAGCCTCTTGCACAGTCAGTTAGTCAAATTACTTCGGCTATGCCTTTCAGGGTATACGCACCGGGAGAGGAAAGAGTAAAAGCACATCCGGCATGACACACAAAGTCACCGTGACATCTAAATCAATACACGAGATGACAGGCTGAAATATAATAAGTAGTACCTCTGCCCCAGGATTTCGAGTTTAAAAAGCATGATTATATATAATCCAGGACTAATAGTATCCTGGACTTTATTCAGGAAACGGCAACACTACAGGATTAACTAGAGATAGATATGCTATTCAGCCACTGAATAACAGTGCCAGTATTAATAGCTGCAGTAGCAAGATATACTGCATCAAGAATACCAGATTACTAGCCTGGAAAGGACCCGTCAAAATAATTAATATACTGTTTATATACTATTATCACATAAAACACTAGAGCAAGATTCATTGCTTTGATAATCTTAGATAATTTATATAAGCAGGAAATTCACCCCAATTAATCTGTCTTATGATGGCTTGAATTAACAGTAAATATATATTAGTCCTATTCAGAAGATCTTAAGAATAATATATAGATTTCTTGTAGAAGACTATATTATTATCTGACCTTCTAGTAATAACCGATTTTTTTGCCTGCACAAACTCACGCGCTCTAACTAGCGAGATGCCAACGCTCGTCCCAGAATCTGCATTTCACTGATAAACTACAGTACATCGAAGCGGCACCGTTCTTGCATGAGCTGAATACTAATATTATTTAATATCACAGATCAGAGTACCATATCCCAGACCCCTTGGGCATATGAGATGCTGTTCCAGACTAATATAAGATGCATCGCGTAAAGACTCAGATGCCAGTGTCTTACTATCCCCAACCACTCGGGTATGTGCGCAGCACAGCTGGCTGCTGCTAACAAACTCCACATAGCAATCCGGATAAGATTAATAGTCAACGGTGGTGGACTTTCCTGTGTCTGCAGTATATAAATTAATAATACCAATATCCAAAACCTAAGTCAGAGGTAATCCCAGTGAAAGCTGCTCCGTGCTATGGACGAGTCTGAGGTTTGAGCAGGGATTGTGCTGATCTTGCTAATGGCTAGATTAGTTAAACTGGAAAGATAGATAGAGCGGAGATAGCTTTACTGCTAATAAGCTATAATAATACTCAGGACAGCTGTAATATAAATCAGAGCTATAGTACTTATTATCTGAGATTTCTCCTAACATGCGGTTTTGTCCCCGTGAAAGATTTATAATAATTAATAAGTCAGGCTTAACAGCTCCCAGAGCAGTACTTTTATATTATAGAATGTAACTACCTGTGCCTTGAGAATGGCGCCGGGAGACTTAAAGAAATAATAAAGAAAGAAGAAAACTATGAAATAGATAAAGTAGAAAATCTTAAATAAATATATAAGACCAAGAATTAAGCCATCATGATATGAAATCTGGGTGTCAAAGTCCATCGTCGGTGTATCGTACGGTATGAGGGGAGGATGAGGCAAAATCTTGATGGATTTTTCAAGTACAGATATCCACTGCGCTGTCTACATGGTCCCAGAGCAAACGTCCACGGAGTCTTTTAAATCATCATGAATATGGGAAGCTCGTACTATAGCTTATAAAGACTTTTTCTAGTTTGGCATGGGAAAGCATGTCAGCTCTCCATCTCTGAAGTTATTAAGAACCATGCGGGTTAATATGGTTCATCAATAGGACAGCCATTGACCAATCTCTGCAGGCCCGGTTAAATTAGTCAACTATATGCTATAGGACTAATTATCCCATGGTTATCTGTATTAGTATTTATCAATTCGCGAGCCAGGCTTTTTGAAAGAGGAGGACCAAAACCTGTCTTTTTATATAGCTTTAAATATTTAATAACCATAAAATCTGTCTATTATCTTGAATAATAATTTTATGTGTTTCTAGTCTGTCCTAGAGTCTTACAAGTCTTTTAATACCTGCCTTATCTTTACAGCTTCAACAAGATAAGGTCTACTTTTAGACAAGGTAAGTATATTTCAGAATAAGAAACTGGTACTTAGAGACTTAAAAGTATAGTAAGATTTAGTAAATAATCTTAAATACTTTCTTTATTAGACTACTCAGCTGCGCATACCAAAATATCTCTTGGGATGAAAATAGATGGTATATATATAATAATTTAAGCTATTTCTGATTTAGGAAATATATATAAGGCCTGAACTCTTTATTAGGATTAAATAATTTACTATAGTATAGCTGGACCTTATATAAGACGCTATGGGCTGGTCCCTGGTTAATATGAAATAGATAAATAAGATTATATAGAATATAGATTATCTAGTTATATAATATTCTTTCCTGGTCTTCTTTATCAGTAATTATAATTATATACTGGTTTTATACTTACTTTTCCCCCATAATAATATTCTCCGCAGAAACTTAGTAGGAGTAATCTAACTATATCTCAGTATTATTATTATTTATAATAAATATCTGATCTAATTTATAGAGAGAAGACTCCAGGATTTACTAGCTATTAATAAATATTTTAAGACCCTGTGAAAAGATAATATTAATTAATATTTTATTAATATTATTTAATTTCTTATTACTGACTTGAAGGACTCGCTCCTGACGAGATTTATATTTTTATAAATATATATTATCTATTTCTTCGTGGACGGGCTGGTGGAATTAGAGAGAACTAAGAGCCTGCTGGAAGTATTATAAAATTATATACAGGCCGGGGCCTCTTTTGTCCTAGTTTATATATAAGTGATTTTAGTTCTTACAAGACTAACTGCTGTCTATGAAAGAGATCTAGTAGAGATGTTCCAGGCTGTTTAAAATATTACAGACCTGGATTAAGTATCTTTATTAATAATTGACCTTCGAGGCTGCTATCAGCTTTCAGATCTAGTATTATTTATTTTATTATAATATCAGGTTCTTGATGAGCTCCAGCTTAGCTAGATTAAATAATTTTAATAAAAATTACTTTTCTTAGTAGTTTACTAGATTTTTCTTTAATACTATTCTCTTTAAGGATCTCTTAATTTAATTATATATTAGATAGATTATCTATATCTCTCTCAAGAGAGGCTGCCTGTCAGTAGAATATTTAATAAAGTTTTAATGGAATTCTTTATATAGTTATACAAACTGAAATGTCTGTTTCAAGAACTTTATTTATTCATGGTATTTACTTTGTTAATAGATGCCTATCCTCCTGGAATATACTGTAAGTAGGACTTGTCCAGGACTACCTTACTACTACAAGTCCCATACTGACAGATACAGAGTTCCAACCAGACTATATCTTTGATATGTTGTACCGAGATCTCTGTAGTAGTGCTTGGAGAACTGCTAAAGATTCTGATAACAGTAGATATAGTAATATTATCTGTAGTTATTTTATTAAATAATTCTGCTGTCTCAGTCTGGTGCATATCTTATATGCTATCTAATAGGCTGAATTAATTTACTTCAGTTAGTAGTGGTCTGTTTTAATCTTATTCACAGTGTATGTCTTCTATCTTAACTAATAGACTGAGTATTAGATCTCTTATTAACATGGTATATATGATACCTGCGTGATAATATTAGGCCAGCAGGCCTGTAGTATAGAATATTACTGAGATCTTATTCAGTATTCTCTGTATTAGGATACTCTTCAGCTGATAATCTGTTAATTACCACTAACTAAGTATCCAGTTATGCTGGTTCTTAATAATAACGGGATTCGGGGAATAGTTACCTTAGGCCTGTTATAAGTACTGGAGCAACGGCTTGCTGGCGCTATTATGCTGCCGGAGATCCCGGATCTAACTGCGGGTACTAGTATCAGTAAGTTATATACTCTTCTCCTGTCATGGTTTATTTATATAATACTGGATGTAATGATCTTTTGTATGATAGTTAACTCGCCGAGAGCAGGTTCTGTTATTAGAATTAATTAAATATATAATAATATCTTAGCTGCAGAAGCATGTCGAATATTTCTTAATTTAATATAATATATATTCCAGCCTGGCTACTTTCTTTTATAAATATAGCCTTGATTGGGCTGTATTCTGAATCTCATTCGAGATACTGCCTACAACTCAGATATATTAAAGCAAATGCTCCAGCAGGTCTGTGAGCAGGGGTGTCAGGTATTTAATATAATACTGTTAATAATAGAAAGGTACTGTCTTGCTATTATTATAAGCTATATTTCTGATAGTAAGTCGGTTATCTTCCCTAACTACTGTGGTGTGAGATACGGGACTGTCAACTCAGCGTACTAAAGGATCGTGTCGCACTGCAAAAGCCAGAATCTATTATTATCCTAAGTGTGAGTTACTCAGTCTCTCTTTTTTGATATTCTTCCCGTACATCTTCTCGCTGCGCCGGAATGTCGAGATTCTGTATTAAGTTATTATTCAAGAAGCTGTCAAAAGTAGCCTAGAATATAGTACTGCAGCGCCCGGGTAGGAGACTATCCTAGTTTCTTAATTTTATAGTAGTTTATCTCTTGCTGACCTGACATAAAATCTTCAAATCCTGGTACTTGTCCAAAGTTGGCGTTCTGCAAGATGGAGGCGTCCATGCCAACAACCCGCACGGGATTGCTCAGGAGGAATATCGAATCATCTGGCTATCCGTGCAAACACACGACCTGCTGTTATCTGTGGGCACGGGATACGTCCTATTGCCCAGGAAGGAAACCGATGCAGCCCAGCATGGTTACAGCTTTTTATAAGATAAGGTGCTTTTCTGATTATGGCGTACATACAACTCCTCGCCCTGTATGGACAGTGTAGAAGTCTTTAAAGAGGGACTAAATCATGTACCCCATCCTCTCCAGACCTGTATCTTCCGGCTGGACCACGCTCTGGCGGATTTACCACAACTGGACAATATGATGAGGGTGGCAGAACTCGCTAAGAAACAGTATATAGTCCTAGATGAACTAGTATAAGCAGTCCTCGCCATATACTTCTTCTTTGAATTAGACAAAGGTCTGACGAGGATACCGGGCCAATACCTTTGCCGGAGATCAGTCTTATGTGCACGCCACGAGCCACAGCGGATTCTCAAGCACATGTTGGTAGAATTTCTGGGTGCAGAGCTGCAGACCGGCCGCGGGAAGTACTTAGATCAGTTAGAGAATGATGATAGATATATAATCTGCAGATACTACTGTAAAAAAGTTCAGTTCCACGTGGCCAGTCTAGATAAAGAATTATTAATCATGTTTAAGGCTTTATCAGGCCGGCAGCTAATTAACAGGTTTCTAGTTATTATTCAACAGCTTTTCTACTAGCAGCAATTAGATGCTGTATTTGGGTGATCTGATCACTAAATTAACCAGTGGCCGCCGCAGAGGATGTGTTACTGTCTGTGAGGTATTAAATAAATTCATTTCGCCGAGCCAGCCCCGTCCCGGAAGAAATGGAGAGTATAGAGTAGCAACAACTGGAAATTAGTACTTACAGTTTTATTTCTTTCTTTCTCTCTTCTTTTTTTCTTCTCTTCCTCTTTTTATTCAAAATTCTTACTACTTTAAATGCTGTATTTAAAAGAATGCACTTGTCATGAATGAAAGGAACAGCGTCATACTATTATATAATTAAATAGAAGAAGGATGAGTATATTTATATAAACTCTCTTTATAATAATATATAGATTATTTATAATTATGTCCCCACCCCTTGTATTTACTTAATAATTCGGGAATGTTGTTGATCTAGCTGTATTCCACTTAAATTCTAGAATATCACTGAAATAAGGTCCGAAAGACAAAAATAATATTATATTAAGATGAAAGTGCTTTTGCCCGCAAGGAGAGCATTACTAAGCCCGTCCAGCTCAAGCTGGTCCAGTAGTGATCAACCAATTATATGTCTGTAAGTAGATTATCATGAATAGAGAAATTATTAATAAATATATAGCTGACTAGCTCAGTCCTTTAATTAATTCTAATACTGTTTTTCCAGCCTCCCAGGAATACTACAGCACTAGATACTTATTAAAAAAACTACTATCAGAGACTACCTTCTACTTAATAATTACTTAAATTAGATTTATCTGGTCTTTCAGTATGTACTAATCCAGTCTTAGAAACTTATTGATTACTATTAAATAGATAAAGAGTATCTCAGGTATTTATATTATATATTATTTATAGGAATATAGTCCTTGCTCTCTTCCTTAAGTTTATTATTATATTCTGACAGTGACTCCGAGTCAGATATAATAAAATCACAATCTTCAGTATTTTCAGAAAGACAAGGATTATTAGTTAACCAGGAATCTTTATATTTTAATCTACTGTATAAAACAGAAATTATCTTTTCTAATAATATATTAGTTTCTAGAGAAATATACTGGATTTAGGATAATATAGTAATCACCTGTAATAGAATAAGTTTCTAATTTATTACTAATTACAGTATCTGGGGAATAATGAGAGAGTTCTAGATATTTATTAATATTATACCAGTTTTAAAGCACTCGCCTCCTAAAATAGTACTGATTAGAACTATCTGAATCACTAGTATTATAGAGTTTGCAGCCCGCTAGATAAGACCTGATTATATATTATAATTATATGTTAAGGGCCTGGTTAATAATATATATTAATTAATTTATAATAGTAGATATATTTTCTTCTTTATTTTTATTTATTTTATTTATACTGTTTTCTATCTGCTACTATCCCTTAACTTCTTTCAAAAGACCTCACCACGGATGTATTTATATAAAATAATTAAGAAGAATATAATTAATTATTATATTAAATTTATATAATTTAATTATTTATTCTGATATTATCTGAGCTTTTTTCTTAAAGATCACTATATCTTACCTGTAATAATAATATACAGTCTGTGGATTTATATTTAAGGCCTAATCTGCTGACTTTCTTATAGTTTAACTATAATAAGAAAAGATAAGTTATTCAGTATTAGACTGTGCTTAATATAATATTATTTTTTAAATATTAACAGCCAGGTCACCATGATTCCCAGAATTATTATTAAATATGTGGTCAATACACTAAACTTACATTGAAACCAAGGAGAAGATATTAGAAGCCTATTACTAGAAATACTACTAGAATAATACCTGAATCTGTCTAAATTATCTGATTTTTGAGAATAGCTTTAGCCGCTTGATAAATAATAGCTGAAATGCCCTCCGAATAAAGCAGATTCTTGAGATACAAAAATACCTCCATATTAATCAAGAGTATTATATACCTGTCTTAGTCTAAGCCACAGACTAGAGCTTCCATATCAGGCTATTACTGTGTGATATAGAGCTATTTCCTAAGCTGATTATATTCTTGAACATGTCACTGCGTGTCTTAGGCCACGAGAATGTTATTACCGCAGCACAAAAAAAGCTCTATGGCAAGAACTGATAGTGGATGATTAATATATATATAAAGAATTCTAGTAAATTATCTTTAAAATTATTCTGAATCTTAATATATATGTCTCTTCCCGTTCACCTGCTAAGTATAAGTTACCAGATAAGTAATTATAAAAATAAATTCTCTATTTTTATCTTATCTGCTTGCTCTGAGAGTATTTTCTAAACCAATACTGACTGCCAGACAGATTGATTTATAAAAGAATTTAGTTTTATTAAGGAAAGCTGGGCCATCTACTAGATAAAAATACTAAAGTAATATGGTGGGCCGTTCTCTGATATAATTCTAAGAATAAGAAGTATATATATCTCTAGGTCTTTTTTTAATATTCTAGTTTTCTACCAGTATTTAATGCTTTATTTCTTATTCCGGGGCTTTGGGCTAAAATGCAACTGGGTATGCTGCATACCATGGTATCACTGTAATATAACAAGGTGAGTGGTCTAAGTATTTATAAAATAAAAGACTTTTCTAAGAAATCCTTATCTTTAGCTTATTCTGTCCTACCTCAAAACTATCTGTACTATTTGGATAAATTATATTTTTAACAGGAGTAATATTCTTCCTGTTTACATAGACATAGAGATTATTCTTGCACTGGAATCTCAAGTCTTAAAGCTTTCAGAACCAGACCGGGAAAATCTGCGATCTCAGATGATAGACAACTGGACGTTGTTTCCATTGATCAACGAGTCCGACATACAGGCAGCATTGTGGGAGTAACTGAAGCAGATTAATATTCTTATTTCTACTTTAGAAATATTCTTCCAGGATCTTTGTTTTTTAGCTATTATTAACAAGATAATGAAGACTTTTCTTCTTCCGCCAGAGGACCTGGGCTCGAAGAAGACTAAGAAGATCACTATCAACTGTGAATTTAGTACACAGTATTAGGCTGATGGCAGCGTGTTATTAAGAGAGACAAGACTGCAAGTACAGTGGGGGTTGCACGAGCTCTGGCACTTCAGCTTCTAATATAGGCTTGACATGACCAAGGTTGTACGTCGTCAGCCGCATAAGAGGAAGAAAGCGTGTAGCTCCTATCCTGTCCCGAATTGCTCGATATCGATAGACTGAATGGCGTTGTGGCGCCACTTCTTCTGGCTGGCTGACCAACACGGATTTCAGATCCCGGCCATAGCCAAGTTTATGCCCAGACGAGCGTCCCTACCAACTCCCCAAATTCTGGAGGGCCTTGGCAGCACCCAACAGGATGATGCAGTGAACCGACGTTGCGGTATCCCATACGCTGATACGGTTGATGTGGATTGCTTCGCCCTTGAAGAGGACAGACTGTGGCAGCCCTGGGAGTCCCCACAGGTTACAGGTGTGTTCTTCCGACGGTTATAATTCCAGACCTTCTTTCGTTACCTTTGGGATGGGAATGGAATCAATCAGGCTACAAATGCCGCAGACGAATCGGCAGCGACAGAGGAAGCTGTGGCGGTAGATCAGGAGCTTCCCCATCGTCATCTTGAGCATCGAATGCCATCGCCAAGCTTCTCTCCCACTTTCCAGATAAGCTGTCTGGCTGATGACGACTGGGTTATGACAATATGGGACCATGGGATAGTACCACTGGAGATGCCTGCGGGCAATCTGGAGGTGGTCGTAACCATCGCGGGTCACGACCTAAAACGAATCTCGCTGCCGAATGACGAGCTTATCATCAACAACTTCTTCAATGAACTGAAATTGCGTCGATTTGTTATCTACAGCCTGAATTACCACAGGGTGTCTGAAGAGCCAAGCTTTTATATCTGGCATCTGACCCACCCATGGGAAACTGTTCAGGCTATATTGACTGAGGAGAGTGTGGAAGAGTATACAGCATCCGACAAAAATCAACGCAAAAGGAGAAGAACAGGGATTGCTGAGGCAATAGATGATATTGCCGCGTGGGTGGACGAGCAAATTCTTAACTTATCCGTTCCCGCTCCCTACCCTTGGGACTGGGATGTACAAGAAGAGGAGGAGTATTGATCAGAATAGAAAAGATTTGATATTTTCGATTTACAGAGATTATATCATCGTGATAAGAAAAACATGCTGCATCTTCTGTTGTATGGTATCAATACAGCCCGAAGCAAATGGCTCATTGGTAATATAGTATTCTACCCTATTGCGGGAGTTATGCTTGGAGACTGATACAGGGACATGGATCACGGGGCATGGCGCACAATGAACCCATCTGGCAGAAGATTCTCGCACTATACATAGCGTATGGCGTTCATCCTAGGTGTGGCGGGTATTTCCCTACATTTGCGATCCTAGAGTCTGGTCCAGTCGTGCTTCCGTTCAAATCATTCTTGTTTTACCTAGCACACGGATTGCTCGAGACAGGTATGGTTGCGGGTCTTCGCCTGTCGAACAATAAGTGACAACTCGGGTCGGTTTTGGGAACGCAGTTTGGCCAGTCTGTGCCAGCCTCGATGGTAAGACAACCAATCGCATGCATCAGATCTTCCGGTATATAACAGGTCAACAGTATACGGCAAAAAGCAGGAATACTCAATAGTTGGGTTGGGGGATTGCCTTATACAGCGGTATAGACATAATGTGGGTTTATGCTGTAAGTTTTTACCATCTCCTGCTTCGGAATGTTGTAGTATTGTCGAACCGGTTTATCTGTGCAGCGTAGGGTATGTCGTCTCCAACTGGCCGAAGTGCATTTCAGGGGTCCTAAAATCAAGCTCGGTGGATGTTCCAGATCACATTTCCCCCATAAAGTATGGCATGGTTTCCAGAGTCTTCATTCCGAAGGATGACGCGCATTTCGCCCATTGAACTTCGTCCTGTAATGGCTGCTATGGGTAACAAAAAACGTACCCAATACACCATGCTAAGTCGCTGGACACTAGATCAGCGTTTTCATCCCGAGGGCGTGGAAAATAATGCCAGATTGTGAAGGGCGGACTGAGGCTCGGCCGTACCGGAAAAGTATATAAAACTGGTAAGCTACATCATTACAGCTGGTAGCTCCTCTGTCGGATACGCCACACCACGAGCTAGAATTCGTCGCGGACGACAAATCACCCTGGCCCAGCGTCGAAAGCACAAACGGATAATTGTGAACATCCAATGCTTTTCCATGGATCAATCCCAGAGATCCAAGGCCTTCTAGAGATTATAAGTCAACTTTCTCATTCTATATTTCCACGTCTTCTGAAGTCGTACTACGATACGAACCAGCTATATCTCGTATGAGAGCCGATGGAGATCACGGTGGACAATATTTTAACCGCTCCGTGGCCGGTCAACGAGACCGAACTGGCGTGCGTTCTCCGGTCGGTGAGTGCCACTGGCGGCCATCGGACGATCTCAAGACTATGGATACTGAGGAAAATAGACCCTGGATGGAATACGATTCCTGCGTGATCAGGGAAGAGCCTTGGCCACTCTGGGGCCGGACACGGTCTGGCTGAGCAAAAGGGGGCAGGTCCGCCTGAGTAAATCGGTCCCTGCCAACGTCGTCATCAGGAGTATGGACAACTGACTTTGCACACTAGCCGGTGTGGAATAGAGCTACTCGATCCAGATGTCTGGCATGAATGCCGACACACTGAAATCAACCGCCCCGGCAACGGTCATGAGGAGTGTGATGGCTACAAGTGCAGGACAGGGAAGGTGGAGCTCCGAGGCCCAACTCCCCTGGAAAACCTGCCCGTCAAGTCACTGGATGAGTCAATGAAGGCAAGTTAGTAGCGAGTCGATAGAGCGGCTGTTGTTAACAAGATTTTATCATTCCTCGAAAAGGCAACCGACGAGTGCGACCTGAAGCTATGCGTCCACGTCGCAAACAAGAAGGCCAAATACGATCTCGTAGTTTTGTAATGTCGATGGCATGCATCATATTACAGGGCATATCGCTGGGTGAAGCTTTCGCAGCCAATGCTTATAGGGGCTGCAGGCTGGAAGATAGCATTATTAACGTCCTTCGCGTGGTTCGGCCCCTACCCTTCCCAACCACTCGGATCATGTTTTGAATCCTTAAAGTGACGATGGCGCCCTCTTCTTTTTATTCGTTCTGTTTCGGGTATACAGTACACTACGAAGCACTTGGTTGGAACAATTGCCAGAGTTTGACTTGTCAGATGTATTGTGCCTAGGCTAGTGGTGCAGAGATAGGCATGCTAGGCTAGATACTAGGGAGGCACGCGCTTTGAAAATCTTAACACGAGCTATCTGCAATCCTGGTCCAAAAGCCTCCATAATACAACTGTATATTTGATGCTACTGCATTGACATCTACCTATGTTGTAGACGGCATCGCAAGCTTCCCTAGTGGCCTTGCCCTGGCAAGAGTGCCCTCGCGCCGAACTTGGACTTCGTGGGAAATGGTTTCGTTCACCAACTCTACCAGTAACTTCAGGCTTCCCTCCTCGGTCACTTGTCCAAAAAAGGCGTGCTTTCTGGTCAGCAGCCACATCGTACGACGAAGCTGGAAAATGAACCAACTTACCTGCAATAGATTATCCAGACACCGCGCAGAGTTGCTCTTGGCCAGCGCCGATTTAAAGCTTTGCATCTCCTGGCTCCAGGTGAATTTGGAGCCATTTTTTTGCATGATCTTATCGAGAATCAACCGCAGAGCATTGAAAGTAGAAGCCATTGCGTCGACACGGGAAGGGTCAACTTAGTCAATTTGGCGACTGTTCTCAATACCCGCTATACCTCACTTGATGTCAGTGTTGTACAGTCTGCAGTTAGGACAAACATACTGATCTTTATTTCACCCTCTTCGATGAACAAGATATCTCGAGGAGTGAGGCTGGCTAGCTCCCTCCACTGGCCGTGTAAGAACTAAAGGTACTTTAACACCTATAAACTGTATATGAACATCATACATCTAGTAGGAAGGAAACAGTACCTACAGGCCATAAGATCTGGACTACTTCACTTTCAGTGATGTGGCAACTCAACATTAAAGCCTGCTGGAGAGTGCACTCAAATGGCTCCTATACAAGAAGATACCGTTCGGCATACTAGAAAATATCTAGCAGACGCGGGATGCTGCGATGAGCGAGCTAATTGATTATCTGGACATATATATCTATTACTGATCACTCCACAGCCTGCATCTGGATGTAGACTAAGTTAGCCTTAATCTTTCGATGTCTAGCCAGCACCATTACTCGCCCATAGTCAATGCCTGCGCAAGGTTCATATATTTCCCACGGGCTCCGTGCTAGGATTTCACGGGGAGCCGGATTGGGAGTCAACTGCTGTGGCGGTGGACAGTTCAGCCCAGAAGTGGCACGACTGGACGTCTGGTCACTTGGGACACGATGCGAGGCATTGCTCGGAGGTTCATGTTGCGTAGAGACCACAGGCGGCCGCATACTCCCAAACCAGATGGTGCCACGAACGTCTCTTTTCGCGGCTGGCATGGCTGGCGCAAATTGAAAGTCGAAGATACAAGCGCCTGTTCTTGTGTTCAGATACTTTTTTTTGATAACTTCCCACGTCGCTGAGGAGTATGCTCACTGAATTCTGTATGGTAGACAATGTAAGGGAAATAGTGTAATTATATGGTCTATCTACAGCCGCCACGGGCATTCCTTTTATTAGAAGTATGATAAGTTCTAATGACCACAAAGGCCTATGCAACAAGGCCACGTGAAGGAAGAACTTTCTGACAGTCGTTCGGGGGGAAATAGTGAAGGATGGCCGGAAGCTGATCGCTACCTCGGGGAAAGTGTACTGCATTTCTAAGAATGGACATGCCAGTCCTCGAGAACCCCGGCCTTGGTTTGCTCGGAATCATAGGCTTGCTAGTTCACCTAATTAACCAACAGCTTGTTGAGTATAATCAGGGGTCTTGGGTTGGTCTTCGGGGCTTCTAGGTCGGCTATTTTGGCCGATGAGGATGGTGTACATGGTGTGGTCTGTGAAGATGTCTGCCCCGTCGTTTGTTTGATTTATCAAATAATAATTTAGTGAAGGTTGCGTCAAGAGAACACCAACTTACGCCTCATAACAAGCTCGGTGGGTTCGCAACACGGAGGGTTTGATGTGCTAGAACGGATTTTCTGGCCTTGGTCAGCCCACTACATCTAGAAAGAAGTTGTCGTTGTATTGCCATACCAGCGGACCGTTCCACGACTCCGAATTTCTTTGGTGAATTACAAGTTCCCATATCTACATATGGTCTGTCAATCCCAACCACCCGGTCTGTTTTCAAGGGTTGGGCCATGCGTGTGCTCACCATGGCGGTAGACAATGCCCATATAGTCATAACTATGACAAGAAGCATGACTGAATCTGAGAGTAGAATTCTGTATACTTTTACCAGCTGCTGTCCTCGGTGGAATGGAGCAAGGAACAATTGAGGAAGAATTTCATGTTCTCCATATATGTTGATTTGCTCATTTGGCAAATGCGCAACCTATACTGTCTATCAACTTGAAAGGAGATCAGGTTCTGATGCGTGATATGTGATCAGTATGTCCACACTTGTTGCACTCTGGTCAATCTGGTCGACATCCCGACAACCTCATTCTTGGTAGGGTTAAATTGGAAATAGGTTTTGTTGTTGGGGTGGAATGCTGCTGGCGGGACAAATTCTCATTGGTCACATCCGCCCGGAAAAATTAATGCCCAGCAAGGCCATGCTCGACGTTGAATCATTTGAAATTGGAGGCATCGGAGGCTGAGCAAATTATCAACCTGCTGACCTGGTTTTGATGAGTGATCCCTTAGGGTAGGTAATATATTCAATCTTGGCGCGCCTGTTGATTTTGTATGTGTCTCGTGGGGTTACCAAAAGCCGGTTGTGCCGGACACGCGGGAGTAGCTAGTGGTGGTTATGTTATATATAACATTGACCATTCATGTACGAAATGTATAGACCATTGATGCGCATGATTATTGTACCATCGCGAGCGTCAAAGCTCACATTTGTGGTAGCCTAGGGTAATAGCATATACACATTCCAGTATACCCATGTGTTGGTTTCTTTGCTTTACGCTCTAAGTGCAGTGGTCGAAACCCGAGGGCATAAATATTTCTTCGGTGCGCAGTCGGATTTTCCAGGCGGGCATCAAGTTGAACCCCTGAAACAACCTCCCGAAAAGGACAAGTTCGGTCCTTCCCGAGCCCCAGCAAATGTTGCTGGCCCAAGGCAACAACGATCGACCAGAGGGCCGGACCAGAGGGCGGTGAAAAGACGTGCGGGCCTGGGCATCTGAACAGATTAATGCCCGCACAGATTGCGCATCCGGCATCCCGTTTCCGGAGACGGTATCGCAAATATTTGACCGTGTCTACTCGGTGATTCCTTTATCATCTTTCCCCATCTCTCGCCATCTTTTGACCATATCTTCACCATTCTTTGCCTTTACCTCATATCCCTCACTTTCCCCACTCCCTCAGTTTTTTCTTTTCTATCTTTCATTTTTTTTTTCTTCTCCCCTGTGTGACCCGCTTCATTTGCCCTAGCCCTGGTCTGCAGGTCATCCAGCTCCCCCATTGGGTCTCCCATCGACCGCGACCAGGCACCTCAAAAGGTGATCATCACACTCTGAAAGACGCATGGTCGCGTCCAGCCTGGTCAATCCCTCTTTAGCATGGGGCCGAATCATGCTGCGCCCAAGGCAAAGCAGGATTGGGGGATCCGAGTCTTGCTGCGCGCGGTGAACCTGTCGAACTGATCGGGCATTTTGTGTCACAAATGACCTCCGAGCACCAGCGGGCAATTCTGTGTCAGTCAAACACAACGCAGCCCTATCTGGTCATTATGGTACAGTTCTTCCGGATACCGGTGTCATCACCTACACTCTTTGTTTATCTTACTAACCCCAGCACTAAAACCACGCTAGACCAAGCTTGGCACTAGAAGAAGGAATGGCTCGATGTGGCATTACAGCATACTGTATGGACATGTACTATGTAAGATGGCAATCGATTACTCATCTTTTTCCATACGACTATCTAGAATGACGGCAAGTGGCGAACTAACATCAATTACTGTATAATCCAGGGATCAGAAGAGTAAAAGCTAAGGCCTATAGGCTCACACACCTGAGCTCGCCATTTTCGAGGTATTAGAAAATAAGCAAGAAAATTACAGACCCTTAGAGTATGTCAAGTCGCTTTGGTCAGGAGACCTAACTAACTTTTAGCAGTACAAAGCTGGCTACTGTGCTATAGCAGTGTGAAGTCCGTCACAGCAGCTATGTCCGAGTGTGTAAGGCTTAGGGGGGTCGCGCGGGTCGAGCGGGTCATGCCTTTCCCAGATGAACATATACCCCACCAGGACCGAGACCCCGCATCAGAAGCAGAGTATGATTCGTGTACGTAATATCCATTTACCCACCAGGCAAAAAAGGTTTATCTCCCTCTCCAATGACGATATCTTTCGCCATGGTATATTTTTGGCCGATAAATGAATAGTGTCAATGCGAAGGTACTGCATCTAATCCAGCTTATTCCGTTCGCCCGGTGACAGCGATTCCTATATATGATCGCAGCCCAAATACATCTCCTTCATCTTCATAAATCCTGCCTCCCAATATGAGGTTCAGGGCAAGCGATACATATCGATTTAATCATGGCTGATTTACCTACAAACATATTGTCACTGCCCTCTGGTGCCATACGGAAATGCTTCACTCCACTAGGCAAGTGTAAGCTCAAGTTATCTCGGCATATTTTGACTGACTCTATTGTAAAGAAAACAACCCAGAAATCATGTCGGGCTTGGCTTGGCGCCTAGGCCTCTCTCGAACAGTTAAATTCATCGACATCTATAATATTGACGAATCTGAAATGATCGCAATGATACCAAGACCCTGCTACGGTTTATTGCTTGTCTTTCCAGTTAATAAAGCCTCCGAAACTTTTCGTACCCAAGAAGATAAGACTTTGGATGCTTATGACGGATCTGGCGAGGAGGAGGTAATATGGTTCCAGCAAACCATAGGGACTGGCTGTGGTATTATCGCACTCTTGCACTGTTTGCTCAATGGCAAAGCTCGCTCCTTCGTTGGAGTTGAGTCGGATCTTGGGAAACTATACCAGGAGATCTTACCCATGCAACCTCTGCAACGTGCAAATGCGCTGTGCAGTAGCCACGCTCTCGAAATGGCCAATGAACTCGCCGCGCGCGAAGGACAAAGCGAGGTCATTGCCGCAAATACACCGATGGACTTACATTTTGTTTGTTTCACAAAATCAGGGACTGACAATCTCTGGGAGCTTGATGGTAGAAGGAAAGGCCCACTTATTAGAGGACGATTGAGAGCAGAGGAAGATGTTCTTGATGAAACAGCCCTTGATATGGGGATACGGTCGTTTCTTAAGAGAGAGGCGGAGAGTGGCTGCCAAGATTTGAGGTTCAGTCTTATTGGATTGGTGCCAGCCTCCTAAGGTAAAGAAGTTGCTCAAGTGGAGAGCTTTGGAGGTAACTGAAAGATATCAATATAAATATATGTTGCTTTACTGAGCATATCCAGGATTCCCCGGCTTGAGTATCTCCTAATTAGTGTGTCGAAGAAAGATAACATGATCTTGAGCTGGAAACCAAACCATACCGGGACAGCGTACTTGGCTAGTAAAAGTCTTTTCTCCATATAGTGTAGAATATACTCTCTTATACGGATGATCATATCAAGCTTCTAGTATTACTGCACAACTGATTTCTCGGGCCGACCGCCTTTGATTAGGTGGCTTGCAGGCTACTAGATAAATCGGAGGTCAGATCGCAGTCGCAAGATTGCTCGTTTACTGCATTCAGCAGCCTCAGCCATATAAGAAGCATTAAGCTCTCCATTGATCAAAATATCGTGGATAAGATTAAGCGTGATTACAAAGCTAGATGAGGAGCCATTCTTGATTTTGTGATTCGGCTGCCACCCTTAGTGGTTTAAACCGGTTACCGATTTTCAGTAGAACACAGAGGCATAACGTGGAACATGGGAAAGAAGTAGTATGATTACTTAGAGGCAGTTGTCATGTTACGAATAGGTTATCTGTGATACAATACACGGCTCAAGATTCTCCATCTCCGTGCCAGGATTGGCTTAGTGTTGTTTCATCCCGGGGTTGCTGAAACAGTCGAAGAGTGTAAGTAGTGACACTGGTATCCGGAAGAACTGTAACGCTCACCACGGGAGCTAGAACGGTACAGTAGTCTTGTCGGATAGAATGATTTGCCCGTTTCCGAACCATCGGGCTCCGGAATCCCGGATTTTGGTTTTGCCTAGGTCTCGACGGGCTACTTCACAGTGCAGTATGCAACAAGTAATCGGTTTAAAGCAGATATACGCCGACTCGCGGACTGCTTGTCCGAAGCGAACCGGAGGGAGTTACCCAGGAACTCGCGACGTCATCTGCGTCATTGTTCAGGACCAGGTTATACTGTACTATAAATGGGGTCTATTGTCACTGAATATACATTGTACCACAAAAAATAAGCTGACTACTGTACATGACTGGCAGCGGGCATGGACGGATCTTGACGTCCGTTCCGACTTGCGATGCACGATATTGCACCAATGCTGGTAAGAACCGCGGCATGGCGCGAGCAGACCTTGGCTTCCTTGCATCATGATGATTGGATATACTCTGGCAAGTACTAGTCCCCAGCACCGCGTAGAGGTGGCTGCCCATAGCTGGGGTGTCTCAGAACAGGATCCTAAGAACAGAAAGAACCTGTTCATCTGGGAACAGTCCAGGGCACAGGTGATACAACATAGGACCCATGGCCATGAAGGGGCTATCTCCGGAGAGATTAATACTAAACAGGCCCACCACTCCTGTCAAGGACTATCTCCGAAGAGATTGATACTCAACAGGCCCACCACTCCTGTCAGGGGATATCTCCGAGGAGATCGTACAACACAGGCCCGCCATGCCTGTGAAGATGCACACTGTTGCGCTTGCGCATTCCAGTCAGTGAGGACAGGAAGCCTGGTCCTGGAGCGAACAAGACTGGAAGACACCGGCCTTATATCTCCAAGCCCTCCGGTCGCCCGGCAAGACCAACTGTGCAGCATTAGCATCCAGCCTCGCCGACTTCAAGTACCAGAACCGTCATGCGGTCGAGATAAACTTCAATAGTCATTCAAGTACGGGGTGGGCATCTGGTCATCTCTGCGTGTGCTCTCTCCTACCAAATGCCCAGGGGCACATACTGACGATATACAAAGAGCAAAACCCGAAGCCACCTCCCCAAATGACCATGCAGGCCTCAGTCCAAGACGCCATCCGGGGGGAAGAACGATCGGTGTGGGCATGGGCAAGGCGAAGATGTGTGCGACTCATGGGACAGCCGTTGGTCAATAGGCGTCTCAAGTACACAACAATACTTGGAAATGGGTTCCAGACCTGACCAGTGGGCTCAGTAGAGACCACTTAGAAACAGTTGGGCAACCGTAGTCCAACAGTGCACAATGACTACCGATTCCTCCCTTTGTCGTAGTACTTTCCAGTTTCTAGAGCACCGCTGCCCAGTACCCAACCGCTGTCGACTTAGGTAATCCACTGAGACATCATTTTCCGCGTAATGCACTAGAAATTACCTAAAATTCACCTTGAGAAGCTTCTCGTCCTCCCAAACCTTCAGAACAGGCAATGCCTCCTTTGAAACTCAATGGGACAAACTGGGATTGTGTGTCGAGTATCACTAAAATCTGAATTCCATTACTTTGTATCAGCCTTTTCCATCAGGCCCACTTCTTATTGTCGAAATAGGCAGAAGAGAAAGACCCTCGATGAGAGAAAACTTCACCTGCGCCCAGAGTGATTCCCGGGCTCCACATTATCGTGGCAAGGGGAGAAGCGTGACCTAGGTAGCATCAAGTTCCGTACGAGGCAACGCCATGGACGAATCGTATGGCATTGCGTCAAGTGGGTAGTTTTTCTTTGTTTCGCTGACCTGAGTCTAATGGGTTCCCAGGCCACAGTAACCAGCGCGCTCAATTAAAATTTGTTGGGGCTTTCTTAGTTCCAGCCCCACCACTGAGGTTTTTTGCTCGCCATTCAGAAGTATAAGCCTTGTAGTAGGGTTTTTCTTATTTAATTCTCGCATATTTCCCAGCTTCGAGGCGTCGACACAGGACTCATATAATTACACTATTTATGGTCTTAGAAACACTGCGCTTGCAAGAGAGCGAAGAATCAAATATAACCTTCCAGATTATTTTATAGATGGATAAGGCCAGAACGAAAGGGTCAAATCTTTATATTAAGATAGAGAATTGTTAAATATCTCCAGGCAATCTGGCCAACCAGAACCAGTAGCCATGGTAAACTGAGGATAATAATAGACAATATACTAGCTAGTACTGTATACTCAAGACAGAATATCTCAGTCATCAGGAGCTGGTCAGTTAAAAGAACAGAGAAAGTTGTTACTGTATTTTATCTTAATAAATACTGCTATCTTAAGGGCCAGGCAGTTGTGCTTATAATAATGGAATTATCCAACTCTGCACTCTCTGAATTTATTCACATACTATTATAAGTACTCATGCTGCTTTCAGCTATCATAGTCTATGTTACTACAGCATTTGAGGTTATTAGTTAAGACCACAATAGCGGTAATTCTAGATATATATATATATTTAATTCTTCTGTTTTCAGATATACATGGCCTGAGTGGCCGATACTTATCAACTAGACAAGTAAGAAAATCCATTATCTTAAGATAGATGATCCATTTCTATCCGGCTACTAAGATCAAGGCCCAGTCACGGCTACATGCCTGGCGAGCGGTGACTTCTACTGTGTGGAATCTTATGAACTAGCCAGCTCTAGCCTCCAAGAACCAAGAATACACTTGTCTTGATCAATCTTGAAGCATGCAAGAGTATCCAAAACATATAATATAATTAGCACAAGGATGTTGCGGGATCCCTAAAATCTTATATTACTAGCATCCACCACAGGATATCCCCAGCCATGTTAATGAAGAATCTTTTTGTGGTTATTATATCTACCAGTCATGTAACTGCCCGCATCTGACTTGACCGTCGCTGTGCTGTAGGATGTGGACAAAACCACTATTACCAGAATACAGCGAACCAAACTCAGCTCATGATTAAAATCCCCAAAGAGGATTTCCATAGAACAGTAAGTAAATTATTCTGGGAGACTAAGGCCAGGCAAGATAAGCTTTCCAGATATAATTACTTAAAACTGTCCCCTTTTAAGTAAGTCTGGCATTATAATACTCGCCGTATAAAAGGAGCTACTGTAATAAGTTCTGGGATTAGAAGTATCCATAACCACTCTCCCATTTCAGCACAAGTATTACCAAACGACATGAGTGACTTTAATGATCGGGGACAGCTGGTCAAGCGCAAGTACAAGGACTGGGCAGGACCAGGCCTGGGACACTGTGACAATGATAAGATGTCCAAGGCTGTTGAACCATCCCAGCAGCCATCGAAGGTACTTTCCTTCTTATTGCACCAAGCATACAGTATACAGCATCCGAGATTTCGGCATGAGCTGACATTTCCTAGGCCAAGGCACCGCCACTTCCCACGGAAGCGCTGTCGAAAGATGAGAAGGTTACTTCCACTGGCCTGGCTGCTGAGACAGTCCAGCCTCTGATTCGCGAGTTGCAGTAGCTGGATGATTAAAACCTGGTCCTTGCAGAGCAAGCCGCGCGACTGGTGGCCCTCTTCCGGCGCCTCTGGGAATTATATATCACGCAGAATGCCAAGAGCTCGCGCCTTGAGAAGGAAATCAGTCAGATGCAGATCACCCACACCTGCCTCGTTAATGAAAACACCCAGTTAAACTGTCACTGCCGGGACGAGGAGGCCTGCTTGTGCCATTTTCGAGCAGTAATCCAAAAACTACAGAAAGATATAATTAACGTGGTTAAAAAGTGGGAGAATTTCCAGATGACGGAGGCTCCGGCAGCGGGCGGTGCGGAGAAACCGACGCAGGAGAAGGAGGATGTGGCAGTTATTATGTCTGCGGTGCCTGCCCAAGAGGACTAAGGCACCAGTACTCTATAATAGAGCCGATGGCTAGCTCCACGGTGGTGAGGATGGCGAATGATATTGATTAATATAGAGGAGTGATACTGAATTGAAACAGCTTCATATATTGTACCCAACCATAATATGTTTGAAAGCGCCAGAGCTGTATTCAAGGATTGTAGACTTTTTATATTCTTTCAGATTCTGTGATGCTGTCCACATCGACATGAACAACATAGCCAGACGGCACTGATATTATATAATTATTATTAGTCAGCGATAACTCTGTTAGGTCTTTCTAGATAATCTAGTATCTAATAACTATTTCCGCAATGTTCAGTAGGCTTCGACAATTAGTTTTGGTGAGGTATTATATTAACTGTCTCAGGACAGTTACTGCAATTATAGTCTGGTTATAATATAAATAATGTCGCAGTACCAAGCGCATAAATTCTATATTTTTTATTGATTTATCTAACACTCAGAGTGCTTTGCTAATATAACAGTACATGATTCTTAATTAATGCCGGACTAATACAACACCTTTGCGGTGCATAATATGCCGAAAGTGTCGGTATCTCAACATATCTGCTGGATATAATAAAAATAGCCGGAGCATCTCCATGTTAAAATAATCTGGTTCAGAAAGTAGACTGCTGCTGTTTAAGTTACTTTTACAGCTACCAAGATCCAGCTGACCACAGGGCTGTATATTAATTCTATTTAATATCTATAGTAGTGCAGCTATAGTTTACTTGCATAGCCCTGATTAAATCATGCTTTAAAATAGAGGAATGTCATCACCTCTCAAGTTTCACAGTAGATAGTCACGGTGGTCAAGATTAGGGTTACTTTTATTGGTATTGTTGACTATAAGAGTTTTATCTACCGTGGGCTCTTCCACCCTGCTAGCCATAGTATTAATACTCCCGATTTCTGACTGAAATTGCTTTTATAAAGTGGTATGATATTCGGCTAAGTACTGCTGTGTGTATCTATACTCTCAAGCAGTGGTGTGGTCTTTTATATAACTATGACTGGAGTACCACAGCTGATAGTTTCTTTGAATGCCATGCCCGGGAATAAAATATGCGGGTCTGTTCACAAGTATAAGGAGCTTTTTAAGGGATTGTTATGGCACCTTTCTGCGGACGGTTATCTAAGTAACAAGCGGCAGATAATAAGGAGCAGGTACCTGCAAGAATAAAATGTGCTCCCGCACCACGTGCTTGGTAGTTGCAGCAGTAATTAGCTGGTCACTTTTTCTTTGCTAAAGAAACCCAATATTTCATTCAGTTCTGATCAATCTCTGTAGAAGCCAAAGCAGTGTCTTCACAGTTAATCTGGTGAATTCAACACTGCCTCGATGATTAGACAGCTTCATGTACATGGTGTTGAAGATTGCTTAATACTTTTTCCAAGCTACATACTATACTTTGTTTTCTAAGAAGATCCTTTCCTAGTTGCGTGCATCTCATTTTCCAGCCTTCGGATATGTCAGACCTCCGTGGTCTTATGTTGGAGGCCATCAAGCTCCGCTTGCTGTTGGTTATTTACTTATACTAAATGTTCAATCCTCGCAGTGAGCGACTCAGCATTATTCGATATTGGCAGATACTGAAAAGGAAGGATAAGCGGATTAGTCTCTATACCAAGGTTTATTAAGGGGTGGCCTATCTCAGAGCCCGGTGCCATATCTACTACTATAACAGGACGGACAGCCTCGATCGACTGACCACTTTCTCTACATATTGCATCGTACAGGCCCACCGACCTATTAGCCAGACTAGTGTTCATTTAATATGCCTTTGCATCAGTAATTGACCAGGCATACCCATCCCTTGGGCCTGCTTCTGTTATACAGCCCGGGGATAGACCCTTACCATATACCGGTCATCTAGATATGTCAGCTTGTTCAATATAGTTGAGCGGATTTGAGCAGGAAAGGAGTTACAGATATGGTTCGCCAGTGTCTTGCGGCATTGTGGGTGTTGCCGAGTGCGCTTTTTATTGCTATCTCAGGCCATTAGATACTTCCTGAAGACTCATGCGAATTGCGTTCATTCGCGGTCGTCTATCAGGAACATATCATGTCTATTTTGCTTCTTTAATCCAGCATGGCCAAGGTTGCCTCATCTTATGTGCAAGTGATGACCAAGGCGTCTAGGTACCAAGAGTATACTTCTGTTTGCCCATGGTGAGCCCCTGCCATATGCGGGTCGCCGACTTCAACCGCTTCAATTCAACAGTACTTGTGATCTTGCTGAGGCAAGACGGGTTTTCGGTCATTGATTGTGCCCAGGTCTGGTCCTGTGGTACAGTAAAGGTTTGTGCAACAAAACCGAATGGGTGGAACTGCCCACAACAACCCCTCGGTCATGAACGAACTAGATCTTACCCGTTTGTCGTATGCTGGCAATTTGCCAGACCTTAATTGTAGCATGTTTTATCTGCTAGTAAAGTTGCTCTACACAGATCGTCTGACAATTGTATTCCATAAAACAGAATTTATGTCTGGTCGATATTAACCCTCGTTGTCCATATGAACAACGCCAATGCCCGATTCCCCCATGATTAGGAATCAACGAGAGGTAGGCGACTAAGGCTAATATTCAAATATCCACTCCTTTGTCAACCGTTGACCCTGTACAACTCATAACCTTGTCTTTTATACCCACCTACGTCTTCTGCATCGCTCGCTGCTTTGACACAAGGCGTTGGAAATGTTTTCAGAGCTTAGAGTGGATACCATATTCTTCCTTTCCAGCAAACTCGTCTTATCATCTTCACTTTCCTAGTCCGCCCCATCGCATCAGAAGGCAAGCGAGATGTCATACTCCGGACAGCGTCGACCGACCACCCCAACCACTCTGCCAGTTACCTCAGACACAAATCCTCTAGCAGATGGAGCCTTGCTGAAATCATTCTCTTTGTTCTGTCCATGCTGTACATCATCACCCTCTGATAAAATAAATGCTTCATTCAACATAAGCTACCCATCTGCAGAACTGGAAGAACAGTTCCTACGGATTCTTATATTCTACTTACCTTTATCCTTCCATATTCAAGCCATAGCTGTTCTGCTATATAATTCTTAGATAACTAAGAACTAGTTACTGATCAAGTTACTCTGCTATCATGTCTTCACCGTATTGCCCGACCAAGATATTATTTGCTGGGTTAGCTTGTCATACCATGTATGTACCAATCCCGGGGATATGCTGCTCATCACTGTCTACCCGGTCACATAAATATTATTCTAATAGCTTGAAGTAACTATAACTAAAGATAATGAGCTTATGGCTATTATCACAGCTTTATATAATAGACCTGTCTTGGGAGGAACGGCTGATATAAGATGCTGAGATTAAAGTAATCTTGTAAATAAATTTAATTAATTGATGACTACGGGCTCTGTATATGAGCATGTCTGATGTTCAGGCCTTGGATAGAAAGATATAATTGGTGGGAGTGTCAGTTAAAGAAATTAAAAAGTTTTCTGATAATAATATCTTAGAATTATCCACGAGAAAGATGATGCTCTTGAAGTGATTCTATATTTACTGGATAGATAAGATGAGATGGCGGGTCTAGATTTAGTCTAGTATATTTAACTGCTGGTAGCTGATAATATATCATGAGATATTCAAGGAGATATATTATTATATTTATAATATTTAATCTTATTTATTCTACCTAGTTCCTGACTGCCCTATGACTGGTATATGAGAAGGATCTGGAGAGAATAAGCTTATAATATATTTATTGAGTCTGATTTTAGATTTATAAAAGATCTTTGTTTCTTCTTACTTAGCTTGTAAAAGGAATTTTTATATTATATTATCTGAAGATATTATGGAAGATATCTTTACTATCTTGATTAAAAATACAGTAAACTGTTTTAATGTGTAATCTTCCTGATTCATATGCCTGCAACTTGTGTGTCTGTTTTAACAGAACCAGGATTCTTTTTAATAGCAGATCTGTTATTCTTATTCTTCCCAGTGGCGATAGAGCTTTGTAATCTGTTTCTAGTTTCAGATCTATCCTGTTGGCGCAGAATATGGATTAATATGATCTTGAATAATTCTGACTCGTGCCCGTTGTTTACACGCCCCTGGAGGAAGTGGTCTATAACCACGCCTATCTGCTGGTTTGTCTTATATAAGATATCTGCTAATTGGACTGCCTCATCCCGCTCAGCGGTGGTTTTTTTTAATATCTCATGTAATACATGACACTCGTGTTTTTGAGTTTGCTGGTCATGATCCATTTGAACCGCTTGTGTACTTAATTCAGCAACAATATGTAATGCATTCTGACCCAGTGTTAGAACACTCATGAAGTGATAGCAAATAACTTACAGATGAGTCTATTTGGGAAGGCGGCTCTGCGCACTCTGATAATGTAAGAGTGGTGATAAAAGAGTTCGAGAGTCTGAATAGTTAAAGATGATATCGGGACCGGCTGCTATATATTCCTCTAGGTCTATGATCCTCAGTATCTTCTACTGAAACTTCGGTGATATCCGCTGAGATGTGATGGTCCTCTCAGCAATTGACCCGTCAATATCTTGCTGGCAGTGAAATCTCCTGGTCTTTACCTGCTGCACACCCGTTTGCTTGGACAATCGCGTGGTTCCTTGAAACACGCGCTCTTACATGACCCTCACAAACGACTCTGTTCTCGCCAGGACCTCTACGGTAGATTGACGGGTTGGGAAACCAGTATTGAGATAGACCATTTCATGCTGGATATCTATAATATCACCGGCAACTAAATCATTCACCAAGTTGAGGCTTCATGTTTTTATAATATGCATTTTGTTATGGGTGACTGGTACGTTATAGTATAACTTACACTTACTCAGGCGCAAGGGTTTTGAGATCCATCCGTCATATACCGCCACAAAATTGGCCATCTGGCGTGCATTTCAGTCGAAACAGATAAGACAACCAGCGTAAATTCCAACATCGCCAATCAATTGACCGCCTATGACTTTCCGTGATACCTTGTCTTAGTAGATGGCGGTGAATGTGTCGCTGCGGGCGATTTTTTCTATCATTGGTTGAGGTGTGATTTAGATCGCCCGAACAACGGGTATGGGTTTAGGGCTTTCTCGCTGATTGACTGATACCTGCAGGTCGCAAAATTTGGTAGTTCTGCAAGGGATGTATCTCAGAGGTAGATAACATGCCCTGCTCTTGTAAATAGGCATTCTTCATAACCGGGGGGTGATTAACGGAGTATCGGACACTCTAGTTGATTGACCAGTTGTGGAGGGTCTGGGACAATTGAGTGTCGTGAATGCCGTCGCTGGGAGCGCAGAAGCATGCAGTTGCGAACCCGTTCGAAAAGTTATAGAATGGGCAAAAAGGACATAAGATATCCCTAGATGGGTCAAGAAACATCCGAGATTCATAGAAGATATAGCCGCATTCTTGACCCTTGGACACCCCCCTCTGTGCATCACAAGCAAAAGATCCATGCAAGTTTGAGTTAGTCCTGGTTTAGGACCCTGGCAATAAGCGAAAGAGCCAAGGCCAGCTACGAGCCTGCGACCAACTAGACTTCGTAACTAGCTTTTCCTCTCTACCCGCCTGAACATGCAACTGATTCCCCCAACGTAAAAGTCAAGATTACCGTTGCCTTCATTATAGGGACTTGTGGGTCTCGCATTTTACAAGTACATAGCTCTTAGTCTGGCTCGACCTCTTGCACCCATCACATCGGTCCACCTCTCGAGGTTTTAGATATCTTTAGTTGGTCACATTGCCACTACTTCGAGTTGCGATGTATTGGTAGGGCGCTCTTGAGGTAGCTGGCTATATTGCCGTATTCCTGGAAAGTAATGGTACTGGTTGTGTCGGTTCACACAATGTCCGCATTTCACCTATTCATTGGAGGACCGGGCTAGGTGGTGTATATGATTGTGGTCGGCATATAAATCCTGAAACAAGACCAGACCAGGACTTATTAACCAGTTTTATATATCTTTGACCAGTTTTTTCTTTTTATGGGCAGATATTCCCGCTAGATAATTCTCTTTGCAACCACACCCATTACTAGAGCTGGGGTATCGTGCTGTGTGCTGGATGGTTCCAGGTAAACCACAGAACAGATAAATAATTAACTAACAGAACCTGGTATTCAGTTCTCAAGTCAATAACCTAAGTAAACAGTAAACTTAAGACATATCACAGACCGGTCAAAACTATGAGGCTCTACAGAATCTTGATCATAATATAAAAGCTTGTGAATATAGAATGCAGACTTCTAAGCAGTAGCTGCTATTTAATAAAGCTGTGCAGCTCTCTTGTGCTACTTTTAATATATTATGTTTATTACTATTTGAGATTATTGATGCCATTGCTGATGTAGTACTATAAATATACTATCTGGATTTAGTTAACTGCTAACTACATGCCAGCTGCCACAGCACAGTGTTTAGTCCTTAAGTTTGGTTTCTATCAGATTATATACTGCCCTGTTCCCGCAGCTTCATCGAACCATCACCTTCCGTGCGAGGAATGAATGAGCTTTGAATATTTTCAATATCTATCTTTTTTTTCGGGATCACTCCGGCTCCCGCGCCTGCGAAATCCTCCAGCATGCCCGGCAGATAAGATTCAACACTTCTATTCGCATTGCTAGGTTCTACTGTTGTGTATATAACAGTCACTTTTTCCTACCGGCCTCGTCCCACAACCGACCTACACTTGGAAGCCTGCACGAGTTGACAGTCCATCAAGCCTTTCTCAATGATTTATCTTATCAGATAGATCAGGTCTTTGCGGGACTGGAGACTGTCTCCATCCGCTTATTTCAGTATATATAAAAGGCAGGAGCCGCTGGACTCATAACTGATTTATTATATGTAATATATAGGAACCTGCCTTCCGGCTGGAATTCTGGATATTAATAGATATCTGGTCTGCTATTAGTAACAGATCTATTTACTTTGCTTGATTACTGATGGTACCTGTTCTCATGCCGGCTGTCATCTAGAGAGCCTGTCGAGTTTGATAATACTGACTGACCTGGAATAAGAAGATATCCAGTATTTATTTAAAATATATATCTTGTGCAAGTGTCTCTGACAAAATTATTAACAGCTGAAGGCGGTATCCATTAGACTTCTATTAAATCTGAATATATTTATATTCTATGAGGATATCCTGAAGGTCTTCTGGCTACTGTGAGCACAGGATGACTGCATGCTGGGTGAATAAGAATGGTTCCTGTTACTCATATCCTTGATATTCTCGTGAGTCCCGTTCCCTGACAGTCTACTGCCAGCCGGCCAACCGTCACCATTCCGCGTGCTCAAGGTACTAATAATCCGCGACTGTCTTAATAAACAGCACTTCCTGTAATTATTGATATGAGCTAAAAATCTATTATTTTTTTAGTATTTCAAGATCTGTAGCAACTACCTGCGCGACTCAGAGAACTGACTGGCATCTATTATAATTATAGAATTTCTACTTTTATTTCGCGGCTTGCAGTATTTATACCTGAAGATAGTCAACTTTCCTTAATTCCTGCCTGGTCTTGGTAATGTTATTAAATATCACCGAGCCATGCTCCACGGTCTGATTTTTTACAAGTATTAGCTAATACTAATTAATACTGAAAGACTCTTTAAAGATCTTTGTAATATAAATATAATATCTTTTAATATTCTGTGAATTCTACAGCATAGCTCCCCCACCGCTCTTAGCCTCTGTCTTCATCCGGCCAGCATAGTAAGTGTATCATTAGCATCCATTCCTTTAGCTATATAAGCTGACCCACCATAGCAAGACCTTCTCTTAGGCATTCTGGAATATTTATCAATAAAATTACTCCACCTCCGGCTGAGCGGAGAGGAGAGAAACTATCAGTATCTCTATAAAAAAATTATCTCAAAACTGCAGAGAAATACAGAAAAGGGATTATAGTCTAAGTTAAGATATAGATTAATAATCACAAGCTTCCATCTCAAGCCTGTTTAAAAATAATTAGATATCTAAGATTTCCTTCTGCTTGCTCAGTAGACTTTTAAAGCTACGGGACTTCCTGCCTTGCAGATACTTATCTTCAGTGACTTTTCATATGATGGCTGCTATAGAGAACAATAGATCTTGATCCAGCACAGGAGGATTAATAAACAGTTTTACCTGAGAGTTTTATCAGACAGGGAATATAGTATAAGCTTATTATTTTGCCTGGTTAAAAGTAATAACTATTTTCTCTGGCAGGGCCTGCTATTGGATGGAACTCAGTTTCTGTCTGTATATCTAGATACAGGATTAATAGAGTCCTTTTATAATCTTTAATATGGTATCTTTAAAGTTCCTTATATTTGGCATTTTCAGATTCGCGCGTTGCAAGGGCGGTAATCTGTTGTAGATTATATTTCTGATATAATTATTACTAAAATATGCTTTTAGCAGTTGTTACTTATTAATTATACGCGGACAGTGTTATTATAAGAGGCCAGAAAGCACAATCCTGCTTATTTTATCTCTCACCGCCTGCTGCCTGGGCTGAGAAGGCTTCCAGCAATATTAATAATTAACTATACTGGGATTTCCCTTACTAGTAGGCTCTCCTGTCTAGGGACACAAACATCCAGGTTTCCCTATGGCTTATGGCATGCATATCGAGAGAATCATTGTACTGTAGCTAGTTATAAGACCCTGTATTTACTTAGCTTTCCTGTGGTCTGCCCCTTGGCCTTTGCGTCATGTAAAATATATCCCATATCATAGCACCGTAGCACATTGGACTTTAAGGACTATTTGGTCTTCTGTTTATAAGAAAATGCTGATCAATTTTCAAGAATAGTATAACATTGTGTATCTATCTATATGACATAGCACAGCTGGAATACCCCAAGGCCAAAAAGAAAGAAGATAGAAGAGGCTGGCTCCACTAAGAATGTGCAGCATATTAGCAAGAATATGTGCAGTACTAATCTAAATACTTAACTGCTGGAGAGACCTGCATGCACTGCAGTTTCCCGCAACTACATATCTGGCCACCTCGGAGACAGGTTCAGTCAGATTGCAAAGTCTAATCATCATATACCTGATTCTCTGACACTGCGTATTGTCCATGAGCCTGCACTATAGATCGTTGTACAAGGCGGTTGCGATGGCCACTAGCATACTATCTCAGGTCACTGTTGTCTCCAGCCATGTCAATCGTCCCCGCACTACCGTTCGAGAAACAGCAGTCAAGGTGTCCCCAGCGCCGAAGTCTCTATAGTAGTATACCCCGAAATTTCGAATGGCTGCCTGGTGTCGGACGGCGGCGAAAGCCCGGTGGCAAAGCAAGTTGATCAATGACCAGTTCCCTGTGGCTAGCCAGTCTTGGGGTACGATTGCTACTACTTCAGCGGCAGATTCGGCCCCTGATTGGATCATCAGTGTATTCAGGAACCGGTCTTCAAGTGAGGTGGACATGCTGAGTTCCTGGCCTGGAATGGTCTCTGCCAGCGTGGCTAGGTCTGGAATATCGGGCGAGGCGCAACATGGGCACTGTATCACGGAGGCTGAGGAGTTTGATGTGGAGTCATCGTCGTCTGACAGTAGACTGGAATTGAGTTCCAGAAGCGGAGTGGGCTGCGGAATAGGCGCCGCGGAATGATGCACGATGGGGGGGGACATTCTATCCTTCCCTCAACAAAATAACAGCCGATACGTATTGTTCCGCGTGGCTAGTTGATGCACTATAGGACCGATCACGGTGGATGAATCGCTTGGAAGAGATGCCAGAATAGAGTTCTTGAGAGCACTAACGGTACACAAGGTTCATGAGATGTTCGAAGCAAGTGATGGAGAACACTATATAAAGGCCACCCGCCAGGCCTTTTACAAAGGGCATTTCTCGAATACTCTATTATGAATGCATATGTAGCAGGAGAGGGATACTGTGCTTCCAGTTGCCATAAACGTAACTACAGTATCAATTTCGTATCGAGGACATTGTGCACCTGACCGTTGATCAATGACATACGGTGTCATGATTTACCATTTGGGTTTGCCCCGGTAGGAGAAGGTGTGGTTTTCTCTGCGGTTCTGCCGATGACCCTAGTACGTTCGTTTCAACGCGTGACCGCATTATAGTGTAGACGTAAACGTCCCCTCGCAAACTTGGATTTCAACTCACCCCACAAAGCCCTCAGGTGTCTATGATAAATAATGTGCGGGCATGGGGGTTCCACTGGAGAGACCCTGTCTGGGCTCAGCGACTTGGTGTATGGTCTCGGCCCTGGAGGACATGGCGGATGATCTACTTCCATGTCAACACCGCCAAGCAGGCCGGCTGGCACCGCAGACGGTTGGACATGAATTGCCCCACACTGACGGTTGCACCTCTCGATCCCTAGCCATGAGCTGCTACAGTTTATTTGATAATCGTTGTCTACGCAGCCAAAAGCTGTGTTGACCCCACCATACCAGACGCGGTGATGCCCTGACACAGAGGGGTGTTTATGCGCTCCCGCCTGGTTAATTTTCTGGTGTCTTGAATGTCCGGGGATTGCCCGCCGTACACCGCCTGCCAACTTCCGACACGGAGGAAAGTGTGCCTCGGGCGGCTACCACACTTGACCACCGCTTTCATGAGTGTGCAGAGTACTATTGCTGCCACATGCCCGTTCAGAGAGGTGCCTCGTGTATATTATTGCTTGGCCTCGGACAATTTAATTATAGTAAACATGTATATGGCGTCACGATAATATGGGTTGGAGTAGCTGCTAGACTGCAGCACGTTCTGGTCAACTCCTGGCAGCCGTGGCCCACACCTGTTTCCTGTGACCACTCACCGGGGTAGTTTGCTTGGACTTGCGGTCAAATTTGACCACTCCTAGATTTCTGTTCATTTTGCCTCCTAATAATGCGGAAAGAGCTATACACTCAAGTAATAATAGCTTTGTGAACCAGGATGGTATAACCAGTTGTTACAGTACATACAAGGCAAACAGCTTCTGCTAACAACTTGTCATATAGCGTACAAGCACTTTTACCTTTCTAGTAAATAAACTTGGTCTGAAAGCAGATAAATTCGACGAGCTTTTGATGGGCATTCTGTCGTGGCGAAAGCCATGGACCATGCGTGGACATCTAGGTGCCAGATGCCACCCTACGTACTACATAGCAGACGACACAGCAGAATCTTTAAATGAGGCCATATCTCCTGATCCCTCAACATTGAATTTTTTACGAATTCCCTTATGGCGCCCAACAGTCTGTTCTTTGAATAGCGAGTATAAGAGTGCATCTCCACGGTCTTTGTCAACATTGCGCGTGTCAACATTGCACGTACAGTATATCTGTCAGCAGTATATATTCAAGATTCGCCTGCGGACTCGGGGACCAAAATCCAATCGAAAACGTACATACGCAACGTATCCTTGACTGAGACGCCCTGGGAGGGTGCCATGGCCGCTCTAGCCAGAGTGAATCCTACGATTGCTCAACCAGCTTTCCGTGCCAATGATCCTATTGCAGCAGTTCGATTGAAGGCTTCCGAAACATCATCAGTGATGTGCTGCTCTACAGCTCAGCATGAGATGCATAGTACGACCACAGTGAACGCCAATGCGTCGTTATTGGCTACCAACTTTCATCCGCCTATCATCTCAGTGTCAATGGAATGCAGGCCGTGGAGAAATTTCAGCCGTCCTTTCTTCCGCAATAGTACTGTGGCCACCTCTTCCGCACACAGTGCACTCTGGACTTCCAAGACCAGCCCAGGGACTGTCGGCGCTTTGCCGAGTGCAAGGATGACCCGTGCTGGCCCCACAGCACCCACACTGGCTCAAACACCGTCCGCCAATTCGACTATCCTCATGGGTACAGGAACGCAGGCCCGTGGTGGTAGCCTCTCATTTCTCTTGGCTGCTGTTGTCCTCCTCTCCTTTCTTTGGTTTCTTTGATACGAAGGGGCTGGCGGGGCCTGATGGTCCGCTTTACATTATCTCGTGGTATTCATATATCTGGTTGATCGACCTGTACGTAGAAAGGCACTGGAGACCAACTATTGGTTAAAGGTGAAAGTATAAGAGTATTTAGGGCAGTTTCTGCCAATATCTACCAGATTGAGCATTGTGTATGTCCAACAAAGGCAGAAGCCAACTCTCCGGATTGTAGTAGAGTGGCGGAAGCTATGCACGTTAACGACTTAACATAGCAAGCCTGATGAAACCAGTTCCTTGGATTCATTCAGAACAAGTGGGTTAGGACGTACAATCTCGCAGGCGTCAGCATACAGTGGCTGATCGTACGAAGATATTGAGTCGTGAGAAAACCTACTAGATAAAACGGAAGCTAGCTGCTAAAAACTTAAGGTTTGTTAGGGACGTCCTTAGCCGTCTACGCACTCGTTCTCAAAAGGAGGCTTAGCATTTTCTGATGGCCTATATTTTTGTTCCCTAGGAAAGAAAATGCATTGTCCCCTAGGGCTAAAGACACAACTCGCGATAGCGACGGCACCACTGCTTGTTACTGCAATCGAGCACGCGTGGGCTACCGATATCGATTACCGATGGCCAGATAATAACCACAGAAGCTACATAACCACGGAAGCTACAGACAGCAGGAACACATCTCAATAGCTAAGAGCAAACTGTTGCTAGCGGAGAATGCTACTGCCAGCCACGTCGCTGCCATGGCATATGGACCGAGATTAGCCGTGCTTTCATGTTGAAGAAGACTATTGATTTCCTTAGCCAATAGCTGGTATAAGATGGTCACCGATACTGATGCTCCTATAATTAAGAGTGATGACACCTGTGCACTAGTCAGCACGTTTTCTCGTATGAAGACACTTAGGTAGCACTTGCCGGTGAGGATATCACAACGGCTACTTTCGTCATTGGAAATCGGACGAAACCTATGACAATCGCAACATAAGCGGCAATAAAACTAGTGATATAGGCATCTATGCTCCAGTGTGAAATGTGGTCGTACCCTTTCAGAACAGGTTGGTTCGAGTCTGACGTTACTCAATCTGCAGGGTCCAGCCTAGTGCCTAAAACATCCATCGGGTCAAATGAGAAGTGAGCACTGGGCTTTGAGCGATTTGAGAAGGCTTTATCGGTTGGCTTTCCCTCGCAGTAGCTCTAGAGGCCAATTACATAGTATATTGGGAGGAGATATTGCATATGACTGGGCTGGTCTTCAACATGCCCGCTTATGCGGTCTACCGCATCGCTAACAGCTTCCGAAACGCTGTCTGAAAGCTATCGTATTTCTAGAGATGACGAAGAATTCTGTCCACTATGAACGGCGAGCGATCGAAGCTCATTTAGGTGTTCCGGGTTCTGGATTCCAATCACATTCATTTTCGGTTGTAAGTTAGCCGTGTACATGCACAGCAACCAAAATCGTACCTTTAAGGAGTACAAGCCTTGAAAAGAAGTCGGCGATGTACACGCCGAAAAGATCAAGACGAGACAAACTAGAGCGGCGGACGATAAGACCAAGGAGATGACCCTCGGAAGGGATAACAACATGGATGGACAAGAATGAATGCAGTGACTGCACAGGAGGCCACTGCCACGAGTGAGACTTTATGCAGCGCAGAAACAGGATAATGCGATAGGACGTGTACGTGGACTGAAATTAGCAGCGTGTGTAGACTGTTAAAATCGCGGAGCTATATTCCACACGGAACTTCTCTTACAATATCCCTTTCTTCCCTTTAGTTTTTGGCATTTTGCTGGGTTTATGTATATCCCATACGCCCATTCCAAGGCTTCTTCGGGGCAGGAAATATAGACTCAATCTGTTATGTAATGGGCAAACTTTGTCCTCGTCATATTGTTAACTTAAGTTTGTTGATCCTGAGTGCACATCAAAAAAAAATTGATGCTATTAATGTGGGTCAGGCCATACATTACGAATACTGAGGGTAGAAACGCCCAATACGAATGTTAATTCCTTAAAGATCCTTCCATACATGGAATCAGTTCAACTGATTCAGAGACTTCGATTTTCACTGAGTGACTTAGCTCATTCGTAGCCATAAATATCGGGAATTCCCTGTGGTAGAATATAGACAGTGCCTGCATTATGTAAGGTTACTGCTAACCCGACCTCAAAAAGTCGCGGACTGCCATATGCTCGAGCCGTTCCTAACGAAATATGTATCGTGGAGAATATCTGAAATGTAACTTATGTCTTTTTACTAATGATTATCCAAGTGGCCCTCATCCAACCATCCAATTGTATACTACCATGGCAGCAGGATGGTTCACCCTTGTTGTCTTGTTATTGGGCAGTGGGCTAGAGGTCTCTTCAACGTATTTGCCTCTACAGACAGAGTCAGTTTGCCAAATGAACAAGAAGATAATTTGAACAGTAACCCTAATATTACACACAGGGAACTATGGCAGGAAAGTTCGGAAATCCGGATCTCACCGTCCTTTGGCTCGCCCGTAGTGCTTAGGACTAGCACGTCCACCCAGACAATCACAGTTCAACAACCTGGTCACATCCAAAACAGTACACGGCAAATGTCGAGCATGCAGCCGGTGATATCAAGCACAAAGGACCCTGCATCAAAAGTACCAGACAACAAACAAGAGACTCTAGACCTACAGACGAGGACAATTATTTCATCGTTATCTCTCCATCCCACTTCCTTCAGTCGGGCAGTCTCCTATGGCTCGCGGCCTAGTCGTCCCTCCACCAGTAGACACGATCATAATAATGCTATATTCGGTGTCCTGTCGAAAGTGCCGGAACCGGCCCCAACTACTACGAATTTCAAGGCAAAACAAGATCCCACTGCTTCACGATTCGTTTCAGCCCATCTGACGAGTAAAAGTAACCTGATTCCAAATACCAAAACAAGCATCACGGATTCAATGACCTTAATAGCAAACTTGAACATGGATCCCTCATCACCATCAACAAGCGGGGAGCTTATATTCAATTTAGAAACATCCATTCTAGACTCCTTTGAAAACGTCACTTTCACATCCAAGGAATCAACATGGGCGGCCTCCCATCATAGCATGTCAGATAGTGATCCAAGAATAGGTGTTGGCACCGATCAAGATACCGCAGGAACAGCAACCGTACAGCTTAGCCCTCCTAAAGGGAATAGCCCTCCACAGTCTACCAGCACATGGTGTACGTATACGCCATTATTTCAATATCAGACACCTGCAGATGCAACAGTGTCTGAGACGTGGAAAGCAACGCCAATCAGTTATCCAAAACCTCTCCTCATTATGCCGACCTACACGAAGCCGTTGGACACACCCTTATCATCGGCCAGAGTGCTGCTATATCACAGCGGCGAACAACCAATGGGAACGAACGAGGCGAAAGGTAATTACATTAGCCTTATCAATTCTGACCATTTGGATGGTCTATCTGAAGGTTCCCTGCCTCGATATACGATTAGTATTCCATCTTGCGATAGGGATATTAACAGACTCACGGGCTCTGATAATCCGCAGCCTAGTACGACGTTCAATTCCAGTTCGATGGCGTCGGTAACCACGTGGAGTGAGGCAGGGTTTGTGCACCATCAGACAGCATCGACGACCTTGGATGTGTCGAACGGCCCAAGTAGGACGCCAAAATCTTCGGATACCACAACAGCAACATCCATTCACAGCAGTTCGGTGATTAATGGTCTTCGCCGCGCACAGACTATACCGCGCCGGAGCTTGGGCATGTCGGTCAGCGCGGCCGTTGGAGGCACTACAATATTCCTGTTGATCTTTGCCTTGCACCGGCCTATTTACCGATGGATCTGCAGACGACGTACGGGCGTGATTTGGATCAGCCACGCATCAGCCGCAAGCAGAAGCCATCATACAGAGCTGCGTTCACCCCCCATGCAATATCCGGAGATGTCCCACTTTTCCGATGATTCAGAAGCAGACTATACGAAAGCACATAGGGCGTAAAGCGAAGATGGAAGTACGGCCACTTATTTTGGGCATATTTCCACCTGAATGAGGGCTGCATTGCTGTACATCGAAAGCTCCACCCGACGGAGGCGTGTCAGGGTGATGCTACTGACGAACGATAGCATTACCTGGGCTTTCTGTGAGCCGGAGTTCCTCGAATCTATGTAGAGATGCCCTGGCAAAACTTTGATATTCTTGCTTTGTTGCGGTGCAGTACGTGATTAGAACTCATACACCTCTAGGGTCCGAATAATCACTCCACTCTCCTTGACAGTAGAGCCGTTGCTATACTTTTGATATGATTTGGAACTAACGGCGGCCCTTAGGGCAGCATTATGTTAGTGAAACGGAGTTAGCCGTCTATACGATCGACAAGATTGATCTTGGATCACGTGGAGGCAGCGGAATCTTTGAAAGACTCAATATTGCCATGATGTCTATACACGCGCCAACGATATCCTGTTGCTCCCCAGCAAGAGCTTAAAAGCTCCGAAGGTATCTGAGCATGGAGTAAATCTAGAACGGTTCCGAAAATGTCCATTCGATCAGGCTTTAAATTATACCCCCTTTATAAGATGCGTCGCCTACCACATAACACGCTAATCCTGATAGGGTTATCTCAATATTTCATTACCTGTTCCATTGTAGATCTGACAAAATAATCGAGAAAAATATAACGGATCTGTATACCTCAAATACTTTTACCAGTCGTCATAGTCAGACCACTCGGACTTTTTGTGACTGGCCTCTGCCGCCTTGCGCTGATTCTCCACTATTGGAGAAGTCGTCCTACACTAACGGCCTATCCGGCGCGAGCTCCAATCGTATAATATCTTGACTTCACCGCCGTCGTGCGTAGCGGCACTATAGTATATTTTGAAATGGCTCTACTAGCAGGAAGCAAGAATATAGAGAGACATGAGTGTTCTTATTCCTATCTAGGGGTCGCGTAGCGAGAGGCGCGAAGAAGGGGTTCCTGGTATAGTGCTAGCCAGTCACGTGACCATGCGTACTAGTATTACTGCTTCAACAGTATATACTCCGATTTTTTTTTTTATGTAGGCATCCAAGCAACAGGTTCACCTCTACACTGATCGCGTGGAAGACGAACATTTCTCTCTTCGAAAAACTCGTGGATAAGGTTGAACTGCTTCCTGCGCAGACCTGCCTTAGCTGCCATTTTTTAAGGTACGGTACTATTAACTTATATATACAGAACAGGTAATTAACCAAGTTTTCTTAACTTCTTATGAAGTTTACAATACCACGTGATTAAGGTCTAGAAGAATAATATTTCTATTTCCAACATGGAAGGCAATAACAGTCAAAACGCTGCGTTGTGACTACATAAGAAGCCGTCCGGTAGGCATGCGTTGATCCCGATGTGTTTTCCCAAGGCCGACAGAAATATGGTATGACCAGGTTACCGAATGTGCCAGCGGAGGGAACGTCAAACGACGAGTTGTATAGCATTATAAGCACTGTAAGCCAAAAATTCCCCACTCCCCTCCCTACGTATAGCCTCAACATCAGATCATCAATTATCACACTGGCTTTCACTACATTCATGGGAACTGAATAAGCAGAATCGGCCCGCTTTCGGGGCCCCCCAATCATACTCAGTGTATCTAAATTGGATATCCGCGTATTTATTTGAGCAGCCAACGTACACGCATGTAAGTTTCGAGAGATTTTCCAGGCCGCAGTTCTGACAAGACGGTAAACCCTACACAGCCTCCTTCACTGATGGAATTACACGTGTCCCGACTTCTTCCTGATCTGGTTCAGGGCAATGCTTGTATTGGGGAACAACATCTTCCAGAGTCTTAATCATCGGCGTTGGATAGTATCCACTCTATACTCGTTAAATTCGGTAATTGTGTCGCAAAGCCCGCGACTTACCAGCTCTGGCATGGACGGAAGCCAATTCTCCGATAGAGAAGAATTGAAGATATACCTTCGGCCGCTTCTCTTGACCCGTATCATAACGAATACATCGGAGTCACACTCAATACTGTACTGGGCGGCTTTTCTGATCAATATCTTCTTCAGTTTACTTCTCTGCTGGGTTTTGGCTTTAGAGCTTTCCGATCGACGCCGTTTCTTGAAGGGAGCGATCCGAGACATGAAGTCTTCATTTAGAAAATGATAGAAGTGGGAGTAAAGATTGTTGAACATACAGTGGGATTAGTGACCGGATTATATCTGGTCTCTTGTTACGTCTGATGGGTCCGGAGCTCAAGGAACTCTGACTGTTGGCTCATTTCAACAGAGGGCCTTGATTTCCCTGGCACGGTAGATACCCTTCACCTCTCTTATGTGATGACTGTGCATGCCCTGGATATCCCGCATGAGATATGGGTGCATGTAGAGGGTCAGCGGGGATTTCGACCGTTGTATTTCCAACCCATCTAAATCCTGCTGTGGTATATGATCCGGGTGAAACACTGAAAACCGCAATTTCGCACGGAAGCACAGAAGCAAAGAAATGGAGTTAACTAGCTTTAGGCGGCAATGGAGTCTGTAAATTATTTGACCACGGGCAAAAGAGGTTTCATATCCTGTAGATCTTGACGTACGAGATCAGCATACGTAAGGTACGAGAACGCTTCAGAGTAACCCGACACTTCACCACAGTAGTGTCAAGATCCCCATGAGCAACAAGCTGTTCGCTCTTTCAAGTTATTGTTTTGTAATGTTTTCGATTCGCACGTACATACTCTTGCTTCTCGTCCAAATACTCCGGGGTTATGATCGGCGGTATCGATGTAACCCTGCGGCCGGAATTTGTCGTGCACTGCAATACGAACGGTTTATCCACATTGGTCAAAAACTGTCAACTTTCACTACTGGCTACTAACGCCGGTTACTTGAACCCTGAAATTCAAGCAGAGGTTTGGTTTCACCTCCCGTCTCTGACGGTCAATATATGGTGTTTTACTTTCCCCATGCGTCAGCTCTCATTCACCCATACGGGCTCCACGTAGCAGCCACAATCGTGGCCAATATACCGCACTAGGCTAATCTTTTACCAACTTATAATTTCCGGTAGACTTTATTCATCTTGCCACATACCTCCTGCCGCTGGTTTTCTACATGCGAACCTTGGTTTATTATCGACAGATAGGGCACTGCTCCAGTAGGATTTGATTATAAGTGAAGCTGGAGGACCTGATCGCGGGTCTTGACATTACTGCTACACTTTGCCCACTGTCATGATTGTAAAGCTCATATTTTCTCATCTTCCACCTTCAGATTAATACTCTTCATTTAGTATGCACACGATTTTCGTGACCAACCAGCCCTACTTCAGAGACGGACCTGAGCTTTGCTAGCGCTTTTTTAAGACATCAGTGAACTCTTCACGGCGTGGTTCACATGGGTCGCCAGTATTACAGCTTCTTTTGCAGTGCCGGTTTGTAGCATCCTAAACAGAAGTTATCTCATAGGCCGATCACTTTTCTAGTATATTGATATATGCTGGGTCTACAAAATATGCCGGATGTCATTGTCAGCTTTCAGGTATGTCTTGAGGTCTTGTTGAGTGGCCCTGTACTTATACAACAAGAATTCCCCTAGGTATGGCGAAGTGGGATGTGAGAGCTTATTAGAAGACAGCCTGGCAAAGGTGAGCTTGATCTTGATTTTGAGAATTAATGCTAAGTGGTTTTAGCTTGCAGGGAGTCTGATTGAGATCCTGATAAAAGCATAAATCCTGACTCCTGTCTAACTTGCTGATGTACTCCAAAGGGCTCGCAAGGTCAACGCTATTCAATCATGGGTTGTAAGCAGAGGCAGCGAAGTGATTGCGTGCAGCCACCCCACAGGCGAAGGTAGGGACCTAACTCCCTGAGCATCCTTTCATTACTGTGGTTCTCATAATAACCTGCTAACGGTTCTTTTTATAGACGACAACATTCCTGCCACTACATACGAGAACATCACGAACACAGGAAACCAGCTGACATCCCACGGAGATGCCCTTCCACAAAGCAGAACCCAACCAGATAGAATCGAGCCTCGCATTGACATACGGAAGACTCGGACGACTGTACCAGACAAAAGAAGAAGAGGAGGGGAAAGAATAAGCAAACTCAAGTCTCCAGCCACCCCTTCAATAGCCCAAATGCCAGGCGAGGGCTCCGAGAGGCCGATCAACCATGGTACACCGTTACATCTAATCCCAGATCGTACTATCTGCCTTTTGCGAAAGGCTTGCAGGGCTCCGGAAGACGGTCAATGGCTCAGAAGAGCCGATTTTGAGCAAGTTCTGAGGCTCAGTGCACGTCTGATTGACCCTGCACCACGCACTGTTTTGGAGCCACTGTTGGATTCCTGGAATGTAAATGTTTCCCAAGGCCTCCATGCATTGGGACTGCCATTAGAGTGGATGGGTGTTGAAGCGGCAGCTACTTACACTGTTATGCTTAAAAATAATATGGTTCCAGATGCAGTGGGCCAGCGAGCTGCGCGGATACTGCTGGTCCTGAATTATGAAGAAATATGCCAGATCCCAGAGTGTTACTGTCCACGACCCCGACGAGCAGCAGAGCAAAAGAAGGTATATGTGATGAACTGTATTGCTCACGCCTGTGGTCTGGGGGATCCCTCCAAGAGCGAACGTGACTTGATATACAATTACCTCAGACAAGGTAGATGGTTGTGGGTCATTGCTAGCATAGTAGGTCTGGGCTTCGCACTGATATGTAGCGAGGAATTGATGTCCACCATGTAGGTTTTGTCACTAGTCGACTTATTATTACGCTAAGCTGACATGATTGCAGCAAGAATGTTAGTCTAACCAACAACGGGGTCAATGCCCTTGCCACACACACTTTCTACGCACGACCAGCAATGGTGGCGTTGCTTCATTCTCTGGAATCAGCAGTGGCACATCTGATGTCCGGGAAGATATCCAGAAACCTATACGAGGCCATCCAGGATGAGTCCGGCATATTAGGACAATCTGCTTTGCTTCAAATGAACGAAGTAGACCGGGTTCATCTGAATGTGCAACACGCAGGGTATCAGGACCCGATTGATTTAGAAGCCGTCATCCAGGATTTGAAGAACAGAATATTGGCAAACTTCCTAGGGAGGCAACTTGCGTTAAAACATGATTCTCCGCTCCAAACGATAATTTGAGACGTCCCTGAAGCAAACTACATCTAGAGGTGAAGCTGCCAGTGTTCAGTGGCTGTCGGCTATGGGTTATCGGACAATATTTGACCATGAATTTGATTGTCACTTCGACGATAAAATTATGGCCATAAACCAGTCCCAGCACGACGGCGACGGCGAAAGAGAACACCGCAGCCAGACGGAATATGCCTGGAACGACGGTCTTCGACGCATCCGGCCAGCAAAACCACCTAGGGGCCGCAGGCGAACTCATGGCAATCTTCTACGCCATTAGCCTGGTCCTTCAAGTAACAACGAAGAGGCAAGGCCGTTTAGACAGGGGGAAACAACCCGCGACTATTCTCGGCGACAGCATGTCCGCACTACAAGCGATTCGTAACCCGGCCAACAAGTCCGGCCAACGAATCATCCGAGCCATACTGCAGGCAGCCTCCGAAATGATAGCGCGAGGGATCCCAATTCGCCTCCACTGGGTGCCAGGGCATTGCAACGATCCCGGAAACGACGAGCCCGACCGGCTGGCAAAGGAAGCGGTAGGCCCGAGGAAGATGCACCCCTTCAAGCCCCTTCTCTCGCGGGAAAACGGCTTCATCCGGAAGAGAGTTCTCAACGAGTGGAAGGAAGAGTGGGCCAAGTCTACAAAGGGAGGGCACCTCCGCCAGATCGACAAACCCTGCCCGCGATCCGTACCCGAAGACTGTACGGATCGCTCCACGGAACTGAGCTTACCTACTCTCACAACTACGGACGGGTCACTCGTGGTTGGCGACGTACGAGATACAACATGGTTTCCGAGACGATAATAGATGTGTGTGTGGGGCTCGCGAGACAGTAGTCCACGTACTGGTGGACTGCCCAAGTCTCAGAGATCTGCGACGACAACTACAGGAAGATCGGGGGTGCATTCAGCAATGTTTCAAGCATGTTGGGAGGACAAGAAGGTAAGGAAGGTAAGACACAAGACGCCGAACAAGACCACAGCACCCTCGGGGCTGTACTGGACTTTGTAGAAGCGTCACAGAGGTTCCGAAGTCACGCGCCACGGGGGCCGCAGAACAGAACACCAGGCAACTAGGCCAAAATAGGCCTCGACGAGACTCCAAATTCGTGCGGAAAGTAATAGCGCACATAAGGAATGTATATAGAGAGAAGTTAGATAGGGGGATCCTGCATATCGCTTCAATTCGCGAGGGGTCAGAGTATGACATCATCATCATCATCTACAATGCCTAGGTCCGTTTCACATCATCACTACCTTTTTGACGACTCCATTCTCCACATTCGCTATAATAGCACTTGCTGCTCGGGAGATGCCCAATTGCCACCACTTTCGCCTGAGTGGTCGTGCGTACCATGGAGCCAAGTCGGGAGAACTGATAACCCCCACCCTCCGAACAAGGACCCACTTCAATCTAGCCACAATCGAAGTAGATCTTCTGCCATTCGTACGCATGGCTAATAAATACCATGTACTAATCCAACCATATCGGTGCGACCTAGATTGGAGAGGCAAAAGTCAAAGGGTAGAAAAGAGCTGCGATAACCCTTCTATCTCCCTCCCACCGCCTAAGCGTTGCATTCTATTCTTATCACAGACCTGTATGGTAGGCTCTATTTCTCTTGTGACGGGTGCGGACGGGTCTATCACCAGGCATGTGGTCCAGCAGCTCCTTTTAAGACCGGCCACCAGGTATACGGCACTGTTCGCAGCACCAAGAACAACAAGAAGATCCAAAATCTCCTAGACATGCAAGAGCGATGGCCCGGCAAGTTGACGTTGTTCGAAGCCGACTTGTTTGGGCTGCTCAGAGCGTTCTAAGACGTGTTGAAGCTACTCAGCGAGCAAAAAGCAGCGAGGGGCGGACACTGAAAAGGAAAGAGAAGAACTAGAAAATAAAGTACGTATAATCTAGTGGAGCATGCACATAGCATGTCTGTTACATTGATCGCAACGTTCAACGAATCAGCAAAGGTCGCTGCAACCTTGCTTTGGTCGCTAAAGGAAGATGGCACGGCTTTAGATACGAAGGGAGGACTGGAATAGGGAGAGTCAAGGATCAAGAGTCGGTATAGTCGTCAAGACGCTTGTATCTGCACCCTCAGCCATCACATTTCCATGCCAGCTATGCAGTCTATATATGTAGAAATACTGTACTGTGGCGCAGAGTGGCATTTTCTAAATATCGCATCGGTCGCAGGTAGTCTGACCCTATCGTAGCACCGAGTGTCTGGGCCTCTGAAGATAGAAATTAGACCTCAATGCAGTGACTGTCGCTTGTGAAGAGGCAGGGATACTAGAAAACTCGGTCAAAGTAGTCAATCTGAAGGTGAAACTATGATGTGTCTCAAAGCCCACCCTAGGCCCATGCTCTGATATCATCTGTCCGAATTGCTGTCCGGACCCTGGAAGAACCTTTGCAAGTCGTGTCGTCATGGTCCATCGCATTCAAGTTTTGCGCATTCGCAAACTTTGGGCCCTCGCCATGTGAAGTGTCTAGGTTCGTACCGGTGCAACTAAGTCTTGCATATGCGTATAGTGTTTAAAATATAAAGGCGTCTTCGCTCCTTCCATAATTCATCGAAATTACTTGAGTTGAGCTCCAAAATCGTTCTGAAGGTTGATACCATGCGTGCTATTGACATAGATATGTCATATATAGGCACATATGCTATGCGAAGAACCGGGAAGTATAGCTGCTCAAGTCCATTCAGTAAATTGTACATACCAACGTAAAAGACACGCACCTACACGGGAATTTGCGGGATGGAGCTCAGTCTTTGCTATGCATTACTAAGCGCCCAGTCTGTGCAACAGAGCGCTCAGTGGCTGACCTACCTGATCACTGAGCAAAGCTGAGCCAAAGGTGAGTAGCCTGAACTATTCTGAGAGGGGGCAAGTTAGTAGACACCGCCTATATCATAGGCCATAACTGCACATATTTTACTCACGGGTAATACCTGGTGGTCAAACATGGTCAAATGCTGCCGACGTAGATCAGGTCAAACAAAATGAAATAACGACAACCATCAGCATCCAACTAGTTATAGGTGCTCTAGACGTTCTCATATCTTTGTTTTATTCCAAAACCCATCTGATCTGATGTGCATCCAACGGCGACCATGGTGGGGGAAACAACTCTGGTTTTCGATAATCTGGTGACCACCTTCCTACGTTGTGACCAAGACGTGGAGAATACCCTTCATATTCACCTGCAAAATTACATCTGCATGGTAAGCCTCACTCTGCTGAATTCAGCTTATCCTAGATAGCTGACAGCTGGAAATTTCCCCGCGATTTCTTGCAGAGAGCACCGAAAGCCCAAACTTGAACCGAGCAAGATCTGTTGTACAGTAATTCAAAGCTAGATCAAGTAAATAATAGGTCTTTGTATGAGGAATGCATTCCAGATACAATCAGGTTGGTTTCCAATCAACCTGATATCCGTTTTGTATATAAAGCCATTAGGTTGTCGACGGAAATAGGAACAATCAATCTTCCTCCGAACAACAACAATACCAAATCGCTCGCGTAAGCCTATTATTACCGCTTAGCTTGGTCTGAGCAACAAAGACACATCATGAATGAGCTGACCAGATGTGATATTCTCACCGTCAATGGCCATGACCATTACGGCGATGTCCGCAGCCACTTAAGTCAGAGCATTTGACCACCAGCGCAGAATACAATCAAGCAATTCCCACAACCAATCAATTCCGGCACGCCATCGAAGAAAAAGCTTCACGATAGGTAGCAGTCGTTTCTCTTTTGCCAAGGCGAGGGGGGTTAAGCCACGCCTGTCGGTTCCCTCTCGAAATTCTGAACTCACGTATGTTGGGCCTTCAACGGTGTCCGTGGGCAAATTGGGTACTTGGGCAATTATGAATTGTATGAGGTGATGCTCCATAACGCCAATATTAGGGATGTCAAGCATTATATGAAACGCTGTCTGGTTATCTGGACCATGCCGTCTGGTGAATGGATACCTGTTGTTTACAACCCATTCTAGCAGGTCAGATCGGGCTTGAGCACTCGTTGCTAGTAGCCTCAAAGTCACATCATCATAATTCCATAGTAACTCGGTGATTTCGCGATTTCCGGCTTCTATCGCTCTCCAGAGTGGCGTTTTACCATCCCCGTCTGGCACGCCTATGTCGATATCCTCGATGGTGAGGAGTATTGCGACGATCAGAATTCTATCAAGCTGGACAGCACGCGACAGCAAAGTGAGGCCACAAGCAGTAGGCGTAGATAACAAGGACGTGCTGATATAGTAGGCTGCCACTCGCGTCGACACGCTAATACTCGAGAACACCTTGCGCCAGACAAGGTGTCCGACCTCTTGGGAATGGCTTCTGTCCCAGATAAGTGGAAGAATCCTGAAATCGTATCCTCAGCTGACTCAGGCTCCCGTTGTAGAAAATAATGACAGGGCGTCCAGCCTCGGTTGTCCTTGTCATCAAAGACACCGGCATTCCAACTCAGTATCTCCATCGATTCTCTTTCTCCGGATTGCGCTGCCCAAGATAAGGGCGATCGTCCGTTTTGGTCGCATTGGTAGAGATCAGCTCCAGTCTTGATCAGCTTATCCACAACCCATGCGCTTCCAACCTCTGCCGCATGAGAGAGTGGGGTACGACCATCTTCATCCTGCACGTTCAGGTCATCCTGATTAAAGCCTTTTAGAAGCAAGTTCCATTTCTGCCGCTCCTCCTCATGTTCCACCCATGAAATGGAACCCGTTGGCAATAACCGTGCTGCGTAATGAAGCGGCGTCATACCATCCTCATCTTTGGTAGTTGAATAGAACTCACGATCTCGCCCAAAGCGATCGCCCAGAGTGCAATGAAATGTCTCCAACTTCTTCATTGGGGATCTTCCCCTGTCTTCAACATTAGAGGATATAAAGAGGACTACTGGCACATCCGCAATTTTCTTAGAGGCTTCTTTCGACTTTTGTTGTTTCTTTAGATGATTAACCATTTTGAAAGCTATCCGGTACCAGTAATAGCAACCAATGGGTGCTAACACCGGCCTTGGGGATATTTCTAAGTGGCGGTGAAATAATACATCGTAGCCGAAACCGCAAGGCTGTGTAGCTAAAATAGGAGCATCCGTGCATTGCCTCCCGCTAAAGTTGTGGTTTGATTTGATTGATGCATTGCTGTGGAGTGGATAATTGTAGTATGTGAATCTTTGCTCTGCTCTAGTAAAGGAATAAACCACTATCGTATAAGTAATAAGATTAAAAATTCAATGCTATCGGAATATAATAATACATAGACGAAGACAAAAATCACCGCACTATCCTAGCAATGTCCCATATCCAGATAGGTCCCACAGTAGGCTAGTTGTAGCGTATTTAGCTAGAGAAAGAGTATACGGGAATGTTAATGGTGGTAACAGTCCATGTCTTGCCGCTATCGCTGGTAGACATGTCGCCAGAGACGCCGCAACCCTTGGCGAGGGCGTTGATGTAGTTGGGGTCAGCAACATCGAGGATGATCGTGGCGTTGGTCCAAGCTCAAGAGTGATTTTATCAGCACGGCGAAGATGCTTCGGTAATGTCATTGTGCAACTTACAGTGATCACCGACAGTGTCGCAGTTGTCCTCGGCACACTCGATAGCGCTTCCCCAGCCCAAGGCCTTGCCATCGCTGGTGGAGAGGGTGGAGGCGGTCTTGTCGTTGATCAGAACGGTCTGGGTGTAGCTGCCGGTCGAGCCATCGAACTTGTCTGTAGATCGCGATATTTAGCTGAGAGGCAGGGAAGATGGCTTGTAGATGTCACTTACAGTGCATGGTGACCTTGTCGCCCTTAGTGCCGTCTGCCTGGCCATAACCGTAGATGGGCTCCTGGGTAGTGGCTGTGCAAAGGACCGGGTAAGAATTTAATTCGTTTGTTGAGATTCTGTGGTCACTAACCGCTAGTCTCCATGAGAGTGTAAGCGTACATGGTCCAGTTGCTTCTGCTGCCAGTTGTCGGCAATGGACTGGATCAGGTCACCGTTGGAGGTGCCCATGCCAACCCACAGGGAGGTGATGGCATCGGAAAAACCACCGCTGGGGCCGTTGCGGAGGATGAGAGTCGAGATAGCTTCACGGATGAAGAAGTCGTCGGAGACAGGACCAGTGCTGAAGGCAGGACCCATGGCAGCGTTCACGTCGGTGGCGGAGATAGCAGCAAGAGCTGCGAGAACCTGGGCGCGGGTGTACATTTTGACGGGGCTGTGTGTGGTAGATGCGTGGGAATGCGGGAGTCGGAGTGGTGTTGTTCTTCTGGTAGACGGACCGAGAGGACGAGCTACCTTTATATATGTTTTACACAATAAGGTAGCAACTTTCGAACTTCCTGCCCTGTAGCTCTATCTTTCCTCAGTAACCTTTAGCGTTGATCGTCTGATTTTTCGGGGGAATATCCACCAGTGGGGTTCGGTTTCCGGGAATATTGCCCTAGTTGAGGGGGTTTTGGCTCTTGCGGTCTTCATTGCACGAATGGAATGTGCAGACTCAAGTACGGCGCTCCCCTCGTATCCAGAAGCCAAGCACGAAGTCAATCTACATGGATCCCTCTGACAAGGCTACTGCCGCAGACTCCTACCTCGACTTCCCGTCCTGACCCACTTGCACTCTGATTCAAAGATAGGGGCAGCTCCTCCGGGGGACTCACATCGCAAGTCACGGCTATCATCCTGGAGAGGGAAGCCCAGGAGTTATACGGACGCAGGGGAGAAAAGACGATGATATCAAGAGGTAGCAAGGGAAGAAGTTAACATGGCAATGAGTGATTGAAGCTGAGGTTACGCCAGAAATCGGCTACAGCCACCTCCCGAAGAATATCAGTATCGCGTCGTTCGTTTGAAGTTTATAGAGCGTAAAGAACGCTTCTTCCCTGTAGTGGCAGAGTCCGTGTAATCCAAAATATGAAGGGAAGGTTGCTCTCCAGTTGTTATAGTAGCCTGTTTGAATTCAACGATCGCTCCTACATCGGAGATTGTAGCGTGAACATCTTATCCTCTTCACCTGACATGGTTTTGGACTTTCGGGATTGCTTGATTCCTTCGATCTAGTATGTGAGCTGGAAGTACGCTCCAAACGTTGGGAGACCCGAGTTGGCAAGCGCTTCAATTCTCTATAATAAGCTGCCTGGAGGCTTTCCTTCTTTGTGCCAGGAAACTTGGCGCTTATTTGGTTCCACGTGTATCCCTCATCTCTCAACCGTACGAGATACCGTTTTTTCTCAGAGGTAAGTGGGCCTCTAGCTGCAGACACACCCGTCTTCCTGGTGGTTCTGGCAGAATTTGCCGGCTTAGATGTTGTACCAACCGCCCCGAGGCTCATTGTTATAGTCTGAAACAGCTGGCCATCTAGCACTCGAAATGTAGAAGTCCCAGCAGAAATGGGAATGCGTTGTGCTTCTCTGATATCGATGGACAGTATATTCCCATCTAAGCGCCACGGCCCTCGGCTCAGTGGGGCATGGCAACATGTCTGGTCAACAACATGCCCTTTGATAATTGAAATTTCAGGTTGCGGTGTTCGTGGTGAAGTGGTTAATATCTCAACGTGTGAAAATTCCACATATTTCTTCTCCGACTCGATCGAAGTTGGGAATTTAGACATGGATATTGGGCGATCACCTTCCCTGGCGGTATCATTCGCAGAGTCTATACTCTTCGTCTTGTGTGAGAAATGCGGCTCTGCATTAGGACTGAGTTTGGACGATCCTTCGTCACTCCTCCCGCCAAAAGCACGTTCCGCATATGTTTCAGGCCTCGGGAGTGATTGTGCATCAGCCGATGTAGTATAGTCCTCATGAGTGTCATCCGATGGATCAAGAACGTCCTCATTATCGTCAGCGGCAGTGCAATGATCTTTATCAGATACTTCGGACGTAGACCTGACCGGCGTTACCGGTCGATGCGGGCTGGGATCTGAATATGCGTCCTCGATACCTTGTCCCTCATCATTTACAAATGGTGCATCGGTTGAGCCAGCACTTTCATGTAAGGGGAATAGTTCTGACTCGTGCAGGTCACTTATCGGAGAATTGGAGTTAGGAGCAGTGATGTCGTGGATATAGAGATTATCCGCTAATACAATGGTCAGAATTGAAATTTGGCAGGAAACAGATAAAGTCACAAGAGTAATACTAGCTTAATGGTACACAACTTACCCTCGAGTATAGATTGATCTTGATGTGGGCTATTTCTGCAATGTAGTGTTGCATCAATGGAGCCCCAATCTTCCAGCGGCGATCGTTTGACGGTGTTTGGAGGCGCGAACTCCGCTAGGGTGAATGGTAATCCAGGCTGAAAGTCATTGTTCTTGTTTATACATTCTGATGTGTGTTGTGCATGCACCTGGGTCGAAGAAAGGGAGAAGCACTGCCTTTCGGGGGTTGGGGGGGCTTCTCGAGACTGCTGGCAAAATGGCACATGATCAATGTCTCTCTCCACAGATGCTGGAGCCAATGCTGGTTCATCCACGGAGTTTCGCGCTGAAGTGTTTCGTTCGATAGTTGACTGATTCGAGATGTAATCAGCATCGTCCTTCCCCCGAACCTGAGGAGCTGCATCGTCATGACCCTTGTCAGCTACTGACGTCCCAACAAGCTCACGGCCTGTTTGTGGCTCATGAAATGGGTCATGCAACGAAGTGCAGTCCTTATCAGATGTCGCGCTGCATCTATCATTGGTTGGCTGCGCCTGAGAGCAATGAGCTGGATGACCGGTCAGCGCTTCGCACCGAATCTCTAGGCAAACTAACATACTGTTATCTCTACAACATGGATCGAAATTGTCCCTGTCGGTAAGGTTGTGGGGTCTCGTAACAGGTCTGGCCGATCCTTCCATGGACGGCTGAGATGGAATTGTATGAAGGTTGGAAGAAGACTTGGTACATCGGGGGCTGAATCGCTCTCTTCTAGAGTATCTGTTAGGGTTCGAGTTGGGTCTATAGAATAGAAAGGCGCTCATAATCTCTTGAAGTAGACGGCAAATATAAATCGAATCATAGACACCGATAGAAAAGCCAAGGACATTCACACTCTTTATATGTTTCAAATACTTCCTGGACCGATTCCGACATTGCTGATTCGGATCCGCCGAAAAGGCCAGTTCGCACCACTTCCAACTTCAGCCTGGCCATAGTAGCGACGCCTGATTCGGCGTTCTGAAATTTCCCTAACGAAGTTCACTAAATTTTGTTGCGGATGCTGGAATCCACAATTGGTTAACGCTCCATTACAGGAGTATTTAGAATTGCCCGACGGAAATATGCACTCTGAAGCTGGAGTAACCGAGACCCTTATGAATGGGAGGCAAAATCGCCATAATCGGCTGCTGCCGGAAGCCCGTATATGGAAGTCGGATCCATTGACCGTCGGGAGGCCAGAATACCACACAGTGGCTTAAATCGCCTTGTTAGGGGAAAAGAGCCTAATCCGGCGATGGAACCATCGCCGCATAGGGCTTGTGCCAAAAGTGGTAAAAGCAGATCCTCTACTGTTGGATATGGCCAGACAGAGGTCCCACATTTCGGCAGTTCGATGCCTGCATACGGCAAAAATCACATCAGGACGTGAAGTTCAACCCAGCGTTAACTCTGTCACGACGAGAAAACAAAATCAGAGCGGGTTGTAATGCTGCGGAATGTCCGACATCCGCGTGCACTCGACGGTCTTCTGGGATGAGGTGGCAAACCGGCCCCTGTCTCAGCCGGACACCAGCGAATGCAAGCCAATCAGATTCCAAGCCACAGACGGCATCGAACACGCATCTCGCCCAGGGGGGAGATGTGGTCGGTAATTGGATCTGCAATGCGGATAAGACTGGAACGGCGGAAATAACGAAAGTGGTGCAGTCTCGGATTAACTGTGAGGCCAAACTCAGCGAAGCACGCTGAAAGACGGCAGAAGTGCTTGTGGTAATGGAGCACATAATATGACATGTGGTATACAATAGGTATTCTGAACCAGTAGTCAAACCCAAGGACATCATCATATAAGTGTAGGCATATCATACCAACAAGGGTGCGCAGGTACGGACAAATGCCGATGGGCTCAAGCAAGGAGGCGAATCCTCCTCTGCGGAAATCACGCAGCAACCCGGCTGAGGATGGCTGAGGAGGATGGCTGAGGACGCCTCAGCGAGGGTTGTGATGGTGGTAAGATTGAGGGAGAAAAACATAACGTGACGGTTACGCCAGCGGGCAGGCCAGGGCTGATATAGCGGCAAGAGGTTTGGCGGTGAGGGGCGGCATAACCGCATCGGGCGACGCCGTTTCCGGAAGCGGCGGCCCCTAAAGGTGAATTACTGAATTTATATTAAAAAAAATAATAAATAGAAAATAGTATTTTATATCTAATATAATTACTTTGAATATATAATCATATTATTTAGATTAACCAATACTCTAGTAACTTTTTAAAATTATATATATACTACGCTTCAAGGACTTCTTAATAACTTTTATATAATATATTTAAATAATATCCTTATCTTTTCGCCCGATAAAGAATCTTATACAAAGCATATTTATCAAATTTTAGAAAGATTTCAAGAAACTTAACTTTATATAAAATTATTAAAATATTTATTCTACTAATCTAAAATTAAATTCCTAGAATATATTATTAATTCTAATAGAGTATCCATGGATCCTTGATAAGTAAATAATATTATTTTATAGCTGATCTCTAAAAGTTATTATAATCTCCAGGTTTTCCTCGGATTCTGTAATTTTTATTAATAATTTATTCAAGATTATTTTTATATTATATTACCCCTTACCTCGCTACTTCATGGAACAGTCAACAGGCAAAAACTAGAAAAGATCTATCTAATTTTATTTAAATAAATTATTTTTTATCATCTGATCACTGCCTTCTAATAAGTATTTTTACTAATATATTTTAATCCTACGAAACCCCGCCGTTTAGAAACTAATATATTTAAAAAAAAATAAATAGTATCCTATCTTAATCTAATAATAAGAATATATTTTATTTAGTTATATTTTAATCTTATAAGTTCTCCGGTGCTGAGCTAAACTATGGTACTCCAGATCAAGAATTATTTACTATTATTTATTTTTTTAAATAATAGTAATAATATTTCAAAGAAGCTTTTTAAATAATTAAAATTTTATCTGATTACTCAAACTTGTAATTCTTTATATATTAAATTAAAATTAACAGGAGGTAAGCTTGATGGCTTATAAATTTAATTCTTTATAATTTTATTATTAAATACAGAATAGAGAAGTTAAATCTAGTAGATAAATCTTCCAGAATATTTTCTAGATTCTAGATAAAATCTGCTTCTCAAGAAGAATTATTAACCCTAATTTAAAAATAATTCATAAGTATATTATTTCTAATAATAAAGAATCTTACTAAAGAGAATTCCCAGTTTAAATCTTAAAATATACAGGGTTATCTTGAGTTTAATATTTATATTATATTAAGCTCAAAGAATTCTAATAATTAAGCCAGTATAAAAACAGCTGATTAGACTATTTAGATAAACTTATTTTAAGAAAAATTCATTTTCTAATCTATAATATTACAAGTATATACTACAGAAGTTTTATACTCAGATATATATAATTCTAAACTTCAAGAGATGATCTTGCGTTTGCAGAATAAAGATCCAGAAATATAATAATAAAAAGTTATTATTTAACAAAAGCAACCAGACTAAAAGTATTAAATTATTAAAATAACTGGTTATATTTATTTTAAAGATTAATATTATATTCTATTCTCTAAAATACTATATCAAATACTTATTAAGCTATACCATGACAATCTGTTAGCAGAATATTTTGAAAAGATCTAAATAAAAGTACTATTATATAAAAAGTTCCACTGGACTAGATTACAGTATAATATAACTGAGTATATTTAAATTTATCTAATATATTAAGAAATTACTGCTCCAAAGTATTAATTATATAATAATCTTAAATTATTACTGATTCTATCTTATCTCTTTATTAAATTAATAATAAATTTCATCACAGGACTACCTCCCATCATTTAATATAAAAAAATTATTAATATTATTCTTATTATTATTAATTAGTTCTTAAAATACTGTTTTTTCTTTGCTATTCTATTTATAATAACCGCACCAGACCTTGTTAAACTATTCTATTAATAGATCAAATTGATTTTCGGATCCCCAAATGAGATTATATCTGATAGAGAATTAATCTTTACCAGTAAATTCTAGTTAAATTTAATTTATAATAATTATATAATCTTGAAACTTTCAATTATATTCCATCCTCAAACTAATAGCCAAACAGAACAGATGAACCAGATACTTAAATACTATTTTTAATATTATTTTAATTATTATAATACTAACTGGTTATTAATTCTACCAAGTGCTTAATTCACTTGTAATAATATAGATAATATAACTATGGATTAATTATCTTATAATATTCTCTATAGCTTTTTACTGGATTTTTATATCTGAATCAAGGCTGATTCCCAACAGCGAGAGGTTCCAGCAGTATAAAATAAGATTAGAAAACTTTAAGAAACAAGAGAACAGCTATAAAAGATATAATAAATAATTACAGAAAAGTAAAAGAAATATTATAATAAGTATAAAAAGCTATTTTATTTTAAAGAAAAAGATTTAATTAAATTATTAACTTAGAATCTACAGCTCAAAGAATTGAGGAAGTTAGTTTTAAAATTCATAGAATTTTTTTAAATTCTTAAATATATCAGATTCTAAGTATATTGCTTATACTTACCTGAGAAATATAAATAAATTTATAATATATTTTATATTTCCCTGTTAGAATTGTGGAATATAGGAAGAAATCAGAAAGAACTACTTCTGATACCAGACCTAGATAATAAAGATAAATAGAAAGTTGAAAAAATCAAAGACTACTAATAATATAATAATCAAGATTATTATCTGATTAAATAGAAAGACTGGCCGAGTAAGTATAATTAATAAATTCCTAGTAAAAATATAGAAAATACACCCGAAGCCATAAAATAATATTAAAAATTTTATAAAAAGCACCATATATTAAAAAAATAAAAGATAATTATTAGTAAATTACTCTATGTTTTTAAAAAATAAATTATAGAAATATTAACCTCTTAATATTTCTTGTCAACTATATTATCACAGATTAAATATACTAATAAATATAAAATCATCCTGCTATAAGGCAGCAGAAAATACCTAAACATATCCAGTTATATCTATTATTTATTTATAAAATAAATAATAATAATACCCAGGCCTTCTTATAGACTAGAAATAAAAATAGAAAATAAATTAACTAGATTATAAATCTCAGGAGCTGTATTATATTTATTAAAGTTATTATTATTATCTAATATAATTTTATTAATAATATCAAAATATTGCACACAGGCCACCTTAATAATAATATTTAAGTAAAATCTCAGGGCTAAAGCCTAGACTATATAATCTTTATCTTTTAATATTAAATAAAGTAGTAAATCATACTTATATATCTAGTATTATACAGGAGTAGCACCGGCAGGAAGTAGAAAAGTTAATAAACTAATAATCTAATAATAAATAGTAAGAAATAAGTTATATTCTATTATATTTATTTATTAAAATATTACTGATTAGTTATCTATTTTAATTATTTATAAGATTTTTATATCCGGGTGGTTTTCTTCAATTTCTTAAGACTAAACTAGCAAGCGTAAGCTGACTCTGTATAATTATATATAATAACTAAATTTAATATTTTCTTAAGAATAGTATACTTAATATTTTTATCTTAATATTCTATATCTATCAGTTCCACTTGCTACTTGAGAATAGTAGTAAAATTATAAGTATTATCAAGTATTCCTGTATTAGTCTAATTAATATTAATATTATATCCAGTATAATAAAGAAGATTAAGTAATACTTATTATAAGATATATTTTTCTTTCCTTAGAATACTAGTAATATAATATTAAAGCATAAGTATTTTAATAACAGCTAATATTATAAGAAACTCCCTCAGTAATATTAAAATTAATATTAACAGTACAGAGACAATATATATAAAAAAGATATCAAGTTTTAATAAATTATTTTTATAATATACAAATCTTCTTCTTAGAAGCTGCTTTAAAAGGCATATTAAAAGATCTAATATAAAGTATATAATCCAAGAGCAAATAAAGCAAGAAATAAACATAGAAAAATACCTGATTACCAAGTAATTAGTATATAATAATAAAAATAATAAAAAACACGTGAAATAATGATGAAAAGCAAATAGAATGATTACAGGAGATTAAAGAAAAGATAATTATAAAATAAAAAAAGAAGAGAGAGAGAAATAATATAAAAAATTTTATTATTTATATTTTTTTACAGTGAATCCACCCATGCAAATATAATTAAATATTAATAAAGTTATATAGAATTAGTATATAATTCTATCTATACTAGATATCCTGCAGATCCCCTATTTTTTGCTATCAGATCTTTATTATTCTAAATCAGGAATATATAAGACTATTTCTAATACTTAAACCAGGTGGCTCATCCCAGCAGAGAAGAATACCATTTATAATAAAATAATCTAATTATCAGAATAAAAGTCATCGGGATAATATATTATAATAGTTATAAGAATTATAAAATTATTAATAGTAGTTTTATATCTCTCTAATATTTATAAAGTACTAATTCCTCTGTAATAAGCTACTGATTTTTCAAAGATCAGTTTATTTTGTGGATATAGGCTACCTTTGTCATTATCAGACAAATATATGGTATTTAGTGGTTGATTCCTTACCTAGTCGACAGGCTTTCTACCCTGACAAGTAGATCCTATCACAAGAATGTATAA